GGCATCGGAGAATCTCGGAAACCCCATCGCTGACAGCAATGGGGCTCCGCTGAATGCTGCGTTGGTGGCGTCTTATTAGCCCCAACTCCTTCGGGCTATGCAAGGTACGCCTTCGTCGAAGCTTTCATGGAAGCACTGTCCCCCTCCGACGTCACATCCCCAGCCCCGAAATTTCAATTATGCCGGTGTTTTCCATGTCCCGTTTCAGACAACATGGGCATTACCCTCCAAGTCTGCGATACAGTTTCATAGCATGTACGTTTGCGGGGTGCTTCTGGCAGTCCGCATCCATGTGCGACAGCCGCCCAATGTCGGAACACCGTAGCCGCCAAAAGTCGGGTCCTTGCACCAACAACAATCGGCTCGGTCAGGCGGAACCATCACTTCTCCCAGAGTGCTACCACCATCTCTTCACCCGCCCCGGTCTGCAGTCGTCATCTATCGTGACATTGACATGATATGTCTCTTGTCTAGAACCTTCAGGGTCTCGATCAGTCCCCAGTGATGTAATGGTGGACTGTCTGGTCAAAAAGAGTAGGTTATGCGTCAAACACCGACATGGCCGATGATGCCGGCTGATCCACGGTTAAGCTCTCTGGGGCCCCGCACCGTTGATTGTGGCTCATTGATCGAGATGAGGCAGTGGCTTTCAGGGGCTCTCGCACAAAGATATTGCCACCAACTCAACCAAAGAGACTTTCGCCGCCTAAACTCACCGTAGTGAGTCATGTTCCTGGCCTCCGGGCATGAAGATCTGCTCGCACAACCAACACGCGACAGTAAAAACTTCAAAAGACAAGCCAAGAGTTTAGTGGCGACTCGACCACAAAGAGAGTGGAGCGTCTGACGAATATCGCACAGCCTTGGGCCAAACACACATCATGAACTCTTCAGAACCTCCAAAAAAACACCCACTTTACACCCACGTACGATACGTCAATTCTAGATGGGAACCAGGGCAGTCTTCCCACAGTTTGCACAATGATCGCCCACGAGACGCGCAACCATACGTCAACTGATCCCCCACGCATCCCTTCCAAAAAGCTGATGATATCCACAGCACGCTCTTCCTTGCTGTCTGCACAAATATGCCTGTCATCACAAGTCACACCGGCCTCTCCCCTCATTGATCTGCACAGATTTCCTATGACGCCCGAGCATAGGCAGCGGGGAACAACTAGTCTGCCGATCTGCCTTTAGTTCTGGAAAGGTTTGCGCCGGGATCATCATCACCACCTCTAGGCTCGGGAGAAGCTCAATTCGCATCAAGTCGAGTTGGAAACATCTGTGTACGCCTACTCACTACACATCTATGTGGGTGTAGGTGTAAGTTTGAGTTACGGAAGCATGATGCCGGACGGAACTTGCCAGATCTGTTTGTTGAATGCTTTTTGTTGAGTCACTTTGTCAGGTGAGCAACCCAAGCTTTCGAAACTCGCATCTGCAACGGAAGGCGCACACAACACAAACTCGCATGTGCTCTCCGGCTGGCTTCACTATAGCCCAGCCCACCCAATCAACGTCGGAGTGTTGAGCCGCGTGAAGCGATATCAGTTTCTGGAACATGGCATGCCTACTAGGTGCTACATTATACCGCCATATGGTCGAGAAGAGTAAGTATATTTACGACAGAATACAGTTGGTCTTCTGACAAGAAACAAATGAGAAACACGGTATTAAGTGGAGACATACGGCTACGTATTGGTCCATGATAGTTTGGCGCGCCCCCAGAGACTAACACGTACGGCCAAAGGTTGTCCTCGCTACTGCACAGTAATTTGGAATTCCGACACTCCACGCATAACCCCACAGGACAAGCATTAGCATCTTCTTGCGGTGTTGGATAACCATATTGGTAATTCTGTCTTGCATACAATATCACGCGCATATCATCCATGGCCCACTGCCATGCGGATGTTCATCACACGCTGCATTTATGTGGGGTTGCATCTCATTGAAAATAGCTTCATTCATGGTTGCAACGAAAAGCGCAATTATGATGGGAAACTAGTACCATGGGTTTTATTGGTACCACTGCCAAGCCTGTCGATGCTTTTCTCAGCTACAGTAAGTATAGTTGTACAGCCGACGCTCTGCTTGTATCCGCTTCCCGGGTCTCTGCCTTCGTCTTGTATTCGTACACGTCCTCATATCTGCCGCTTTGCGCGAGTCTCATGATTTTGTCTTCGTCATCATGGTCATGCTTCTATTCGCATGGCCCGTTCAAAAAGTCTAGTGCAGCTATGTCCGAAAGTGTCAGTATGTGGTCATTGCAGAGACGAAAGATATGGACGTACCTAGGTTTTCACCAATACTACACGCGCCCGCTGTGCATGAAGTCACAGCGCCGAAAAAGCGACCGCATAAGCAATCATCATCTGTGGTGGGATCACACCCAGCTACTACTGCTGCCTCGTTCCAGCAGTTCATCTGTAGATCATTGTTAGTAACGCATCCGGTCACTGTATCATAGTAGTCGACGACTTACGGGACATGCTCCTACACTTGCAACACCTGCACCAACTCCAGCGTCTTGTCTCCGCGAGAGAGGGGGAGACATTGGTGAAGCCATGACACTAGTTGCTGCTAAGCAAACGATTGGGATTTCGATGCGCATCTTCGGATCAGGGTGTGTTTTCTTTGGTTTACAGTAACGACTGTAGGGACAAGATTCAGAGTAGATGTAGTAGGAAGAACGAATGATTTTGGGGTTTGCGAGTAATGCGCACACCAGTAGTATTTTTCTTAAGATCAACCGATCCGCGCCCCCGTCCTTATATCATACCCATAGTAGATAGAACTGGAAGTGTTGGCATGTGTACTGCTAATTGAAGGGGGGATGGTTCGGAGGCGATTCATGTCATGCGCAGACCTCTTTGCCATGTTTCAGCATCTTCTGATGCACCATGGGTTACAGACAGCGGCTGGGCGAAACAATACTCTCCGCCGTGGGTGCCTTAAACTGCAATGTTGCGCAATACCATACACGTTATCATCAAGTTATCCAAGATATCGAAGAGTGCAAGGCATTGAGTCCAATAACCAGGCTCTTGGCTCTTGCCTTTTTGTCTCCCAAGCACGATGATAAGGAAAAGAGAGAATTAGGAGTCGCTACTTGAACACTGTAAGGATTCAGATTTTATCGATTCACCCGTGTTATCCGATCTTCTACTACTCTTTTCGTCGCGACATGTCGCATCTTCTCTTCCGCCGCGCGTAGTCCGTGAAATGCCTCGTTGCCTCGGTTTGAACTACGCAGCACGGGTCGAGGACGAAATTACACTTTAGCCAAAAAGGAAATCAAACTACCTGATGTAGACGCGTAACCATTTTATCTTCCTGTAAGAAAACACAAAAAGCAAAAGTATCATAAACCCTCCTATATCACCCATCTTACTACCCTTCTAGAAAAATCGCCATAATTACAAAAAAACTCTCGCCTCACCAACCCCCCCCCCCGGTCCCCCGTCCGCCCTGTCTCCACAATTCCCAATTCCCCACTTTTCCACTACACACAACATCAACCCCTCCCCCATCTCCATCTCACCAAGGCCCTTTCCGCACAGCCACTAAAAAAGGGCTCAAAGCCCCCCCTCCCTCCTCCCCAACGTTTGACACCCCATGGTACGCAATACGACACATCTGACGCGCGCCTGACAGCTCGCACCCACTCAGGCTCCAAGTTTCAACTAGATTGACCAACGTACACAACCATAAAGCGCGCCGAGCACCCCCTCCCCTTCCTGTTCCGCTCTTGCAGCGAATATCGAACGTCCCAAAACGCGGTTCCTGCAACAAATTGCGAACATGGCCGTTAACCACAATCTCAAGCAAGCTTCCTAATGCAGGTGTTTATGCCGAAACGAAAGAGCGGGTGGGAGGGAGTTCGTTGTGTCTGCTATGCCCTGATGGTTTGTGTTGCCTCGGCGAGAACGGACGAACGCAAGCGTGTTTGAGGCGTTCGTTTCAGACGGGTTGGGGTTGAGGGGGCGGCTGGGCGATTTTTTTTCCACTTTCTTCTTTTCTTTTCTTTTCACTGAACTTGATTTGCGTGCCTTTGATTCCCCACGTGCGTGGTATGCAGTGTACACTATACGCGGGACTGGGGGGTTTGGCCACGCGGGGACGGGGAACAGGGGAGAAGGGGGGGAAAGGTAGGTGGACGCGGGAAGGGCTGCTTTGGGTTAGGAGGAGGGTAAGGCGTGAAACTGGGTTTTTTGTAGTTGTAAGGTGTATATGGAAGGGTAAGGCTGTGGGTGGTGATTGAATCGAACGGATTTCCTTGGGAATGTGGGGATTTGAATGTAGTAGTGGTCAAGGAATGATTTGAGGTGATAGGATCGGAGGGTAGATGTGAGACTTGCTCACAGTGTGCTGTCGATGTTCTTTTAGGTGATTAAACGTTATTGGGTAGTAATAGTACCCATTGGATTGTGTCGTGGCCATTTATTCCGCTTATCGTTACTCGTCTTTCTTGTTTGGTTGCTTCGTTTCTCTGCAGCTTTAGAGCGTCCAATACTGGTAGCGTGTCCTCCTTACCTTTGCTATGCATAACTTACCAATTGACTTAAGATTTTTTCGGTAAAATTAGGAGCGAGAGTCTAGTATATGAAATGAGGTTATCGAATGTGTAGGTTAATGCATCGTGTGAGGTGCTACTACTACGCTAGGAGCCGACGGTCACATGATCGGAACTTAAGTACATAGTTAGATTTCTGGCCCTGCATCAACATCACTCATGTTCTAGTAGCTAGTATTCTGCCCTCTCACGATTAGCACTCGAGACTCCACCTTACAGCAGCCCCCTAAATTCCAGACCCGAATGAGAAACCAATCATGACAACAATCACCACCTCATCGGCGGCTAGATCTGCTTTGGGTTGCGAGGCTGAATTCAAGCGCCACCAGCTGACACAGCCCCGCTGGAGCCTTCTCTGTTCAAACCCACATTCTCTTCCACCGTCACTGTCGTTTCCGGTTGCGACAGACAAAGACTGAGAATGTCGGATCCTTTATCTATCACTGCCAGCATAATCACGCTCATACACGTCTCCGTCCAAGTGACTGTACTGATCAGCCAGTTCTGCAATGAGGCGAGCGCCGTGGATACGACGCTGGCTGGCCTTCTAGGCGATGTCGAAGGGTTCAAGCGAGTACTCGAGTCTATGAAGGAGACTATTAACCAGAACGACATCAAATCAAACTTGCAATCGACTGGACATACAGGCAGCCACTGGAAAAACCTCGCGCGCTCGTTGAACGATGGCACCGACACCTTGAAGAAGCTGCACGACCTCCTGGATAGTGTCAACAAGAAGACATCACTGCTTGATACTCAGCGGAAGCTAATCCGGCTGAAGAGCGCTTCTGGACAAATTGCGCAATATCGGGAGCAGATCCAATCTTCTCACACTGCACTTCAGCTTTCGCTTAGCACAATCATCCTGTAAGTCAGCATAGCCCTTGGCGTTTTTCTGGCTACCATCGTGGCTTCCCACATGAGTGCCCTTCAACATCATGCTCTTCCGTGTATCTTTTTTCCTTCAACTAATCACCCCTTAGTTGGAATCAGGTAACCTTTCAGAGATCGACTGAAGAGATACCAGATAAGATCGTCCCAACATTAGACAAGCTCTACGATGAATTCCGCTCATTTGGCGCCCTTCTTAATGCGAAAATCGAGAAATTGCAAGTCGTAGTTGTAGACCCGAATGACCCGGACGACTACAATCTCCAATACATGACCAATTTACGGGAGTGTGTTCGATCAGCCGCCGACGTTGTGTCAACCGCATCAACAAACTTCAACGTAGATTCAAACGACAAGGCTCCCGGCAGGTGTGGCTCTGATTTTGGCGACATATTTATCAAAGATGCCAATGAACCTATGCTGCGCTGGTTCGCCTCAAATACCGTATACGAATACGAGGATGTGGAAGCTCCCATACCCGCTCCTCCCGACGCTAGCACTGGTGATGCATTGATTGAGTACCATTCAGATACTGACTCGGATATCGAGAACGATATGATTAGATCTTTGTTCAAAGAAGGCAAGAGACGTCAAGGGCAAGGTGATTTGACGGGTGCGGTTCGTCGTTTCCAAAACTGCTTAACGAGGTTTTCTTCAAACGCGAGTTATGCATCGCTCACAACAGCACAAATATTGACGGTATGCGGCGTGTCAAAGGTCGAACTGCTGGAGAATATCACCGATTGCTATCGCGCATTAGGCTTATGGGCCGAAGCAAAAGCAATAATGGAGGTGAAATTACAGATCACCGAGCATCAAGTGGGTAAAAAAGACGCACTCTATTTGAAGGATACTATGAAGCTCGCCGAGATTATGATGAAGAATCAAGACTATGTTGACGCTCACCTTCAAGCTCGTCGGTCCCTTCGAGGATTCAAGAAACTAGGTGAACAAGGGGGGACGGATTACGAAAGCTGTTTGGAATTATTGGTGAAGATATGCCAACTGGAAGGCAAAGAAGACGAGGAAGAGGCCTATGCAGCTTTACTTTCAGGCCATGCAAAGGATGTGCATCGTTCGACTCCAAAGTCCCAGCCCGCCGAATTGGATCCAGATATCATTCAGCAACAACTTCCATCCGCCCTAGCCTTACAAGTTGAGCCAAATATTGCTATCAGCACGACGAAACAGAATGATAAAACAATTCCACAATCACATAAGCCTGTAGAAGAGAATCTTCCACACGCGGAAACCGAAATTGTAGCGTTTGGAGGTGAGGACGACCAACTACACCATCCTAAGAAACGTGTCGAAGCCCCCCTCCCACATGTGAAGTCTCATTCCCCAGAAACAAGACTCATGGAAGCAAAAGACGATAAAAGTAAGAAGCTGAATCAACAGAGTTCAAGTTTCTCAGAGATCCAGCCTCCTACACTCGACACAACTGAAGATCTTGAAAGAGTGGGATCGATTGCACCGCTGGAGAATTACGAAAAGCGTCCCTCGCCTTATGGTAGTGTGTATAACTTTGGATCATTTGACACGCTTCCAGATCCACATAATCCGGGCTACATTGAAAGGGATTGGCGTGACGTGTCAACATCTGGGGAAAATTCACCAATACGGCATGATTTGTCAGATTCAAGCATGAGAGATGAACGTACCACTAGCCACGGCTTCATAGGGAAACTATTGGCAAAATCTTACACCGCATTTAGAGGCAACAGAGCACCCCGACTTACTGTGGCAAGTTCTTCACGACCCTTTTTGAGCGGCCGGAAGCCGAACACCAATACCCCACCCGTTGTCCCGGATACATATCCCTACTTTGCTTCCAGCATACAAAGTTGGGCTTCAAGTATCCCCTTACATTCAGCGTCAGACGGTGGATCGATCCACTCTGTTTCACCATCTTCCGAGGGGTGGGACGCATACCCACGTGCTAGTACAACACCCGGGGGTAGAAATCCTCCAGCATATCTGAATCGTACGCACTGTCCTATCTGCCATATTTATTTATCAAACATGACACTCGATGCTGCACGGCTTCATGAACATTGCTGTGTAGAAAGGACTTATGGTGCTGTCGATTTGCCGCGGCAGAATCAAGAACAGCAAAACCCGGACCAAGAAAGTTTGATGCATGACTCGCCCATTTTATCAGCACTATCTGCACCAGCTGACCCTATACGGAGAAAGATATTATTGGTTGGAGATACGGGTTGTGCCATAGCATGCCTTGCCGGCGCATGGACGTCGAGCAAGCACTCAAATCCATTCCCAGCAGCGTCTGTAACGCCAGAGGTGAGGAAGAAAGCCATCAATATCAAAGGCCGTCAGATTGATTTGGATGTATGGGAAATCAAGCCTACGCATTTGCTAGGAAGATTGCTTCCTCATTCCCCTACGACCACTCATATGCTATTGATCTGTGTCGCCACCAACAGGCCTAGTCAATTCAGAAATACAGCGTTGATGGTATGTCTGATTGTACCTTTTGCGCTGAAGGGGTCAGAACTAACAACTGCAGTGGAGCGCGGAAGCCCGAGAACATCTTCCTGGTGTGCCAACAATACTTGTCGGATGCAGGAAATACCCCTCCCCAATAAAAACAAAGAGCGAATATGAGAGATGGATGAAACTGCAAAACCTGGCACTTTTGTCTTCTCGCGACGTAAGTTGGGCATCTTATTGATGATACAAAGACTGACCACGTACTCAGGGTGATAGTATGGCAGCGAGCATAGATGCATTAGCATACTTTGAGATATCGTCAATCGAAAGCCAAGTCTCATCGGATCTGTTTGACTTTGTTGGAGAATATATGTTGAGACATACAACAGAATAAAGAGCAGTCGGCCACAAGATGTTCTCGCAGAGGGAAATATCGACACCGGCCTCTGAACCGGTATCATGATGTCTATATATCCTTGCAAATCCATAGGAAGAGGTGGATTGTCCCTAATAATGGTGCATGCATATCTTGCATTCACGTTATCCTTCTTTAGACCATGCAGCTTGAATGGCACATCCGTACAAATAGTTCTCACAGCATAGAGGAGGCAAAGGCCAGGAATATCAAAGAAGCGTGTTCGAAGTTGGCGCAATGCAGACAAGATTGCCTCGGTTTATTCCGTCACAGAGCATTCCATATTCACCGTGCAGGGGCCAATAAGGAATTGAGTTTTAAATGATCACAGCGCAATGCAAGCTTACGGGCGGCCATATCCTTCAAACTCTTGCAAAAACGAGAAAAGGATGATCAATTAGGCTATGAAACGGGTAGTCAGGGCGGGAATGGTGCCTAAGACTCATGTTGCATAGAAGGAAAACTTGTTAAGATGGATACCATACGACTCTTGGGTCCTGTTGTCCAGGAACTTGAATGAACAGTGATATTTTGGGGGTCAGGGGTGGAGTTGGCTCACATGTGTCCACAGCTGAACATAAACGAACTTACATGCGTCCCTCATATCACTCGACCTGTTAGATGATAAACCATGACATATAAGAATTATACCCACTTTGCGTTTTCTGACCCGATTCACCCGATTTTCCCAAAGCGAGAATCCTTGAAATCACAACTACATCAAATCACACCACACATGTCTCAAGAAACAAGCACTGCAAAAAAATATATAAATCATAAATCATGTTTCTATTTTTCAACCCCCAACACCAATTTAAATCTTCACACCCTCCAAAATCGGCCTCGCCTCCTCAGACTGCCACCACCCATCCTTGCCACCAGGGAAACTGAACTTCTCCATACTCTCAGGCTTCATCTCAACCGAATAACCCGGGTCCATGGGGGTAACATAATACCCATTCTCAATCCTACTGGGGTGGAAGAAGTGCTCATGCAAATGATCCACATATTCGAGGACACTCTTCTTTCCGCTCACGACCACATAATCGATCGTAGAAAGGTGCTGCGTGTACTCTGGCAGACCCACACCACCAGAGTGCGGTACAATGGGGATGTTGAACTTGGCAGCCATGAGGAGCACGGCGATGACCTCGTTGACGCCTCCCAGACGGCACGCGTCGATTTGGCAAATGTCGATTGCGCCAGAGGCGAGGAATTGCTTGAACATGACACGGTTTTGGCACATTTCGCCCGTGGCGACGCCGATGTTGTAGGGTTTGAGGGCTTCGCGGATGGCTTTGTGGCCGAGGACTTTATATTCACATTAGTTTATCATCCCTTTCTCAAGAAAAGTAGATAGGAAAAGGAGAAGGGGAAGATGTGGAATGGGAAGGGGGGATAAAACATACCATCATCCGGACTCGTCGGCTCCTCAATGAACCACGGCTTAAACTCCTTCAACTCCTTCATATACTCAATCGCCTCGGGCACACTCCACACCTGATTCGCATCAACCATGAGCACGTTTCCACGGTCAAACCCGATAATCTCGCGCGCAATACTCAGACGCTGCTTATCCTGCGCAATATCACTTCCAACCTTGAGCTTGAAATGCCTGTACCCCTTCGACAGCGTGTCTTGGAGTAGACTCCGCATCTTGTCCTCGCCGTAGCCCAGCCAGCCCGCAGACGTAGTGTAGGCGGGTACAGCGCGGCTGTCGAGGGCTTCCTGGAGGCGTTCTTTCTTGCCTGTTTCGGCTTTTGTGAGAATTTCGAGGGCTTCGGCTGGGGTTAGGGCGTCGGTTATGTAGCGGAAGTCGATTAAGTCGACGATTTGCTGGGGGGTCATGTCTGCGACTATGCGCCAGACGGGCTTGCCGAGGGATTTGGCCCATAGGTCCCAGATGGCGTTTACGACGGCGCCGAGGGCAAGGTGGATGACGCCTTTTTCGGGGCCGATCCAGCGGAGTTGCGAGTCGTTGACGAGATGGCGCCAGGTCTTGCCCCAGTTGGCGACGAGGGAGTCGAGAGTGTGGCCTTTGATGCGATCTGCGAGGTGGGTGATGGCGGTGCATACAATCTCATTTCCACGGCCAATTGTGAAGGTCTTGGTGTTTGATTAGAAATATGTCGTAGTTTAGGCATGCTTTTGAGAGGAATAGTGTCTTTCATGTTCAGGACTGCGTCAAGACACATGTCCATGGGGCCAATAGTCCTACAGATCCAATTCTTCCGAACAACTTATGGGAAAACAGGATCTCTGACTCACCATGCCATGGCCCTTGAACTCTGAGTCGGTGTGCAAGATGCAGTAAGCTGAAGAGTAGTCTCCAGCGGCATTCATAGCATCGGAGCCAGTCTTGTCGAGGGACGTCTATATCTTTATGAGCCACTCAATCCCTAACGTAAGCCCTCAATTTTATATACGACTTACCGGGAACCGTACGTCCTTCGTCTCAACACCTGTAATTGTAACCATGGCGGTGATGTGTCCTGTGATTCTGATTCGGAATGTCTTCGGAACGCAGCGTGATACCCCGCAAAGTCTGTTTGGTAACTAAACTGCCTTGGACAATTGATCAAAATTGAAAAAGAGAGGAAAAGTGACGAGACTGATGAAGAAAAGTGTCCCTTTCTATACTGGAGGAGAACAGATCTAGACTTCTATTCGACTAGCAAGTCACCCACGCGACTACCCATCCACCTCAACTATCGTGACAATGCCGTAGCGCAACCCCACTTGCCCCTCGTCATTCGTGGAAGAACTAGGCCACGCCACTACTTGGGGCTGGCAAAAACCGGGGCTTCTACAACCGCTCCGATGCGGATCCCGATAATTTATTTACCTCGCATCTAAGTATTTCCAGCACTCTTGCGAATGGATGGAACCCTGGTCGACATGCACAGAGAGACGCCTCGTAAATGCTTCGCGTCTAGGCAAGAAGCTTGAGTTTGATAACGCATTACCAGGCTGGAACGGCGCTGTCGTATACTGCAACAACAGCATCGTGTCTCCAAGAGATAGAGAAAATTGCATGGATCACAGCTTACGTGCAACCTACCTTTCATCACGGAACCTTGATTTTACAGCGATGAGGGGAGGCAGGGGCCCCCGAATGTCACCGTCAGCCTGAGAGTACCGGGCTCACCAGGTACCCCAGTCCTACCCTGAGCATAGCGGAGGCGAGGTCATCAGTATATAGGCTCCAATTGCAACTGGTGTAGGGATTGCAATGGGCCTGTCTGTTAATAACGCACCAACCGAGAATGACTGGACAGACCTGACTTGAGACTCCATTCTCTCCATATATCCATTAATTACACTTCGTATCGTGATGCAAGATCCGAGGACCCTACCACGCGTCAATAGCTAACCAAGGCAGGATTGCCCAGATACTCACTCGCCCGAATCATGGGAATGCTCAAGCCACTGTTGGCTTTTAGTTGAGCATGTTGCAATATCTGACCTTGAATGACAATGCTACTTTAGATGAATAGGCAAAAAAGCCTATTTAATCCCCCTCTTTTCAGTCTCACTGTAGTAGATGACCATACGCCAAAGCTTCTTGACCAGAGCTTCTGCTTCCTCATCAAGGGCCTAGACTGGCTGTTAGCAACACAACATACAACAAGAAGGAGCGAGAACACTGACAACTTCCAAATTCTCTACCAAAGGCTGTGGTGCGCCTCTGCTCTTCAAGTGTTCAACAATAGCATCGACGAGCATTTCTTCTTGAACACCCATAATCTCAAGAACCTTGTTAGCGGCCCATTCTTTGATATCCTTGTTGATATTCTTCTCAGGCAAGTGCTCCCAAGAGACTGCCCAGTTCCACAGGCCTTCCTTATCGTTGGGAATGTCACGCGCAAGCTGTCGCTGAGCTTCCTCAATCTCTTCTTGGGTAAGATTGGCACGAACAGCAGCATCGAAATTGATGGGGATAAGTGTTCGCTTCTTGGAACCGGCCTGGTCGGTGAGATCTTCGTCTTCGAGAAGGTTTTCGACGTCGGCTGCGGTGCGACGGGGAGCAGCAGTCTGTTCGAGCTTCTTGGCGGCTGCACCGAGAGAAATCTTGAAATGTGCTGGCTCGCGTTGCTCCTCCCTGCGCATCAGTTCTTCGCCCTGCTCTTCCAGGAAAGCGTCGGCTTGACCACGAGCGTGGTCTTGCTGTCGCTTCTGGGCCGCCATTTCGCGTCGCTCCTGGTCTCGATCGATGGCGTCTTCCTTAGCTTCGAGGCCACGAACCTTTTCACGTTCACGGATCCAATCGCTGTGATCGCGATAGTATAGATCGCGCCTGGAAGCTGCTTCTTGGTCGTCATCAAACTCCCGGAGTTGCTTAGCCTGTGCGACACGAGCCTTCTCACGCTCAGCATCCATATTCTTGAAGTAGTCGTTGGTACGGTCAAGCGAGGCCACAGTACGGCGTTCTGTGTTGAGCCATCGATGAAGCTGCTTCTTGTACGCTTCTTCGGCTTCGTCGTTACGCTTCTTTTGACGACGGCGCTCAAGTTCAGAGTCGCTGGCGGAATCATCGTCATCTTCCCGGGAAATATAGACGCCATTGTTCACGGCACCGCCATTCACAAAGTTGACACCAGCTTGATAATCGCGAGGGAATTGCGATCCCTTGGGTCCACTGGGGGCACCCTGAACACCTCGTTCTGCCCTTGGACCCAATGGTACACCGTTAGCATTTCCAGGTCCACTAGGAGCAGAGGATGGTGGCGTTGCGCGGCGACCACTGCGGCGACGTTCTTCGGCCTCGAGCTCCTCTTCCCTCCGTAGACGGTCGCGGTCGCGCTGGTTGGAACGGTCGCGGAAGGCGGCTATCTCGGCGGCGACCACCTCGCGCATTTCGGCTGGGATGTCTGCAAGTTCGTCCTCTCCAGTAGCGAGGTTAACAAACGCAACCTCGACATCCTCGCCATCTTGTGTCGGCGCGTCTTGCATGACTGTATCGCCTGCGTAGTCCATGTTGGGCGCATTGGGCGGGTTGAAAAAGCTTGCGAGAACCGAAGAAAGGGCTTCCTTTGCGCTATCAAGGCGGAACTGAACTGTAGCCTCATCTTCGTTTCGAGTCTTGCTCCATTCTTCAGCATATTTGATCGAGGCATCGTCAACCATGATGTGCAACTTGGTAGTCTCGACCTCTTCCTCTTCACCGTCCTCTTTCTTTGCCGCGCCTCCGGGCTTTTGGCGCTTTGTGGGCACACGGATATCTTTGAAGATCTCCGCCGCTGTTTCCAAGCTCTGCGCGTCGGCAAATTCTGCGAAACCGAATGTCTGGGGCTTGTTGTTGGCATCGGTTGCCCTCGTCCACCGGACCAATTTTCCCGCCGTCTCAAGAATGCGCTCCATGCCATCATCACCTCCAACGCCATCTGGGATGTTGCCAACAAAGATGGTCCTGGCAATTTCCTCGCGAGTGGGTGGATTGACGGGCTGAGGTCCATCTCGGCGATCGCCATCTCTGTCCATACCAAGCCCACGACGAGCGGGTGGTGCTGCATTATCTCTACGGCCGCCTACTGGGCTGTCGGCCGCGCCAGGACGACCTCCTTGTGTTCCCAGGCGGATGACGGGCGCGTTGAAGTTGAAGTTTGGCATGCTTGCGGGTGGCTGCCAGCCGGATGGAAGGGCACGAGATCCGTTTGCCGCTGGGGGCATCTGAGCGTTTGCGACACCTGGCGGAGGTGCTACACCAGGGGGAGCTGCAGCGCCTGGAGGACCTGCACGTTATTAGCGTAAGTTTGAGTTGATTGGGCGATTTTACATACCCATCCCAGGAGGGGCCATACCAGGCGGAGCTCCTGCATAGCCTGGAGGCCCATTGTATCCCGGAGCACCTGCGCATGTTAGTTGTTTCCGCGATGCAGGAATGTGCGAACGTACCAGGATAGCCGTACATGTCGAATGAATGCGCAGTCGCAGAGCCCAACAGAATACAAAAGTCAGAAAGACGGTTCTCACAAAAGGTACCTGTGTGAAGGTGACACTTTGGTGAGAGGTTGGCGAGCGAGAGAGAGCAAGCCGTGGATTAGATTTGGAGCTGCAAAGGCGCTCGGACCTCACCGAACCTCCGAAGAATTTGGGACTTGCGTTTGCGACGTGCATCATCTGCATGCTCGACCTCCGCGAATCCGCAATTGAATCTCGTCGCGCACCACAACGTCGACAATGGCTTCGAAATGCCTCGGCGAGCTGATGCTCCGTTCGTCTTCCACAGCCCGCATGCCATATGCGCACATGGGCAAGCAGACATGGCCATGGATATGTCACCGCGGCTTCTCCCACACCCCAACTCGACCGGCACAACCGACAAGGAACGACGGCAATGACCAAAGCTACGCATCTGAGGGAGAATCAAATAGGCCAATAATCCGCTACATCTCCGATAAAGTGGCTCCAGAGGCGCAATCACCGCAACAAGCTCAGCCACAGCCCACTCAAGACGAAACCACGCGAACAATCGACTCTCTCTTCAGCGGCATGCCCACCAACCGGACTCCACCACCATACATGCAGCAAAACGCTGCGCCAGGATCAAAGAATAACCGTATATTTGGCGCCGAATTCTCAAACGCAACCCGCTTGCGGCCTTCTCGCCCACCAGGCCTAGCCTTTGACTCTATGGCACTGCCCGACTCGATGCTGAACCCCAACTTGTCCAACAAGCCTTCTGATGCATCCAGCCTAGCCGTACAACAAGAAGAAACATTCTCCTCCTACCCGCGTCTTAACCCAACATATGGACGCACAGTGGAGCTGGATGCGAGCCGCGGACGAGATATTGTGCGAGGAATTGGCATGCTGGGCAGTCTAGTGGCGCGCAACAAAGTCAAGGCCGACTTCAATAGACAGAGATTTCACGAACGAGGAGGCCTAAAACGAAAGAGGCTGGCGTCAGAGAGGTGGAGAGCGAGGTTCAAGCAAGGCTTCAGGGACGTCACTGGACGAGTCACTGAGCTGACGAGGAAGGGATGGTAGATGTCCGAGCGTATACGACGCAGGAGCCAGAAGATGCGCCATGTATGACTTAGGTACGAAGTTCACAGACTGTACTATAACAGCATTTGCATGTGCCTGCATAGGGATCTTGAAATCTCAAAGACATGTGATGCGGGTATCATCTTACATCAGATTCTACGCACACCATTTTTTACCACCGATTCACTCTACACACTGTCTTGTGTCATTGCCTCCATCTGTCAGGTGCATTGGATCTCCCATGTAACGGAAATCTTCCAACCGTACCAAACCCATAATTGGAGACCAAATACGATGATTGGATCCCCTAACCACTGCGGAGTTGGCTCGGAGGTCTTGAGCCGCCGCGGGAAGACAGCTGCGCACAGGCCATCCAACCGTGGACCCAACCATGTCCTCAAGTTGACACGGCGCATCTTGAACCACGCCCCGTAGCTGCCCTCGTGCGCAGCGCAATGTACCCCCAATAACCAGCCTGTCACCAAACACCGAACCGTCTTCGCAATCGCAACAATCGCATCTTTAAGAACCAGCAAAAAGAAAAGAAAAGCAGAATGACACCCAAACTGTCCAGGAGACCCTGGCTCCCAGCCGTCGCCCTCTTCTCCTTCTTCAGCACGCTCGCGACGGCATTGAGCGGCCAGGAGCCGCTGGGTACTCTGGAAGAACAACGCGGATACAACCCCGGCGAGCCAATTCCCGTCAGCTGTCTAAATCGCACCATGTAAGTCGAGTTCTTGTCGCAAGCAAAGGACGACAGAATATGCGCTGACACTTTCCCTCCCAGAGAAACAGGTGAACATGTACGTCCTTAGGCATACCCACGCAGCAACGAACACCCCAGGAGAAAAGAAAAGAAAACTAACCAAAGGGGGAAAAACAGATCACAGACGCAGCCGGCCACCTCCAATACATCCCCTTCCCCGTCTGCAACGAAACCGGCCGCCCCCTCGAACTCTTCTTCGGCATCGAAAAAGACGTAAACTGCACCATAGACTTTGTAACGGACGAATTCTTCCACCGTAAGTCCTTGCCTTCCCCCCCCCCCCCCTCCCAAACTCCCCCAAATATCTAACCACCCAAACCAGTCCTCGAATTCTACATCCACAACGACGCCCCCCTCTCCTGCCGCATCCCCTCGAAACCCCTCCCCCCCTCGGTCCTCGCAACCCAATACATCGTCTCCGACTCGGCAACCCAAGAAGGCGCACTAGGCTCCCAATCCTCATCCTACACCCCGCTCGTCGTCGCACTAGCAGGCACACTCCAACTCTCACACTTGCACGTAGGAAACTATCTAAACTTGCTCGTCCATGCCGCACCGAAACAAAGCAGCCCCGGCACAATCGATGCGGCAACGGCGTATAGCGTGAGTAGCCATACCAGAAACACAAAGATTACGATTGGGGATAGTTTGCCCTTGGTGTTTGCCGTGAGGTGGTATCCGAGTACCACGTTGCCACCGGGTTGGAGTGGGTATGGAGGTCACATTTATACGAGTACGTTGGTGTATTGTTTCCTGAGCGCCGTGGCGAGTGCGGCGGTTTGTGTGGTTTATTTTAGGGGCGTCGAGTTGCCGAGGAGGCTCAAGAGGTATGCGACGGATAGGATGAATGGGGGTGCAAGGGGTTTTGGCAATGGAGGGAGTGGGTATGGATTGCCTGTTGCGAATGCGAGGGATGGGGCTCCAGGCATGGGCAGTGGTTATGGCTTGGGAGGATATGGGTACAGAGGTGGAAAGAGAGCCGACTAAAAAGTACATACCAAACAGTTATTCAAAAAATAGAATCCAGACACCAGTCCCAAGAGGCAAGACATATCCATTTTCATATTTATTCATTCGTATATCATGATGCTGTGGCTATCTAGGGATGCTCCGGGCGCTTACATACTACATACTAATTTGGCCTTTTTTCTCGAGAAATCCTCCAGCCGTTACAGCCGTGCCTCTACCGTCACATGCATTCTGTCATTTACAAGGCAGACTTCTTCTTGAATGCATTGATGAGTCCGCTCGTGCTGGCATCGTGAGCAGTCGACTCCTTGTCGTCATCAAGCTCAGCCTGAATCTTCTTGGCCAGCGACTTGCCGAGCTCAACACCCCACTGGTCGAAGCTGTTGATGTTCCAGATAGCGCCCTCGGTGAAGGTGAGGTGCTCGTAGTAGACAATCAAGGCACCCAGAGTAGCCGGTGTGATCTTGTCTGCCAGGATTGAAGTAGTCGGGCGGTTACCAAGGAATGTCTTGTGGGCAATAAGCTCCTCTGGTGCTCCCTCAGCCTTGACCTCATCTGGCGTCTTGCCGACCATGAGGGCCTCAGCCTGGGCGAAGAAGTTGGAAGCAAGCATCTTCTGGTGCTTGTTGTTGTCAACGGGGTTGTGGCTCTTGGCAGCTAGGATGAAGTCGGTGGGGATGAGCTTCGTGCCCTGGTGAAGGAGCTGGTAGAACGAGTGCTGTGCGTTGGTGGCGGGCTCACCAAACAGAATGGGGCCGGTGGTGTACTTGACGTAGTCACCGCTGCGGGTGATGGCTTTTCCGTTTGACTCCATGGAAAGTTGCTGGAGGTAGGCAGGGAACCTGTGCATGTACTGGTCGAATCTAGACCATAGTTAGAACACATATCACCTGATCAATGTCACAAACTTACGGAGAGACAAGATGTGTCTGGGCACCGAAGAAGTCAGAGTACCATACACTGAGCAGGCCACCAATGACGGGAATGTTCTGCTCAAGAGGGGCCTCCTTGAAGTGCTTGTCCATAGCGTGGGCACCAGCAAGGAGTTGGTGGAAGTTGTCGAAGCCAATGTAGAGGGCAACACTCAGGCCAATGGCACTCCAGACACTGTAGCGTCCACCGACCCAGTCGGAGAAGCCAAACATGTTCTTCTTGTCAATACCAAACTTGGTAACCTCTGCCTCGTTGGTAGAGAGAGCGACAAAGTGCTTGGCAATGTCCTCTTGCTTTGCGCTGTCCAAGAACCATCTCTTGGCAGTGTTGGCGTTGGTAACTGTCTCAGCGGTGGTGAAGGTCTTGGAGGCAATGAGGAAGAGGGTAGTCTCGGGATTGGAGTCCTTGAGGGCCTCTGCAATGTGTGTGCCGTCAATGTTGGAGACGAAGTGAATCTTGAGGTCGCGCTTGGCGTAGGCCTTGAGGGCTTCTGAGACCATGACGGGGCCACTGTTTCATGTCAGTGACGCCAATTGAAGCTCTGCAACACAGCAGTAACATACAGATCAGATCCACCAATACCAATGTTGATGATGGTGTCAATCTTCTTGCCAGTGTATCCCTTCCACTCGCCGCTGCGGACTTGCTCACTGAACTCCTTCATGTGGTCGAGAACGCTGTTGACATCTTCGACAACGCTCTGGCCGTCGACCTTCATCTCCTGGTTGGAGACGTTGCGGAGCGCAACATGGTAGACAGCACGGTTCTCAGTGAAGTTGATCTTCTCACCGGCGAACATGTCATCACGGAGCTTCTCGAGGCCAGACTCCTTGGCAAGCTCGACGAGCAGCTTCAGGGTCTCCTCTGTGATGAAGTTCTTGGAGAAGTCGAACAGAATCTCAGAGTTCTCGGCATCGTTCTTAAAGGTACGACTGAATTTCTCGAAGCGCTACAAGGGATCAGACAGTGGATGCATCGGATTGTTTGGGTCTTACCTGGGGATCCTTCTTGAAGTACTCCTTGAGTACAATGTCCTTTCCAAGCTTCTGGTGGTGGTCCTGGAGCGCAGACCAGGCGCTGAGGTCCGAGGCTTGTGCGAAGCCAGGCATGTTGAGCTATAGGGCTGGAAAGGTGGGGTGAGTATGCAATGACGTATACGGGACTGGTGTATACGAACTATCAAAGTCTTTCACGGTGCACAGTCGGGTATCAGGAGGGGTCAATTACAAGAGGGAGAGACGAGTGAAGATTTGCAAGTAGAGTTGATGAGGTGATTGTTAGTGTTTTGGCTGAAGGGTAGGAGAATTGGCAAGGGCGCGCGCGGCCGAGACCCCGCTTGCGTCAGAGCTTCGTTGAGAGGGGCACCACTTTTACCAGCATTAGGAAGCCGGGCAGCAGCTCTCCCGTTGGCTCTAGCCTTACCAAGCCGATGAGTAAGGTGTGTCTCATGGGCGCTACGGCTATGCACATGGGTGAGTTATTATGCACCATTGGGGGACATGTGGTTCAATGGGGATATCGTCTTGATTTGCTTTGCCTAAATGTAGGCATTTCTCATACAAATGCTGCCTCAAGCGCCATACCGTTGCTCCCGAACCCAAAAAAGCATCAAAGAGCGCTGAGAAGCCACCAATCAATATGCATTCTGTCTGTGGAGCCATCCAAAGCCGGTGGATGATTTTCCTTGCGCTCGGCTCCATCGCCGGGACAAGCCAAGCACCAACTCAACGGCTCCGAAGCCGAGTTATTCTGAGTCCAAAACTGCTTTATCTTTCAGTCACGCCCTCAAAAGATGGGTCCTTTACTGAACCGCCTGCATCGCCAAGACCAGCAACGGGGCGGTTGTATGACCAACCTGCAAACTGCTGTTGCATCGTCTGGGAGAGCATCGGTCCATCGACATACGAGTCCGTCGGCGCCTCGGAAGTGAACTCGCGGTCAAAGTTTGCAGTGTCCTTTGCGTCAACCTGCGATCTATTAGCATGCATCGACATTTGGGTATTGTGAGTATACGCACCACATTGGGCTTGAAGCTGGGCTCGTACTTTCTCTCGAGCAGCTTTCGCCAGTCAATACTATGGAAGAAGTAGTGTGCCTTGATTTCCGCTGCGCCCTTTGCTCCTAACCGCTTCTCCGCGTTACGGTCTAGCAGGCGGGTCAGCAAGTCTCGCGCAGCTGGCGGCACAACTTCGGGGCCTGGGAAATGAAGAGGCTCGGTGAGAATCTTGCGGTACATGTCGTTGGTGTTTTCGTCGTAGAACGGTGGCAGACCAGTCAACATCTCATATAGCAGCACACCGAGCGTCCACCAATCCACGGCCTTGGTATAGCCAGCACCAGTCAGAAGCTCAGGAGCAAGGTATTCTGGGGTTCCGCAGAACGCTATGCAGGGTCAGTGTCAGGATGCGGCAAGGGTCCTAAGCGACTTACTGTTTGTCCTGTCCTCGTCCTTCATGTCAAGCTTGCAGAGACCAAAGTCGCAGAGAGCAATGTGTCCCGTGTAGTCGAGCAGAATGTTCTCTGGCTTCAAGTCACGGTAGATGACATTGAAGCCGTGCAGACATTCCAGAGCACAGAGAAGTTCAGCGGCATAAAATCGGGCTCGGTTGATATCAAAACGCTGCTCCTTTTGGAGATGGTGGAAAAGCTCGCCACCGTTGACAAACGCTAGGACTAGGTAGAGCTTCTCTGGCGATTGGAATGAAAACTTCAATGGTACAATGAAGGGGTTGTTGATCTGGGCTAATACTGAACGTTCGGCTAGGGTATGCGCGACTTCAGAGCGAGAGATGATGTGTGCTTTGCGGATAGTCTTGAGGGCGTAGATTCGGTGCGTGTCCTTTTTCCTGTTTTCTGTGAGCATACGAGAGACGGTGGCGGAAGAGTAAGCACATACTGCACCTGCATGACCTTTCCAAAACTGCCTTTGCCGACAACCTTGAGAAGCTCAAAGTCGTCGATTGAAAGACGGTCCTGTCGGTTCTCGACGAAGTTAACGCCAACCTTCATTTGACCACTGCCAAACTGCACAGGTATCCAGTCAGCGCCGGCCTGACCAGATCCATCTTCTGCCTTTGCCAGCTTTCCATCTTGCTGCTGCTCCTCGAATCGTGGCGTGACCTTGAGAGTACCGATAAAGATATCTTCACTGCGACCGGCAGTGGGTGCGGCGGAAGGGTTGCGGATGTAGAGCGAGACGGTGACGTCGGTAGCGCGCGACACATCGAACTTGTACTGTGTGTTGCTGCCGGCCCAAAGAGGGTTCTCGGGTGTACCTGAGACGGCGTTGATGAAGACTTGTTGCTTGTCAAAGTCGACAAGGGCGTAGGGAAGGTGTTTCGAAGAATAGCGACCGTGGATGGTGGGTGCTGCGTTGATGCTGCCAGCAGCAGACTGTGGGCGGCCGGCGTAGGAGCCAGCAGCGTTGCGAGAGGACGAGCCAGGGCGCATTGAGCCAGCGACCGAGAGGCCGCCACCCTGGGACAGGGAGCCCTGGTGGTGGCCCTGGCCGCTGAATTGCTGCTCGGCGCCCGGAGGCAGTGAGAATTTCTGACCCTCATGCAGGGTGACTATGAGGATACCCGGGCGCAGGGGCCCAGCAGGCGCAGACGATTGTGCTTCGGACGCAGCTGTGTCTGTGATCAGCAGAAGCGAAGGTAGGGGCGGGGGAGTGTGTTTGTACCAATGCCATTGTCCTTTGCGTCTGTGAGGCTGCTCGCATGGCTCGAGGCCTTGGGCGTGGCCTGGTCGTTGACTATTGTGGACGTCGACGACGAGCGACTGAATGTGTTGGCCAAGGGCGCCAGGTGCGTCTCCTTGAGTTCTGCAGCGGTGGTTAGAATTGGAGCGGCAGCGCAGACGAGGCCAAGGGACACGTACTCTTGGTGAGCTTCCAAGACATGGTTGCGGCAGCTCAGCGGTGGTTAGGTGCAGAAAGACAGACGAATATGGTCAGAGGGTGGAGACTTGGGGGCAGGCGGCGAGAGAGAGAGAGGGGGTGTGCGCACCCAAGGAGCGGCGGTGCAGCTTATGAGGGCAGGGTGGGCGTGGGTTTGCAGTTGGCGCAGAGGCAGTGGAAAGGAGAGAGAGGCACAGAAGAAAGGTCGAGGGAGTGTCGACAGTGGCAACGTGTCTGGTGTCCGAGAGCCGACCAGCGCTTTGAGTAGGCTTCTCCAGAGCTCGAGATAGGGTCTCACGTTTGAGGGGTCATTGGGTCGCTAGCCTTAATCTCGGCCGGCGGCGACCAGGTCGTGTTTCCCGCACTGACACGCCCATTCGCGCCCTCTGTCATTTCCCAGTGTTTAGACCCGCCCCTACGACGAGCAAAGACGCGGGCCGGGCGCAATTCTCTTCTCTTTGCTGGCGACAACCGGCGCCGGGAGACGCGACATGTTGTAACAGATCCCCCGGGCAGTGTGCAGCGCAGTGCAGTGTGCAGTGAGTGCAGTGTGTCTGCGTACTTGGGCTGTTTGCTCGCCTCGGCTACAGTTTCCGCCGCGGACAACCTCCTATTGCGCGTACATAGACACATACTGTACACATACACACACACATACACATACACGCACATCAACGCATACTACCAGCTCACCCACACCCGTCATCCTGCATCATCATCATCATCACCACCACCACCGTCCGACATCGCATCACATCGCATCGCATCGCATCGACGTCCCGAGACCTGGAGACGCGCAACCGTGCAGTCGTGGGGCCCTGTCGTCCCGCCGTGTTGCAGCCCAGCTGGCGGCTTTACCGCTAGTCGACCGCCTGCGAACTGACACGCGCGTCTGCAGTGCCCTGCGCACAGCCACATGTCCTGTCTCACCTCCGCACGCCCACCCCAACCCCAAACCTGACCCGTCCAGTCTGGTCGCCTAGTGCAGTCTGTGTGGCGACAACGACGACGACGACTTTCACTCACCTGCCACCCCACTCGCAGCCGAGCGGGGTACCATGGGTGTCATCAAGAAGAAGACAGGTGCGCGCGGTACCGAGGGCGGCACCAAGTATGTTTGCGACGTCTGCTCGTCCGACATCACGTCAACGGTCCGTTTATGCCTTGCTCTCCGTGCTGCCACTGCACGCGTGCTAACCCTCCCTGCAGGTTCGCATTCGCTGCGCCGAGGAAGTATGCCACGAGTATGACCTTTGCGTGCCATGTTTCGCCGAGGGCAAAGCCACAAAGGACCACCAGCCTGCCAAGCACAAGTTCAAGGTCATCGAGCAGCATTCGATTCCTATATTCACCGAGGACTGGGGCGCCGACGAGGAGCTGGCTCTCATAGAGGGAGCAGAGACATATGGCTTGGGTTCCTGGGCAGACATTGCCGACCATATTGGCGGCTTCCGCGAAAAGGACGAAGTGCGAGACCACTACATCGACACGTACCTGAATAGCCCCAGCTTTCCCCTGCCGGAACACTGCAGCAAGGATGACACCGAGCTCAGCACCCGCATACCGCGTCATGAGTTTCAGGCGAGGAAGAAGCGGAGGATTGAGAAGAAGAAGGAAGAAGCTGCCAGTCGCGAGCCCGAGGCTCCCAAGCAGAAACCCACGGCCAGTGTCCCTGCTTGTCATGAGGTCCAGGGCTACATGCCAGGTCGTTTGGAGTTCGAGACGGAGTATTTCAATGAGGCAGAAGAGGCGGTCCAGCATATGCAGTTCGAGCCGGGTGACGGCATCAATCCCCGCACCGGCGAGATTGAACCCGAAATGGAGCTGAAGATGGTCATTATGGAAATCTACAACCACCGCCTGGATGCACGTGTGGAGAGGAAGAAGATTATATTCGAGCACCAGCTGCTCGAGTACCGCAAAAATCAACTAGCAGACAAAAAGCGCACAAAGGAAGAGAAGGATCTCATGAACAAAGCTAAACCTTTTGCGAGAATGATGCTACACGCCGACTTTGAGCAGTTTTGCAAGGACCTCGAGTACGAGCATAATCTGCGACAGGCCATCTCACAACTACAAGAGTGGAGGAACATGCAGATTACCAGTCTTAAGGCCGGCGAAAAGTACGAACAGGAAAAGCAGCAGCGGCAGACACGGCCACCACCCATCGGCCAGTTCGACCGCCTTGCGTCCAGTAGGATGGCAAAGCCCCAGCCTCCCTTTGAGCAGCCATCAGCCGCTACTGCACTGCTTGCGCAAGATCTTCCCCTGCACGTCAAGCAGAGCAGCGGACTGAGTACACCGCCGCCAGACCGTGCGCCCAACAACACCAACGGCGTTAATGGTACAAATGGAGTGACGACCCCTCAGCTTACAAAGACCAAATTTGTACCTAAGCCACTTCCTAACACAGTGCCCCTGAAGTTTGGTAAAGAGTCCAAGGCAGATCTCCAATTGCTTAATGCCGAGGAAGTGGAACTGTGTAGCGTCCTGCGAATCATGCCGAAACCATATATTGCGCTTAAGGAGATGGTTCTTCGTGCAGCCCTCCTTAATGGCGGTGCGCTCAAGAAGAAGACGGCCAGGGAGATTTGCAAGATTGACACCAACAAGTCATCGCAGTTGTTTGAATATTTTGTGCATAGTGGATGGATAGCAAGGGCATAGGGGGCACCTGTTGAGTGAGAGGAGGAGATGAGTGATGCCGAGGAAGAAGACGCAAGCCGTATGTACGAGGAGAAAGAATAATGACGATCTGTATGAGATATCGGGCGAGGAGGATCCAGCTGCCGATTAGATGGCGTCTAGGTAGGGTATACCCTGGTCACGGGAGGCGTTGTAACTTCGTACGTACTTAGTTGGCATTATCGTTTGCACATCATTTGTTGAATACACATTATTCATGCGCCCTCCAAAAGGCGCTCAACAGACTCACGATGCGGCCAACGTCGCGACCACCTTGACGATGGCTGTCCAAGCTCCTCGCTACTCGCTACCCCAGCGACGGCTTACCATAAACAAACGATCGACTTGCACGGTTCCCCACTCGCATCTCCATCACCACACACGCCACGCCCATTATGAAGCTCTAACTAATTCTCCGATTCCTGGGGACTTGCCGACTACCGAAGCTTTCGAGAAGCAGCACCTGCCATCCTTGCACCAAGGCTGACCTCATTCGTCCGCTCCGCTAGCCGTCCCTGAAACTACGTCCCACGGGCAACCCCGATCCACCTCCCTGCATGGCCGCCCAGTTGCGCTATCCCAACGACATGCCTGGACCGTATACATTTTCGCCATCGCATACACGTGGGGACTCGCGGAATAGCTGCTTCGACTCGACGAGGCGGTACTCGCTTGCGTCTGAAACCACTGGTCGCCAGGTGATTGACTCGGATGCGCACGAGACCCGGAAGCGATCGCGATATGGCGACAGCACTGCGCCAGGCTCTTGGAGCGACTATCCCTTGAACAATAACCGCTTCATTCATAATAAGAGTCCGCCTCCGCTCGCAAACGACCGCTATGAACTAGCCGGGGGGATGGATGGACCGCAGACATTCGGACGACGAGACGGCGACTACGACGACTACTTCAACCTTCAAAGCCAGCGCGGCACCTGGTCTGTACCCCCGACTCCCCAGGTTGGCCTTTCTACGCAGGCGGCGGCTGGGGAAATGCACACAACACCGAATGGAAGCAAGGCTTGGTCATTGATCAGCCTTGTAGGCGGAGTAGCCGGCAAGCTCTTTGAGTTCTGCACGGTACCTTTCCGTGGCTTCCAAGCCGGCAGTGGACAGAAATACAATATCGAATCAAATGCGGATGTAGCAGAGAAACTGGGTCTTCACGACGATCCCTACAACCCAGGACCCGTCCAGCAACCAACCCCAGGCTCATTCCCGCGCGATGACTACGGCATCCAACCATTCCCTTCCATAACCCCAGAGCGCCCGCGATTAGCAAAACGCCTCCGCACAACAGACAACTGGGTCATGGTTGGCGCAGACTGCGAGACGGAATCCAGACCAGGCACACCGCGCCTATCCGAGCGCCGCCTCCCCGGCCACAGCCACGGTCGCTCGCCCTCCTCCCAAATCCCCCGCCCCGTCTCCCGCGCAAACCTCTCCACGCCCTCTCAAAAACGTCCCTCCCTCATCCCCGTCTCCCGCCGCTCAACAACAGACCGCCGCTCCCTGCACAGTCCTGCTCCTTCGCTTTCGAAATTCAGCCCCGGTACCCCTGCGTCTTCGCGCTCCTATACTACACGTCTTAGCTATGGCTCTCCAACATCGTTTTTCGAGAAGAACAACAGTGTGGCGAGTCCGTTGCCGCAGGAGAGCCAGCGCTTGATTGATAAGGTGAGGAAGGAGGAGATGGAGGAGGATGAGCGCATGCGGAGGATGAGTCTGCAAATGTCGGCTATGCTTAAGGAGGCGAATGAGGCTCTCGGGGCAAAGTTTGAGGTGGAGATGTTTGATGATGATGATTTGTGAACTGAGTTGGTTGCAAGTTCGCGTGTGCCATGTATGCAAAGAACGTTTTGTCTACTGGGAAGATTGCTCATGATTTCTCTTTTTGTGGAATCTCCTTTTTTTCTTTCTTCTCTTCTTATTATCCGCGATATAGGCGTCTAAGGGGAAGGTGTTTCTTTGGCGTTTACCTTTCATGTTCTCTTTTTTTTACTTGAAGCGAATTCAGAATGGTTTTTTTTTCTTTCTTTCTTCTAGATTTTTTTCCTCTTCTTCTTCTCCCTTTTATACCCTTGATTCAAAAATCGCTCCCTTTTTTAGTTAGGTGAAGGTTTATACATGTCAGATTAGGCTTATCTGAGTGCCATCTCACTTTCTTTTTGTTTGTTTTTTTTAAAAAAAAATTCGTAGAGTGAAGTAGAATGCATAGGTTCCAATCGACTTTATCCAAAGATGACTTTGTGACTAGTAAAGTTATATGTAAAAGGGTGTATATATATATACAACTATGGAAGTTTTCCGGCCTATGAAGTTAGAATACAAGGAATATACAACAACAAGAAGAAAAAATAAGAAGGGAATCCCATCCAACGCCGCGATAAAACCCCCCAATCCAATTCAATTGAACTTGACAATGGAAAAAAAAGAAAATCTCACCCAAGCAACCTCCCCAACCCCCCGCCCAAACTAACACTAAGACTAAAACTCAACTTGACTCCCTTCCCCCTAACCTCGACCTCACTCGTCCTCTCCCCCCACTCCCGCCTCAACTGCGCCCTCTGCTGCAACACACTCGGCCTCGCCGGCCTCTCCGTCTTCGCACTCTCCCTCCTCGCCATCCACGCGGTCCCCTTCTCCTGACTATCCTTTCTCAGCGGCTCAAGCATAGCATTAACCCCCGGGACTTGATGGGGAGGAACATTACCCGAAAGCAACGTCCCGTTTTTGAGGAGAAGCAGGAAGCAAGCGTAGCGATGAGGATGCAACGTGACCGACTTTACCTCTGCAATCGCAGCCTTGTCACTTTTTTCTTGAAGAAAGGAAACGAGGGAGGGGTAGCATGCCAAGTCCCACACGGCAGTGTTTTTTTCGGTTATGAAGACGAAGTTTCCGTCTGCGCCGAGGGCAACGATGCGGGGGCGGTCGCGCCACTTGCCGTTTTTTATATTTGCTTCTAGTGCGGAGAGGAGGGTTGGGGGGAGGTTTTGCCAGAGGTACGAGGACGAGTCGTGGGTGAAGAAGGACGAGTTGTAGGGGCCTAGGTAGCACCGGAGTTGCGGTACATGGCGGTTGGGAGCGTGGATGAAGGAGAGGAGTTCGTCGGGTAGTGGGCCCGAGGATTCGATGTGCGAGGTTCCAGTGGTGGAGCGGTAGGTTAGGATGAAGCTGTCTTCGGAGCCGAGGGTTAGGTGGTGGATGGTTTGCAATTGGGGGGATGCGAGGAGCCGGGAGAGTTTGGGGGGAAGGCGGGTACTGTGGTTTACATCAGAGTACGAATTAGTATATACTGTATAGTGGTACCCTTGTGCTACATGGTATACTACTACAAGGAGCGCTAGGTCGAAGGGGGCTAGGCAGGGGTTTTTCAAAGTAGGGAAAGGGGGAGCCATACTATTCTCGCGCCGACGGACACTGGAAAAAGTGGCTGCCCCGCTGCCCAAACGTAAACGTCTCGTCGCCCATTTTTTTTTTCGCGGGGGTGCGCGCCGGCGGGAAACTCGCTAATTTGGGATTTCAAGCGCGAAAGCGCGCGCACTGCTGGCGCTGGCGGACGGGGCGGTTCGGTTCTAGATCCGGGGTTTTTTGTTGTCTCTTTCTAGGCGGTGTGCAAAAGGACCGCAGGTTTGCAAAAGCGGGTATTGTCCGTTTGTGCCTGGATGCCAGTATAAAACTTTACAACAACTTGTTGTAAAACACACCTAGGAAAGAAGAAGAAAAAAGCAACGGTAAGAAAAGTTGGGGTTAAACCAACGAAGAGAGGGATTTCTATTGTTGTCTGACCAGCTTGTTTGTCCCGCCTTTTTGCCAAGCTTGATCGGCTACAAGGTTGCAAACAGGAATAAAGCCAAGTTGGCAAAGCAACAAAAGCATTAACGGCGGAGAGCCCATACTATTACTTTGCGTTTCAGGGCCGTCGTAGACAAGAGCAGAAAAAGGGGAAGGGTTTAAAGATACCCGAGACGCGTCTCCTTGTAGTACATAAGATCGGTGAGTGACCCTACAAATTAGGCAAAAAAGGACACAAGAATAGTTCCTTGTTATTAACAGATTTGCGGCTTTGGAGTGACTTTTGACTACGTATGACGTCATAACCGATATTCTCCCATCCAATCGCAACGTCCACGGCTTGAGCAAATGAGTAGCAACACGCCGAGTACCACGTCGTTCTTCACGTTTGGTCCAAACGATAGCTTTGTAGCTAAAAGTGCTGCGGGACTACAGTAGTATGTTCAATCACAACCACCAACCACCACCACCTACCACCGTCGTCACCCTCCCCTTCCCTCTCAGCCCTCCCTACATTTGCGCGCACGTATGAAAGACAATAAATAAATCCCTAACCCACCCCACTGTCGCAACCTCCCATCTAGTCTCCAAGACCACCTCCTCAGCCGCGCCGTCTCAGAAGTCCACTGGGCCGTCCTCGGTCCCACACCGGAATCCTGGGTCCTCAGCTCCAAAGACAGCGCCGGCAAGAGCAATCTAAAATGGGGCTCCGCGGTGCCGTCTCGCCTCCAAACCGTGCTGAATAAAACATGGCACTCGCCGCACCTCCGCGCGTTCCTCGGCCCAGACGACGGCTTCCTGGTCTGGCACCCCGATCTCATTCGCTGGGGCAACCTGCCTACAGCGCTTGAGGACGCATTGCAGTCGTGGCTGACTCCCTCTGGATGGCGGGTTGGACCGCCGCGGATGGTGACATGGGGGCCTGAGGGGGCGTTTTTCGCAATGAGCGAGTATGGAGATGTGGTGTTCAAGCTTGGTGAAGGCGATGCGTGGGAGATTTACAAAGAGACAGTTGAGGAGTGGAAGGCGGAAAAGGGGTTTCAGTGGAATCAGCTGGCGTATATTGCGCTGGATCCGTCGAGTGCGGATCAGTTTATTGCGGTGAGGAAGGATGGGACGTGGGCGGGCTCGATTGATGATGTTAATGAGGATGCGCTGGAGGGGTTTGCGCTGAACTTCTTTGCAAAGGCGAAGAGTAAGCATAAGGCTAAGCCCAGTACGTCGCAGCCGGGCGGTGACCAGCAGAATGGTACGGCAGAGTCGGAAGAGAAGAAGAGAGAGGCCGCGGTCAAGGCGCTGTATGAAAAGTGGTCGGTTGAGACGGCGAGTATGTTTGCCGCGGCGGCTGCGGCGTCGGCGGGCCCGAAACAGAAAACACCACGGAAGATACAGGTTCGCTCGCACTCGACTAGCTCGGATACGCCGCCCCCGTTGCATCGGTTACCTTCTTCCACGCCGAAGCTGTTCACAATGTTTCCGTATCTGCCGGGTAGTCTTACTACGTGTGCGCTGCCGGCGTGCAAGATGCTCAAGCTGGAAGAAAACAGCATACACGCCTGCCATCACGACGTGGAGAAGTTGCTTCGTGCGAGTGGGTTGTATAGTTATGAGTGGTTGCGTCAAGAGCGATTACGATGGCATCCTGATCGCTTTGGAAGACTGTGTGCGGAGGAGTGGAGAGAGACGGGGAAGAAGCTTGCCGGCGAGATGTTTAAGCTCATGAGCGTTTTGATGGAGGATCTTAAGGGAGATTCAGGGCAAGGGGGCAGTAGAGGTTCATAGATGTATGAAGAAACCACAATCATTGTGAGGGTCTGAGTGTGATATCGCAATGTGAAGGGCATGAGTGACTGGCAATGAATCAAAAGTCAGGTCAATGAAACTAAGAATTGATTAGAAAGCAAGTGAGTAGACTACAAAGAAGCGTAGAATAACAGAGGAGACGGAGAGTACAAGAAAAGGTATAAAAAAGGGGAATATCGCTGCGAGCACGCTCTGACGTCCAGCTGAATGAAACAACAAGCAAGAACATGCGAAACAGTGCAACCGACGAGTCGATCCCTCACCCAGTGATCCACTTACTTAACACTCATTCATCCGATAAGAAAGAAACCAGCCAGAACACTTCAAGCAGGGCAGAGAGTCTCTTCCTCGTAACAAACCTCTACAATGGCCGTCGCATCAACGCGAACGCACTTATTCATCTCGCTACACCTAAACTTCTGCTTGCAACCCTGTATATCAATTAACTTCACTGTCCACACCACTTCAAGCATATAATCCAAAAGGGAAGAAACTTACACGACAATCTCTGTCTCCAGGAATGCAACTACGGCAGTCGGTGTACCCAAACTTCAACGACAGCACCGAACCATCGTCTTGAACATCCCACGGCTTGCCAATGGTCGACTCGTTGTTGGAAGGAACAGGGGTTGCGACGCGTTGAACGAGAAGCGTAGCTGTGCGACCGAGAATTTTGTCCGAGGCTGTAGTAGCATTTGCAGTGCCCAGCATGTCGATGCAGATGTTATGACTGCTGAAGGGACTGTTACATAACAAGTTGTCGCCGCATTCGGGACAGGCGAAAGTGCACTCCTGTATTTGAATGTGTGAGCAGAGGTATTGCGGATAACGGGATGTAAGGGAAGGGAGGCTGAACATACCTGACAGGCTGAAGCGTCTCCACAAATCTTGCAAGATGCTTCCCTGGTATTGTACTGCTGACGGGAGAGTAGACCAGAGACCCGGGGCCCGTGCGCTGTTGTGAAGGATGGAGTTGGAGAGCTAGCGCTTGGGGTTTTTGGAATTATCATGCTGTTCCTGCTGTCGAGCATGATGGGTTTCGTGATGGGTGCAAAGTGTACAATGGTCTCGGTGGAGATGATGGTCTCGTCGGGATTGATGGGTACGATGCTGACTTCCCTGAAAATCGTCTTGGTAGTTTGGGTCGGGAAGGGAGTGAGGACGGTGGTTGTCTTTGTTACAACAGTAGATACCGTGATAGTAACCGAGGGTGCAACTACAATTGTGGGCAGAGGTGCGATTGTAGCTACGGACCTCGCCTGACGTGAGGTTATGATTGTTTCCGCGGATATCGGTGTAGACACAGGCAAGTAGTAAATAGTCTTCGTTGTGGTCACGATTGGTGGAGGGACGGGGTCGCAGGGGACCAAGTACTTGGGGCGTACGCTCATACACATGGAAACGCCTGATTTGGGATCGACACACTTGAAGTGTTGGCACTGGGCACAGTCACTGTGGCATTCCTAGCACATCGAGGATCAGTGCCATGATACAAAAAGTGATTGCTAAGGGAGCATGACGTACCGGACATTGAGTTAAATCGCATTCTTCACATTGGTCTCCTTCGAAGGCGACGTGGCGGCCGAAAAGTGGTTGCATATCCACGTGAAAAGAGACGTTCTGGCTGCGTCGAGCCAATCGGTCATCGCTCTGGGGTGTGTCAGTAAACCATATATCAAGAGTCTGTATCGACTTCACTGGAAGAAAACCAGAAGTTGGAAAGATTGAACGAAGAGAACGTACCATGTTAAGCACTGCGGCTGAAGAGGTGTTGTTGACCTTAGGGAGCTCGACAACACGTATGACTATGGCGGTTGCGTTGACGCTCCTCGCAGACCGCCCAGGATACGATGCTTCGTCAGGGTGAACAGAATCTGAAGCAGCGGTGCTTGTAGCGGCAGCAGCATTACGATAATACGAGCAGTGATTGTTCCCGTCACAGCCGATCCGCCAGTTACCGTCAACACGATCAGATTCGGAAGAATATGCTTCACGAAGGGCCTTGCTGAATTCTGACTTGGTGATTGGAGTGGCCTGCGTAGCAAAGCCCACGGCAAAGAAGCCAGCAAGAATGCTAGCGGTGATGCGCATAATGACCAATGTTATTGCTGAGACTCGGTAGCTTCGGGTGTGAGAAGATGGGCGGGTACGGATAAGGATACTGATGTTGGATGAACGGAGAAGAGTTGATGGGATGATTTGGGTGTGAAGAAGAATGGAGGGTTGGGACTAGAAGGATGGCTTATATACACTGGAATGAGTCTGCGCTGTTGATGGTTGTTCTGTAGCGAGAAGCTGCGGCCGTTGAAGCTGATGTTTACCATCAACTCGAACTTGCAAGAAATAACAGGTTTGTCAGGTGACATTCGCCATCTGCTAAAGACGGCAAGAGCGGACAACACACGTGCTAAGCATACACAGTAGTCACGATCGATTCGTATTCGAGACAATGAGAGAAATATGCTTTCGGTAAGTGCTTACTTGGTGATACGGCGGCATAAATGATCTATGTTAGACACACCAACGCGGTTTGATGTAAAAAGGTAGCTGCAGCATTCATTTATCCTACTGTTGATCTCCCTACAATGTACCACCTGTGAGTTCCTTGGAGCATCATCAACTGCTTGGTAGCGGCAACCAGCAAAAATACCTGTCGATCAGATACACAGTCCAGCTCCTAGTTAACAGAACGGATATTCTAGCCCTGTCACCAATTAGGTCTCATCAGGATTTGACGTCGCGCTTACACCGTCGGCAACGCAGGGACAACACTACTAATGAGTGCTCCAGCCGCAATTCGACAAGCACCTTGAAGTGAGGAAAGACAGGCAGCGGCTTCACCCTCATCGATATGCATGGCTTTCATTCACATTCACGTCATCCTGCCTTGTTGGCCCAGCAGTCACTGGCGAAGCAAACGCTTATAGACCCACCCAAGCCTGCTCCCCCAGGCAACGCACCCAGCTTCGCTCAGGCTCCGATTTCTTTTCCTGCCACTCCCCAGAGTTGTTGCACACTTGGAGAGCAGTATATCTACTGCTTCACCTCTCATAACAACTTCTACTCCATCAGTACGTCACTCTCGACTCCCAGCCATGGCTAGCAACGACGCTCCAGACAGGTTTATGAGTCTCCCACTCGAGGTAAGACATTCCATCTTTGAGTATTTATCAAACCGCGCATCATTGATCGGCAAGAATAACCCCAAGCGGCTTCTACTTCACTGGTTTGAGAAGGAGGAGTCCGAGAACATCATTGCTGCGTACATGCGTGATCACCCAGATTTTCCTGAGCCGGTCTTTTCTTACAGCTACAACAACGTCATCTGTGCAAGCGAGGATGATGGTAGCAGCAGCGATGGCGACACCACTGATGAACCCGAGACGGACACGGAAGAGGAAGATGATGATGAGGAGGACGAAGACGAAGACGAAGACGGCGAAGACAGCGAAGACAGCGAAGAAGGCAGCGAAGACGATGAAGGAGACGACGAAGAAGACGATGAAGATGGCGGAGGTGACGAAGAAGGTGGTTATCTAAGGGGGAATGGGACTGTTGGATGTGATACGTACGACAGTTTGCGTCGGGCTATTGTGTATCCCAGCGCCAAGTGGCATCATGTCCCAGAGTTCATCTCATTGTCCCACTTTCCGCCACCCATCGAGCTACTCTTGACGTCTAGACAACTGAGCATCGAAGCCAAGAACTGGTTCTACAATGTCGCTGTCTTACGCATCAACGCAACTCGCAACATTGCTCATACATCCTTCTTCGAGGAAGCATTGGGGAAGATTGCCGATGCCTCTTTCTCACCTATGCGAAACATTCGAAAGGCCGAAGTGAAGTTTATTTGGGACTCTGCGTGGATACGGACCGATACGACTGGCCTTGCGGAGGCTGTATTTCCTGCTCTTCTCCAACAGCGAGCTGTGTTCGTCCACAAGATCTTGTCGAAGGCCCCTGATCTACAAAAGGTTGACATCAAGTGGTAAGTAGAAACTGCAAACATACGAACCATGAAACAAGCTGAATTAATTTCCTATGCAGGCACGACTCTGTTCAAGATAGCGAAAGCGCCAATCTGAAAATGGAAGTCCTCAAGCACTTCCAAACGTTGTCGGCTACGGTCCAAGTTGAGGAGCACTACCGCGCTGCTGATGCTAAACCTAAAAGGCATAGCATCGCTGGCAAGCGTCGCCTTGAGTTCGAGAGTTTCTTGAGTAACTTGATGCTTGGCCATCCTTCTTAAGCCCGCTCTCTGCCCCTGCAGCTCCTCTGACTGCATGCACACGCGCAAGCTCTTAAGACCTTCTCCACTCAGTCTGAAAGGATACTTCCTTCGTCTCCCCAGCTCATGTACACTCGACAATTTTCTTTCCTACCGATCAGGCCTCTTCTTGTATAACCCAAACATGTCCGATTGGCCAAGGCCACAACCCACAGGAAGGATGTGTAGTACAGGTTAGGCATTTGATAATATCCGAAGGACATGCAGATGGGTGGTTACACGTTACATTTACTCACAAAGGGAGGCCTCATAATGCAAACCATGTCCCGAAAATTTCTCCACCTGCATATTTGTGCTGCATGTTTCATTGGCTGTGAGTTGAATTCAATCCCACCTAGTCACCACGGCCCACGCGGACTTGTTTGCGATCTGCCGAGGTACCCCCCATCTTGTAGGTGAGATGCAATCCTTTTTGGGTGTTGGTACTAGCACATCTCTCGTCTACCCGGACGGCCGCAATTGACCGAATCCGGTTTGAAGTGCGGGGAGGGAACACCTGACAGTGTGCTTACTTACGTTTCACCACCCGCGCAAGAGATTTGCACGACACAGAAGGTTGCCATGAGTGGAGAATTGTTTTCGCACTAACACTAGTACCACGCGGTGCCTCTAGTTTGCTATCCAGACGCCTCTCGAATGCGGAGCGGGTCCACTCGGAACACCAAAACCAGGCTGTAAACAGCAAAAGATGCGGCTTTCGGTACTCAGAATGCGGGGCAGGCTCATGCCAGATGCTGCCCACCGTGTATCAGGGTCCTAGTGGCTGACTCCTGACTCTCTGGGCAAGCGGGAGAGTATGCACATCTCGCTATATATACTGCAGTAAGCCGGAGAGATTGAATCTTAGGATTGCCTTCATCCCATCCCTTTCCAACTAAGCCAGATCGCCACCTCATCCGTGTAACTCTCACCATGGGCATCTATTCTAAACTTGCAGATGGCATTGAAGAAGTAGATGTCATCATCGCTGGAGGTCCGTTGCACTTCCTTCTTTTTAAGCACTGCCGTGAATCTAACGCGGTGGCTGTCTATAGGCGGAACAGCAGGATGTATCATAGCCGGTCGCCTTGCGGAAGACGATCCGTCCCTCTCCATTCTTGTGATTGAAGGCGGTGCAAACAACAAAGATGTTGCAAGTGTTGTAAATCCGGTTTTCTATCTGCAGAATCTTCTGCCTACCACCAAAACAGCGCTTTTCTACAAGGGCAACAAGGCTAAACAACTTGCTGACCGAGAGCCCATTGTACCGTGTGGTGGTACGCTGGGTGGAGGCAGCTCGATCAACTTCATGATGTATACTCGCGCACAACGCTCAGATTTTGACTCTTGGAACACCCCTGGTTGGTCGGCGCAAGAGGTATGGCCGCACCTAAAGAGACTCGAGACATATCACGGGCCAGGCAAGAAAGAACATCATGGCTACGATGGACCTATAAATGTCAGCGATGGCGGTTACCGTTGTCGTGAAGTGGAAGACGACTTCATCCGTGCTGCTGGAGAAGTCGGTGTCCCTGAGATTGAAGACCTGCAAAACTTGGAAGAAAACAACGGTGTTCAGCGATGGCAACGATACGTCTCACCGGAAGGCAGACGTCAAGATACTGCACACAGATACATACACCCCAAGCTCGAGCAGGAGCAGTACTCGAATCTTCACGTGCTTGTCGAATCAAAAGTCGTACGCGTACTGTTTGACGACAACAAGCGTGCCACTGGCGTAGAATATACACCAAATCCTGAATTCCAGTGCACCATTGGCCTCAGTATGCATCCAGTCAAACAGGTGCGTGCTCGCAAGCTCGTCGTTGTCACATGCGGTGCCTGCGGCACACCACCAGTACTTGAACGCTCCGGCCTTGGTTCAAAGGATATTCTCGAACGAGCCGGCGTTCCCCTTGTAGAGGAACTACCAGGTGTAGGAAAAGACTACCAAGACCACCACCTCATTCTCTACCCCTACAAGACCTCTCTCGAGCCACACCAAACACTGGATGCCATCCTCAGCGGACGTGCAGATGTAGCCAAAATGATGGAAAACAAAGACCCCATTCTGGGGTGGAACGGCATAGACATATCTTCCAAACTACGACCCACCGAAGACGAAGTCACCGCCCTCGGCCCAGAATTCAGGGAAGCCTGGGACCGAGACTTCAAAGACAACCCCAACGTCCCCCTCATGCTCTGCGGCCTCGTATCCGGATTCCTCGGCGACCCAACCAGCATCCCAGCCGGCCAATACGTTACCACCGGAACATACACCGCGTATCCTTACTCTCGCGGCCACATGCACATCACGGGCCCCAAGCACGACGACGCCCTCGACTTCGACGTCGGCTTCTTCAACGACAAAGACGACATTGATCTCAAGAAGCAAATGTGGGCCTACAAGAAACAACGCGAAATCATGCGCCGCACGACTTTCTACCGTGGAGAACTTGCTGCCGGACACCCGCGTTTCCCCGCCAACTCCGCGGCTGCGGTCCAAGAATCCATTACTGAGCCGTTGAAAGATGTACAGGATCTGGTGTATACGAAGGAAGATGACGAAGCGATTGAGCAGTGGCTGAGAAAGAATGTGAATACGACGTGGCATTCGCTGGGCACGTGTAAGATGGCGCCGAGAGAGGAGGATGGTGTTGTGGATAAGGATCTAAATGTGTATGGTGTCAAGGGCCTCAAGATTGCCGACTTGAGTATTCCACCGAAGAACGTGGGCGCGAATACGAATAATACGGCGTTGATGATTGGAGAGAAGGCCGCGGAGATTATTATTCAGGAACTCAAGGGAAGGGCGGGGACGCCATAGTTAGTATACACAGGCATAGAGCAAGAAGCGAGTCTTAGCAAGGCGTTTTCGATTTTCGAAATCTATCTATATATATATGTATTTATTGTATGATAGTCTGAGTGTTTGAGTGGGGATCACAATCTATACCTAAATCTCGCATTCTCCCTATCCGTCAAATCCAAAAACTCTTCATTCTCCACCCTCTCCCCCACCTCTCTTCTCTCCCTCTTCCCGTTCTCCACCCCATAATACACGCGTAGCACAACCGCCAAGCCTGCCGCAACCGCACACGTAATGATAATCGTAATCTTCGCAGGTACAAAGTCCGGACTATCTTCTTTCCTGAATGTGAGTGGCCCGATGATATTGCCCAGGCAAAACGACATCAGGAGAACCGCGTTCATGGTTACTTTCTTCGTGTGTCCCGCGTAATCGGCTGCGACCCATGAGTATAAGAGCGGTAAGCTAGAGCCGATGCAGTTGGTCAGGTAGTTTCCTATCAGTTTTCCTGTTTTGGCGGAGCTGGGCAAAAAAGCCATTAGACAACCCCCTAGCATCCCCGGGATAAGCAGCGTGACGATGTTTAGCCCGCGCTGGTTGTAGCGGCCGGCTAGGTACGTAGCTATCAGTATAGAAATGATGCTGATGGCTCCAGAAGGGAGTTGCAGCAACGCGGTTGTTTTGGAGTCGAAGCCAAAGGATTTTATGAGGGTGGCTTGGTAGGAAGAGACTGCGCCGTTGGGCACGTTTGAGGAGATTGTAATCAGGGATAAGAGCCAGGTTTGGGGGTCTTTAAAGCATTCGAGGACTTGGTAGGGTTTGAAGGTTGTGTTTTCGATGCCGGTTTGGTTGGAGCGGAGGCGGGTTATTGCCCAGACTTTTTCGGAGGGGGTGAGGCGCGAGGACATTGGGTTATCGGGAAGGAGGAACACGACTGGGGTTTGTGGTGTTAGTGGCTAAATGATTTGATGTATGGGGTGCTGAAAAGAGACGTACCGGTTATACCAACAGCGACAGTGACGAGACCAACGACGAGAAACATGATTTGCCAACTTGTAAATGTGTCCCTGTGGTAGTGTTGGAATCCGAAACTAATCAAGCTTCCGATCATTGTTCCGGTGCCAACGCCCAAGTACCAGATACCGGTTCCGAGTGGCTGTTCTGTTCGCTTGTACCACATTGAGGTGATGAGAATCAAACTGGGTGCAACGGCGGCTTCGAAACAACCAAGCAGCACGCGTGTAGCGACCAGCGCGCCGTAGTTCTTACACACACATGTCAGTGCGGTTACTAGGCCCCAGAGGATGACGGCAGAACCAAGGTACTTTGCAGTGGGTAGGCGTTGCATGGCATATCCATGTGGGAACTCGACGACGAGATAGGAGACGTAGAAGAACAAGGCGAGGTTGGAGAATTGGTCTGTTGTTATGTTTGCGTCGTCATAGAGACCCATTACTGCAGCGTAGTTGACTGCGATAAAAGGTTAGTATGTTTGTACGATCAAGGAATATTCATTCACGTACCCAATGTTTTGTCAAGATATTGAAGACAGTAACAGCACCACATAAGCGGCATAATCATCCAGTCAATCTTCCGAAGCAACCTACGCTCCTCTTCAGGAGTAAGTTCACCAACATCATGTGCTGTTCTCAGAAACTCGAGAGCCGAGTCGCCATTCTTGGTTGTATCATGTACAGTGCCAATTTCAACGTCAGAATATTGTGGTGATGGCGAAATATCACCCGACTTTGACACGTCCTTCTCAAAATCACCCATAACTGATAGTTTCGAAGATGGAGGGGATTGCTTCAAGATGAGAGAAAAGTTCGTAGAATGTCTTTCTTTTAGTATGTTTCTCCATGTGTATCTCTCTCATCCTTACATGTCGGCATAGAATGTGCCGCACCGCATACACATGCCGACTTCGAAGCCGAGCCTAGCATGGTATTCCCAATTCAGGTCTACATTTTGTAGATCTCTATCCATACCCTGAAGCATATTGGCCAGACATCGTTCTCCCTAAGTCTCGTCTCTTATCGTGAGCCCTGTTCCGACATCGCATTGGAGATGCAAGATCTCTTGCCTTCACCGCAAACAGCTTAGTGTGACCCCTCTTGCCGCACAGTAGAGGCACCGCGAAGAGAAGATTGGATGCTGGTATAGCCGTTGGAGTGCAGACTGATAATGCGTTCGGGTGGATGATGTCAGTAAAGATAGGATGCGAATGATAACAGGGTCCATTCACTTGCGGGGCGCTAAGCGGCGTTAGGAAGGTGGTGCCGTTGGAGAGTGAGGGGCGGCCCCAACGTCATGAGAAGCCGCGAATTCAGTAGAGCGGAGATATACGATCTTCATATATATCCCCTATTGGTCAAGTAGGGGTGTCGATAAATGTTTCAATATTCGACCTGTCGGTTCGGATCCATAATTCTCGCCAGTTCGAGCATGAGACGGTAGAGATATATCGTGAAGTCTTCCTTTCTCAGGACTTTTCCGTGCCATTCACGGCCTGCGTCGGCAATCTCTTTCGCCCTCCTCTTCCCGTCTTCGTGGCTCGTCATGTAGCGCATGACTTCTGGTAATTCGTCCATGGACAGGCTGATGGGAACGAAATGAACCCATGGAATGAGACGTTCGTCGTGCCACTCACGTAGAACGGTTTGCTTGAGTACAACACTTCTCGATCTCAGTAGAGTGTAAAACCGCCCACTGAATGAGTTACCATCCACGTCAAACACGAATTGTGAATGAAACTGCCGGTTTCGCTCCTCTTTCTCACCAAGGGCGAAGAAGTTTCTCTGCTCTTCGCAGTCTTGATCATCACATTGGATAATGGCAGTGAGTTTGACATCAAACAAGTCGCTGTGATCCTCGATTGCTTTGTAACTGGTCCACTGTCCAGGCTTGGACTCTTCGAGGTACATGTGATTGGTTTGATTAAGCGTCTGAACCAACTCGACAAATCGTTGACGGTGAGAATAGCGCCAGGTGCCGTTCCAGCTATAGCTACCAGTCGTACTGCCTGCCCAATATAGATTTCTGGCTTTTTGTTCCCAGTGAGGGTCGTCTTCGTCCTTGTAAACTCCTTGGTCCATTTTGGCCGTGTACCAGGGACTAGGGTACATTACGTCTCCAAATGATGTTGGAGCTGCTTGAGAAAGGACAGGGATAGGCGCATCCGTGAGAAGACAAGTCATTGGTGATGAGAAGAAACCATGCATGAGACTGAACTCAGGGTGGGAACAAACATCTTTCGACTGACGCCAATCTTGAACTAGATTTAGCCCATAGTCATGGATGGTAGGGAGTTTTCCAGAAGAGCTATTGTTCGCACAAGCGCTAGTCGTGCGGTCCCATATTGATAGGTGATGGGCGTCATAAAACTCGGGTTTTGACACCCCTCCAATGTCGAGCCTCTGTTGTGTGATGATAACCCTGGGCTCGTCCACCACGTCGAAAGCAAATTCGACATTGGGAATACTTTGCGAGACTTCTTGAACGAGCTTTCCGAGATCCTCGACAATCCACCCGTCGCCTTGTCCATGGAACCGTCCATCAGTGAAGCCGCATTTACGCAGGGCAAGGTGCTCGAAACTTGACACATGATCAATGCTCTCATGAAGCTGTTGCGGGGCAATCTTCCAAAACGGCTTCAAGTCTTCGTTTATCATGTCGAAATCATCGATGAGAACCGAATCCTTAGATTTTGCATACGCGAACCATTGGGCGAACCCGGGAGGTGGAGACCGCAAATATCTTCTCCGGTACTCGGTCTCAGCGGACTCGAGTGTCTTCGATTGCTTGTCGATGAGATGTTTGAAATCGTCTTGAGCTTTGCGAATGAGTAGTTCGACTGGGTGATATGGAACATTGTCAGACGATCCAGGCCAGTTCACGCCAGGCAAGGGAGTTATATGCTGGCTCAAAGGAGTATGCTGTATGAGTGATGAACCTGGCCATAGAGCGAAGGCAACTAGTAATCCGCGACCTTTTTCACTTTTCGGTATGAATTCTATCATTTGGTAAAGGTTCAGAATCGATATCGTTGTACGAGTAAAGGTTTGAGCCACGCCCAATGTGCCGGCTGAAGTTGGGTGGAAGGAGCTGACTGCCGCAGCAACGTAAGCCCAGATGGCAGGCGCGATTTCCCATGGGGCCTCTTGCGTCTGGATATGTTAGTATAGGTGTAAAAGGATTCAGAACTCCAATAATTCATACGAGCCAGAAAATGATGATCCAATGAGTAGCCTTAAGACAGCCAGCCGACGTTGCATTGGTTATTTCGAGTGTGCTTCCAGACCAAGTAAGCATCATGATGACAGAAAAGGCTATAAGCAATGCGATGTTGCGCGATGCGATGGAAAATATGACATTTAGGATGTCTAATCGTTCTTTCCCATCGATCTGGTCATTCTCGGGACCGAAAATGTGAATCAGAGATGCGTATGTACCCGCAAATCCAAGAGCGATTGGAACAGCGGAAGCTAGCCTCTTTGTATCAAGAGTGGGAACAAGTGATACGAAAAAAATTGTTCCTATTGTGAATGTAAACCACGAATATTGAACGTGTCTGGATAGCGATACGTGGAGGCGTGGCAACAATGAAGTCGGACGACGTGCGAGAAGTGCAAAGGCAACTACAGGCTTCAAAAACTTCATTAGCAGGTTGTGGTATGTAAGCGAGTACCTGCTTACAGTAATCCATATAGAGTCAACAAAGCAAGAAGATATTGCCATGGTAGCTACAGAAGATGCAGCGGTCCAATACAGATATGTGAGCGCCGCCGTAGAGGCAACATTGCTGCTTTTCCAGTTTTCTGAACCAAGGTGCTGAAGAATTCCAAAGAACGCGATGACCAGTGCCCAGCATATCAATTCGGCAAGCACTGGGGTATATCCAATATGAGATGGAGGACTGAGTGCAGCGGTTAAGATTGCTGCTGCTGTCGCAGTGGTGAAGTAGCCGACACTTGTGAAGTCTTTCAACCCCATTGCAGAGTTGAAGAGAAGTCAATATGTGAGAAGAAGAAGAAGGATGAATTCAGAGATCCTGGCGACATCAAGACCCGTCTGCATACCCTTCTGGAAACAGTGACATTCTCGTATATAATCAGGATGTGGAGCGAACGCCACGTTCCAGCATGGCTAGGGTGCGAGGGTGGTGGGATGTAGGATTCGGCGCTTAGGTACCCACTGGGCGCTTAAACTATGATGCCGGCGCCCCGAACACGCTTTCACTCTCGCACTCCACTACGGTATTTATTTGCGTACTCTGCTCATGTCATCAGCAAAGTATACAGTCTCTAAGCAGAATCATCAAACAGAACATGGAGCTGCTCAGGCTGCCATACCTTGTTTTGGAGGTTATGAAGCAAGCTTCATGCAGGGGCATTACTCACATCACATCCGTAGTAACCGAATGCGTCAAGGGATTCAGTGCAATCTTAAGCGTGTACCTCATTTATTGCGGCACAGCAACAAGGCGGTTGTACTCTTCCGTGCTGTCCACTGTCGATTCCTAGACTACTGTAAAACCGATTTGCCCAAGTCATACCCTCGTTTATCTGAGCTATCCGTTTGACCGTCATCAAGTCTATTAGTGCCTTTGTTCTCTCTACTTTGGTTGTTTCTCTCAAGCACATTCTTATGATTCTCTGTTCAATGAAGATTCGGTATTTACGCCAGCTCCTCATCGCCAGCTTGCTGCTGCAAACGTTGCCATTTGTATTCGCCGCACAGTACATCTCTGTCCCATGGAGCACACAATACTACGGCCCGGATGGCCCCTGGCAAGCGGTAAAAGTTACCGTAGGCGGCACCAGTCCCGACGTTCTCCTGATCAATGAGGATCACCGGCAACTAGACCTTCTACCTGGTGGTGAGTGGAACAGCAAAATTCTCACTCCGAAGGCATGCAAGCCATACAAGAACTCAAGGTGTGGCAAAGGAGGAATTTGGGATCCTGACTTTCCTCCAAGTGTCAGTGCTTTTGGAGACTGGATGGATGAAGCCTCCAAAGTGAATTCCAGTGGACAAGGAATACTTCTCCAGGCTTCAACGGTTGAGAGTTTCTCGTATTGGAACTCGAGTCTGGTGATGATCGAGGACATTGTGATCACAAATCCTGACGGGAGCGTGCGTGGACCGGAGCTGGGATCGTTCGCGTTAGGAGGACCAGAACAGTCGCAAAAGTTCGCCACCGATTCAACCTTCGCCAATGCACCGATGGTTGGCTTCAGCTATGCGGGCGCCGCATACAATCGTAGTGCTACAAGATCGTTCTCATACGGTTTACAGATTGGATCAGCGTTTCATAATTACCCGGGATCTTTGCTTATTGGTGGTTATGACAAGGGGAGACTTGTAGGATCCTACACGTCTTTCAACAAGGCTCCGCTCTTACTTGACATTAGCATTGGAGTCGCTGCTGGTGGTTCCCCATTTGTCTTTCAAGAGAAGCAAAATCTGTTACTGAGTAACAAGAGTCAGGTTACAACCCTTTTCGCTCTACCCGATCCACGACAAACATATCTCCATCTCCCTGGGAAAACCTGCGAAGAGATTGCGAAACACTTGCCTATCGAATTTGACGAGAAATTGAGATATTGGCTGTGGGATACAGCAAATCCAACCTATCGAACAATTGTAACCTCTCCGGCGTATCTTGGCTTCACTTTCCCTCCAGCCTATGGTGCATCAAACAACGTAACTATCAAAGTGCCGTTCAGTCTTCTAAACCTAACACTCGATACTCCTATCGTCGGCAAACCGGTTGCATATTTCCCTTGTCAGAGCTACGAGCCGTCGTCCAAAGATGCCCCATACATACTTGGTCGCGCTTTTCTTCAAGCGGCCTTCATAGGTCGGAACTGGAATCGCGAAGTGTCTTGGTTGGGCCAGGCCCCCGGCCCCGGAATATCAAAGAATGGCCTCGGAAATGTCATGCTCAATATCGACGATGCCGACATAGACTTGCCGGATGTGTATACGAACGAAACACTTTTCACGGAGAGCTGGGCTAGCTATTGGACGCCACTCCCAGAGAAGGAAGATAAACCAATTTCTTCTACGCCAACTCCATCTACGACACCAGACCCAATATCCTCTCCAGCAGGACTCAGCACAGGAGCAAAAGCAGGAATTGGCCTGGGCGCAGCTGCAGTAACCCTTCTCGGTGCCGGCGTAGTCCTCCTCTTCCTCCGCCACCGTCACCGCACACGGCAGAGTACCATGGGCATAAGCCCACCCGCTTACACTGAAGAGCGCAAGACTTCCCCTGCTGAACTTGATGAGCAAGTACCGGAAATGCAGGCTGATAGGAACTACTGGACTTACGAGCTGGCAGCCCCCACACCACAACTGGGATCCGCAACGCCTAGACGAGCAACGTATACGGAAGACTTCGTCTATATAAGTCAGTCGGAACCGCCACTGATACCCTCTTCACCCCCATTGCGATCTAGATTTGGGGTATAGGTTTAGAAGATGCTATCACTAACCAAAACAACAAGATCATGTAACGAAGGAGCGCAATTTTTGTCGACTTAATATGTAAATTCCCATATACCCAAACTATGTTAAAGAATGATAAAGAATTGCTTGGTTGTACATCTTCCGAGGCGTCTCAAGACAGTTGTTGCTAAAACCAACATGTGACACCAAATATGAGCTATTCTTTACGTTCATTATGGGAACAAGACTCCAGATGAAAGTATCGAAAAGGAAAAAAAGTTACGTCACAAGTAGAAATCTCGTTTGTATTCGCATATATATCGTCCCACCCGCTTATTTGTATTCTCATGGTGAGGCCACTATTCGAGGGGTTTTTTTCTTTGGTGCGGCCAGGCTAAGATAGCAATCCTTGCGATGGTCGTGGCTGCGATGGTCGTGACAGCATCAGCGGTGGGTGGGTATAGTACGAGGTATCTTCATATATGTACGGGATCTAAAGCACCTTAGATTCCAATTTATGTTGATTGGAGGCCTGCCGCGAGGGACTAGAGCTTGGGCAGAACGTGGGGGTACTAGAATTTGGGAAGAGCGCAAGAGTAGAGCTCGGGGAGAACGTGGGAGCATTAGGATCGAGCACATTGGATGGGTTATCGTGCGCCATGAATAATACATGGTATATCTGAAGTAGCCAGGTATAAAAAGATTTCACAGTAATGGAGCAGTAGTCAATCAAGGAAGAAGAATCGTAAAAGCTTCTTCGGCACCAAGACTTGAAAACACTGTACTGCGATAGCACAGAAATAGAAAGCCAATCGTTTAAGTGCTGAATTGCTCTTCGGAAGTTATATATTTCCTTGAGTTCAGGGGGGAAGACACTTAGGTTCTCGATCTTGCAAATTCGTTGGCATTGTGGTAAAGAAGGATACTAAGAAGAACCATTGCGTTACCACCCTTTGGTATATCATACTATTTGGTTTGTACATTTCTGTTCAGACTTTCACCTTATATAAGATGAGTCCCTTACGTGGTAGAAATTTAGATACTGCTTACATCGAAGCTTCTACGAAATATATACAAGAAAAGAAAACATTCAACCTAGTACGAACTCGGCACCAAACTATTAGCCCAATCTTCCACATTCTTAAACTGTGATTCAACATCATCCGGTATCCCATTACCATTCACATCCACCCACTTCTTTCCTCCGTCAATCGTTCCCGGCCCATTCATCGGAGCGGCATTCTCATCGCTAATCAATTGCCCCAACTTTCCATAACTCTTCAACTCAGCAACGAGTCGCTGATCAACCGAATCACGGACTTTACTCGCACCCGCGCCCTTCTCTGCAAGTGCCAGCGCATCGCTTGCTGACAAGATCTTTGCCGGAGCCGGGTACGCGAACTTTGTCCCTTTGATGTTCATACCACCGTAGTTTTCCTTGGTGACACCCAGTTCCTTTCCATTCAGCACGCCATCTTTGCCGGAATCAACAAAGTTGCCCTGGACGAATCCGTCGAATAAGTCGTTGCCCCGCGTGAAAGCTGGGACGGTGGTGCTCGGTCCGCTGATGAAGTAATTCCCGACAATGTTTGCCTCGCTCCTCTCGCTCGAGTCACCAGCAATGTATCCACCTCCATTGCCCCAATTGTATACAACGTTGTTGGTAAAATCATTCGTACCCTTCACTTTAGGATTTCGCGTCTTGTTGTCAATGTACAAGTTGCGGAATAGACTGATGCCGTTGCCGAGAGCGGTCTGCATCAAGCCACCACACGAATGCGTTTCCAGACCCTCGGCGATGATGCTGTTTTGTACGGTAATGTTTCCGACTTCAGAGCCTGAAATGGAGAAAGTCTCGTTGCGGCCCCACGAGACAGAAACGTGATCGAAAATCATGTTGTGTCCTTCTGCTATTGTAATGGCGTCTTTTCCACTGGCTCCCTTTTTGCCCATGCGGATACGGATATAGCGTACAATAGCGTCGTCGGCATTGCTGAAACTCCAGCCATTTCCATATACTGTTATTCCGGCACCGGGGGCGGTTTGTCCTAGGATGCTCACGCGTTTGGATACGACCATGCGGTCAGTGATGGTAATGAGGCCGCCGACCGAAAATACGACTATCCGGTCCGGTTTGGAGACAGCATCTCGTAAAGAGCCTGCGCCGGCATCGTCTAGATTTGTGACGACATAGACAGAGCCGCCTCGCCCACCAACAGCGTTGCGGCCAAACCCTTCAGCACCGGGAAAAGCAAGAGCTGAAGCCGAAGTGGCTAATAGAGGAAGAAGAACAAGAAAGTGCATGGTTGTAGATGCAAGGGTACTGCGAGCTTTGGATTATTGGCCGAGGAAGGGCTTTTGACAGTGAGTGAACTAACATCAATTGCTGGATGATGTGGAGCATGAAATTACCGATCCTTGATTTCCTGTCATGATTGTGTTTCTGGGGGCGCAGTTCTATGGCTCATTTAGGGGTGGTTAGCCGTGGTGGTCTGTTGATCCTTTAATTTACCCCAGATTTACGCTACTAATCGACACGGACAATTGAATACGCATTCCGCCAATCAACTCAAGGAACGATTCAGGTTGCAGAAACAATCTAAGGAACAACACGGGTTAACCGTTTGAGAGATGCAGGATAGTAAGCACAATGTCTGACATATTTTTGTAGACGCATCTGTGAACTCGGCTTTTGACACAAATGTGGTATGGTTTGATTGTACTGCGGGACCCTTCCCGAACTTTGTATGCTTGAGTCAGTTTTACCATCTCCGAAAATCCTACCAGCATCGACAAGGTCAAAGACAAGATCCACAAGCACGTGAACGCACCTAGAGCGAGTTTCATGCTGACTGCTTCCAGCGAACATTTCATTCCCCTCAGTGAGTATACCGAAACAGTATCAAGCCTTGCTCGCTCTCAATTGGTATCATTGAGTTCAAAAGGGCAGAAAGACGAACATCTGGGACTCTGGCAATGCAGCAACATAAACACTATTCAAGAATTCAATGTAAGCGTTTAAGTATTCTTCAATCCAGGACCTATCGGATGCAACACCAGTTCCAATCACAAGTTGGTAGTAACATGTCTTGGGCCTGATGCTGAGACCTCTCCACATGCTGAATCGCAGTGATGTGGTTTGAGGCTAGAAGTGACGCATCTGATACGCATGTTGAAAAGACTTCCAGCTAGCGTGGATAAACGATCGGACACTCGCTATCTGACTCTACGAATTCATCCAGTCATGCTATCCAGAGCCAGTACCAGGGCTTACGGGAAGAGATGTTGAGGATGCTGATGCTCATCTCCCTTTGGATTGAATTGAGCTAGTTAGTCCACGCAAACTGTTATGGATTGCTCTCCTGGCATAAGTGTGTGATTTTAAGCTCTTAACCAAAACCGCCCCTGCTTCCGGTAGAGGGCCTACCCAGTATCTTAAATGGCTTCTCGTAATTATTATGGGAGGCTGAAGACCCGCTCAAGCTTTCCTGCTCAGTGGGCATGTCTTTAGGCTCGTGATACTGGGTGATATGAGTTCCTCCAAAGTCACAACCGACAGATAGCATGTCCTCCTGACAACAGCTCCAAATTATTGTTCCGTCTTCTTGCTTGATTTTCCTCCCTGGATGGTATATACAGGGCTCTTCATCACCTGAGAACGACTCATGGCACTTGGTGCAAGTTTTGGTTACATTTGGAGTCGTCTTCTGGACTTCATCTGTTCGCTGAGTTACGGTAGCTGCATTTGAGGTGATATTGGAAGAGGGTGAGCCTCCAGTCAAATGATGTAACGGTAGCCGTGTTGCAGCTGGAAGCGCTACTTTCTGCGAAGAAGGACCAGGACGACGTAACTCGCTATCAGAGCTAGGGGTTGTAGGTCTGTGTGGCTCGCGTTTTATTCGCGGTATCGTATGGGAGCCGTAGGGATGTTGTCTGATATAACTTCTTTGGTTCCCTTGAGAGGTGTAACGGCCAGAACTTGATGTGGTATTCATAGCTTCATAAGCAAAATTTCTATCGATTTCCATTCGGTGTTGGTTAATCATGTTCCGTGCGGAAGTCGAGTGCGGTGCTAGACCTCGTACAAGCGCGCCAGAGAACGCAGGCGAGATTTGACAGAGCTCTACCAATACTGTTTGCAATACATATGGGCTGACTGTTGAAATTATCGACTGGATGTGACTGGGATTGATCGGCCGGGCTTGCTGTGGAGCTACAAGATTCCGGCTAGAAGTGGCTGATTGGCCAAAACTCATCATGCCACGTGATGGTTGGGCAGATGTGGTCTGGATGTGTGATGGCTGACCTGGGTCTGATTTAATTCGTGGAACATGACCAGACTCCTGCTTGACGCGTGACGTATTGTAAGTCGGTCCAAAAGATAGATGAGATTGCTGCGGAGGCGCGCGTATTTGTTCTCTCGTGGGTGATGGAGACCAAAACTCTGGCTCTGGGGAGGAGAGCGTGAGGTCGATTGTATCAGTTTCCGGCCCGTTCCTTTGTGATTGCGACATAGCTAGGTAAGAATAGAGATGGCCGAAAAAGGCTAATTACAACACGATGTGTTCAAAGTCGATGCGGGTGTTTTGCTGCCATGTCATGCTCCGATGCGAAGTTTCGGAGCTAATATGGCCGAAAGCCGATAGGGAGCTAATATGGCCTGATTAGGTCTAGCGTGTTGTTTTGTATGAATCCACTACCAATGTACTAAGTTTTAAGTAGATTCAAGCACCAACTAGCACGAAGAGAGACCTAACCAGATTTAGTGAATTGGGCTGCTCAGCATACGGCATAACTGCTGCATCAGGGTGTGCATGACTACAAATAATTGGGTTGAAAGGAGTTCTCTGTACCACTTTGAGTAGTGCTCAAAATTTGAGTACACAAAGCAACACGTATATGTAGCGCTTTGTACACGAGTATAGTGCTCAAGTGTAGATAGTTAGTCACAGCGTCACATAACCATCCTCGTTGAGGCACCTTGTTGGAAGCCGTCCACTGTCTTCGTGCAAGACCCAGTCACGTGAGAGTGTCTAGCAAGTTTATTTCCACCGCCGCGTCACTCTCTATGGTCATGCATCAAGCCACACGTACTACGGCTAAGCGCTGTTTGGCACGCAACCCGAAATGTGAGCCGACTATAACATAAATAGAGTATATGCGGGGTGATCCGCGAAAGCTCCGGTAACCCGCCCAGGTCGTCCAAGATTTTCCATTGTGGAAAAACAATAAGTACTAGGGTGACAAGGCGCACGATCCTCGCACGCAGCCTTGGACATACGCGGGTGACAACCAGGAACACGGGCCAGACCCCTCTTGTATGAGCACCGAAAGAGACATACTTACTGAACTGAATCAGCAGGTTGTACCGATGGACCAATTGGCTCTGAAAGAAGACTCCAGGGGTAAAAATCATACATATGCGCGTCCGCATGCCTCTAGTTGCTGGGCACCTTCATCTCTCCTTTCTTCCTATTCACAATGCGTGTGACTTTGGCATTCCTCCTCTCGCTTATCGCTGCCACTGCTGCAGCGCCTGCTGAAGATGTGCTTCGTCGTGCGAGTTTTGACCGATCATCAGCCCCTGCCGGTTGTTTGACCGTAGGTGGAAACGGTAAATACAAAACGGTACAGTCTGCAGTCAACGCCCTTGACAAGTCCACCTCGAAGGCCCAGTGCATATTTATCGCCAAAGGTACCTACACGGAACAGGTCTACATACAGCAACTCAATTCGCCTTTGACAATCTATGGCGAGACCAAAGATACTAGATCTTATACCGGAAATACAGTAACCATCACCCAGCGCAAGAGTCAAGACGATACTTCTTCCAACGACGAGACTGCCACACTTCGTGCGCACACCCCCAATTTCAAAGTCTACAACATCAATCTTGTCAACACTCGTGGCCAGGGATCACAAGCGCTTGCTGTAAGCGCATGGGCTGACAAGCAAGGCTACTACGGCTGCGTTTTCAAAGGCTACCAAGACACTGTGTTGGCCCAGCTCGGCAATCAAGTGTATGCGAAATCATACATTGAGGGTGCCACCGACTTCATCTTTGGCCAGAAAGCTAGGGCATGGTTTGATGGCTGTGATATCGGTGTTCTCGGCGCTCAGCAAGGCTGGATTACTGCCAACGGTCGCAAAGAGGAAACGAATCCGTCGTACTATGTCATCAACAATTCCAAGGTATCCCACGCTATTGGAGCCACCGTCTCACCCGGCGTCTACTACCTTGGTCGTCCATGGGGAAACTACGCTCGTGTTGTCTTCCAACACACCGACCTCAGCAACGTCATCAATCCCCAGGGTTGGGCGGCCTGGAACACCGGCGATGCAAGAACTGATCATGTGCTTTTTGGCGAATACCAAAACACTGGCGCAGGGGCCTCGGGTAAGAGAGCGTTTGGACAGACTCTCAAAGCTGCTCTTAGCATTACCGACATACTGGGAAGCAACTACAAGGACTGGGTTGATGTGTCGTACGTGCCTCAATAGGTCAGTGCGGTAGAATAAAGCTTCGGTCGACGGTGACTTGGCTAAAGGCGGGTACGTAAGCTTGTTTCGATGACAGCATTTTGGAAATAGACGATACCCAGCCTTGTGTCAGTGCACGCTAGCCTGCCCAACAGCTCCACGGTCATGGTGTTACCTAAAAGAAACATAGAAAGGACATGACTAGATGTAAATTCAAATTCACAATAAAATGATGCCTCTAGCCTGTGTAAGCTCGACATCGATCATGTGAGGTTGTCGCACGTCTGGCGTGTACTTCGGACTAAATTGAAACATGCATGCGTTCGCTCTTGGTTCGACGGAATACCCGGATTGAAGTAGCTCCCCATCAACGCAACGCTACCGCTTGCATTGAGCCACATTGACCACTGTGTAGCTAAAAATAACCTATTTTGTACATAAAAGCTCTAGACTTTTATGTAGAAACGAAGATTTCATAAGAAAAGAATATGTTGTTCGAGAGTAGTAGTATGTAGTTACATCTTATTAGCCTTGCGCTGTTATCCGAGTATTTCGTCGGAAAAAGAGGCTAGACCCACTGGTGAGTCACGCGGCCAGTAGGACTTGACTTTTCGCTCCGTTGAAAGCAACCAGAGCAGCAGCTCTCTTGAATAGCAATTTGCACTCCAGCCTCGCGTCATACTGTTTTAATATCCTTGACGGGTACCTATCAGATAATGTCTTACGGCACGATACAAGAGACGCCACCGGCGACTGGATGTGCTCAGGTGCGCTTTGCTCCAGACACATTACCACCGGCTGCATCGCCAACTCACGCTGATGAAGACGCGAGCTCCGAAAGGCAAGATGCACCATTACTAGAAAGAGCGGGGTCAGGACTCAAAAGTTTTTACGAGCGAAACTTTGGTCTTTTCCTCGTCTTCCTTGCTCAAACATGCGGATCCGTCGTAAGTTCCGTATCCTCATCTTCTGCATTAGACATGCCTTGATTAACCCGGCCCTAATACAGATGAATATAGCGGCAAAACTGCTGGCAAACGACCCTAGTATAAAGTTTCATGCGCTGCAGATCATCTTCATCCGCATGCTATGTACGAGTATCATTTGCTCGATATACTCTTGGTACAAGGGCATACCTGACTTTCCTTTTGGACAGAGAGGCATCCGATGGCTCTTGGTGCTACGTGGTACAGCAGGTTTTCTCGGCTTGTTTGGATTGTATTGTAAGTCGAGATCTCATCCTTGCTACACCTGCCCAGCCAGCTATCACCTAACAAAGCGAATGAATAAGTAAAAATGAAAAGAGAAGAAGAGGGTTAGGAACTGACTCAATCTCCAGACTCTCTATCATGGCTGGAAATCGCCGATGCAACCGTAATCACTTTCATCGTTCCTACCACAACAGCTATAGTCTGTTTCCTCTGGCTCCGCGAGCCCTTCACATGGAAAGAAGCACTCTGCAGTCTCATCGCCTTTACAGGCGTCCTCTTCGTGGCCCGCCCGCCCTGGTTATTCCCACAGACTCACCGCCCTTCTTCCGATGATCCAAAAGTTCCAGTCCCCTCCGTCAGTCCCGAGCAGCGCGCTCTCGCCATCCTGGCCGCCATAGTCGGCACACTAGGAGCTAGTATGGCCTACGCTACGATTCGCGTTATCGGAAAACGCGCGCATTCTCTTATATCGGTCAACTACTTCTCCGTCATCGCGACGTTGGTTTCCTTCATCATTATCATGGTGCACCCGGATTTGCATTTCGTCTTTCCTAAGACTATCCTACAATGGGGCTTCATCGCCATCATTGGTGTGTTTGGCTTTTTGCTACAGTTTTTGCTTACCGAGGGGTTGCAAAGGGAAAAAGGTGGCCGAGCTACGAATTTGACATATGTGCAACTAGTATTCGCTCTCATTGTGGAGAGACTCATCTGGGGTACTACGCCGCCTGTAGAGAGTTTGGCGGGTGCGGTGCTGATTATTGCGGCGGCTGTTGCAGTTAGTCTGCAGAAGGAGGCGAGTAAGGGGGAGATCAAAGTGAAGCAAGTCGAGGATGAAGAAAGGAGGTTGTTGGAGAACCAGGCGGACTGAGGCAGCGCAACTTTTTCTAGCACGCAGTTTCCGTATAGCTTGTGCTGGGTTTGGTTGTGCATATGTGAAAAGTAATGATTTGGCATTGGGAAGGCGTCCCCGTTCATATCATCTGTAGACGGTTAGAATTACACGGCTAGTTCATGTACCTAATGTATTAGACACTACCTAAGCCTCACCCTAAGAACGACTGGTTCAATCTCTTACGCGTAGATATTTAGGTGACATTTTATTGGAATCCTATGTTGTTTCAAAAGGAAATACTTCTCCACAACTCAACTAGAGAAGTCGCCACTAACGGGTATCGCTAGCGTCATTGCCTTATCGCCTTATCGAAGCTGCGGGGAAGGCGCGACGCGACTGCACGTCCTACTTCGTCGTGAGCCCCTGAAAGCCTACGAATGCAATCAAGGCTTGACTGCGAGCATCTGCACAACAATAGACGGAATATCTGGACTTATGTATAGCGACAGAATATGCCATATCGGTGAATAATGACGCGACCAAGCCCGGTCACGCGCAAGCCAGCGTACCCCGCGAACTATGATAAGCGGCCGTCCGGAGCTTACGCGGGGATAGGGCGACGCCACTGCTCCCTGAAAGCACGTCGCCTGATTCTCTGCTCCTCTTCGAGTCTTTTCTCTCGTATCGCGCCTATATCGAATCTCAAGTAGACTTCATTGTTTAGAATAACCATCTTTATTTCGCTCCGTTAGATTAATCCGTCAGTTCATGTGACCATTGGCCGCTGTATCAGCTCTGCTCTGAGGAGCCGCTGGCGCCCTGAAGTGAGGCTTGGATTACAACGGTAACTATATCTCTGATTCATGGCTATACAAGCTGACATATTAGTTCAGGGCGAACATCCTAGACTGCTACTCATCTCAGTCTTCACTAAATTCGCCCTTTTACTTCAACGATGACTTGGTGGCGTCGTGACTCAGCCATCTCCCCTGTCCAGCGCTACGCGCAACGTCTACTCCGCTCCCACGAGGCTGCTCTTCGTACCCGAGGCTTTTCTCGCACACCATCGCAAGATGCCCAACATAGAGACGATAAGGGCACCAATCGCCCAGCGGGCATGTCCAATCTCGAGTGGGCACAATTGCAACACTATCAGCGGTGGCGAAAGAAGTTGATGGAGGACCCATATCAAGCTCTCTTCGGTGCGAGCAATAGCATGCTAAGTGGGAAGGGATTGAAAGACTGGGAGTGGATTAGCAACTCGTTTCCCAAATGGATGCTGAGGGAGATGAGTGACTATGGGGATGCCACGCCACAACCAAAAAGCGACAAGGACATCAACTCTTCGAAAAGAAATGCGAAGAAAGAAGACACGGACTACGACGATTCAGCCAACTTCAAAGAAAAGGAATCCCATTTCCTGCAACCTTCTTTCAGGGCCACGCGAATAGGCGGTGACGATGCCCGTGCTATCGTTTCACCCTCGGACCTGAGAAGGCCGAGTGAACAACCTCACGTTACAGTCATTGGAGAAAGCATAAAAGCGAGTAACGAACTCAACTTCAAGCCCCAATCTTCCACTTCCTCATTAAATGAACCCTACACTTTCGAATCATCGCCTCCGACACCACCAAAGAGTACACAGTCCTTCAGCGATTACATAAGAAAGTCGAATTCGGATGCCATAGGCAAGATCGAGAAATTGAGCAAGCCTACAACATCCCAAGGGGCTTCCTTCATGGATGGGTTTCTTACGGAAAAGCCTCCACAAGATGAACAAGACGTTGACACTCATAAGTTTTCCAGTTGGAGGGAAACCACACTACAAAGGCGTCTATTGCGAGACGATGCGGTGAAGAAAGACTCCAACAATGAGCCCCCGAGTATCCTGCCAGTCGCCAAAGAAACTGAAACTATGCCGCCGACTGCAGTCATAGAGGAGCACTCTCCAGCGCCACAAGTGAAGCAAGCTGTTCTTGTCACAGACGTGGTCCAAGAACAAAAGCCCTCGCTCAACGAATATGCCAATTCACCGAAAGGCTACGCTAAACCTGTCAGGTCAACATCAGAGACACTTAGTCAGCTACCTGAAGATGACATTGACTTCTTGAGTGCAGCTGAGATCCGCGCGTCCATGGGCACGAAGAAGAGTAAAATCATGAGCGATGAACAAAGGAAAACAGAACGAGAGAACTTAGAAAAGTCTTTTGCTGAAGCACACGCCGAGACGAACGAAGTCGATTCAATGATTGAATCCAAGATCATCAATGATCAGCTTGTTCGCCGCATAGAGCGTAAGATGCAGATGCCAGAAGAGCCGAAGGGGATGGATGGACCTCAGCCGACTACCAAAACTGATCAGACATCGACACTCGCAAACGAGGCTCAAATGGAGTCTAGTATTGATCGTATGAAATCTTGGCTTGAGCAAGGTGGTGCCATATTCTCCAGCTACTTCTGGCAAGATCCGACAGAAGAAGCAGACGCAAAGAAGACCCGATTGTTCTTCGATAAAGTGCTCGAGCGTATTCGCAAGGGACGCTCAACCATGAGACAAGTTATCGAGGATCTAGAGACAGATATTCCTGCGTCCAAAGCACTGTTAAAGCGCATGAAAACGGACGAAGACGTCTTGGACTCTGCAATCCATGCTCTGCGACAACGCTCTGGTAGCGGCAAGATGCATTCGTTGACGCCCAAGAAGGTCCGAGCGATACAGTCCCTGCGTCTGAAGTTTCAAGATACGGACAATGATCTGAACAAAGCTTACGCAGCTTTGGAGGAGATCAGCAAATCCGAAGCTGTCAAGAATCCACCCTTGGCTTTCAAGCAACGACTCGGCTTGTCAGCGAAGATCATACAGAAAAACGCCCATCTCACACGGTATTTGATATGGAGTCTGCAGGCTCGTCTCGAGGACCCAGAAATTGACCGAAGCATGCTGGTAAACTACAAAGCTGTAGCTAATAGCCTATTGACGCTGAGAGATACCCAAATGGCTCTGTCTCGATTGGTGGACCGTGCTATGTTGGTATACGGGGTCGTACCACAGACTGTGGAGAAGGCCGAACTGATGGGCCAAACAATCCTGAATACTTCAAGTGAGCATGGGCAGGTGTCTCATGGGGTGTCATCCAGTATGACCGAGATCGACAAAGCCCAACTTCGTGCTAGAATAGCGGCCGAAGAACACCTTGCCAACGAGGTTGATGCACAAAAATCAGCAATGTGCGGATTGTCAGACGATGGGTATGTCCGTGAACCAAAGGCCCTGGCGAAGAAGTCATTCGAGGAGCGTAGCCCGCTTGACCACAGCCTCTACAGGCCCTTTGGACCGGTGTTGGAGAGCTTGGGCAGTGAACTGCCTTCAAGAATCGAAGCGTCCAAATCTGAGGAAGTGGAACAGAAGTATAACGATGCTGAGCTGGTCGCTGAAGTGCAAAAGGCCTACGAAGATACTTATGGGCCAATTACTGCTGACCACCAGCAGTGTCCAGCTGCTGATGAAGTAAAGCATGGCCAAGAGAATGCTGTTGAGAAGTTTGAGATGTTGAAAGACGACCCTACAGTTAGCGAGGAGGCTCCTGAACGGGTCGTTACGACGCAGGAGCCCGAGACTGAAGTCACCACGTTACAAGCCACAGAGAACGAGGGTACCAACGCGCGAGCTAAGGCCGAGACTGAAGTCTCTAACCCAACACCTCAACTCACTCAAATATCCCCAGAACCCGCCACTGAGACCGCTGCAACAGCGACCTCGTCCCCCATTCCAATCACCGACCTCCCAACCCACTACATCATCCTGATCCACAATGCCGAAACCAACACACTCACCCACACAACCTCGACCTCCCCACCACCCCGCGAGCCATCCCCGACAATCCCTCTCCACACCGCCCTCGCAACCCTCTCCTCCCCCTCAAAATTCATCCCCCACATAACCCCAGACGTGGAAATCATAACCGCAAAATCAGACATGCTCATTCTCCGTAACGTACTCGCCCCATCATCCTCTTCCGGCACCCCAAGACCCCTACTACACCCCCCTGAGCACAGCGACGCCGCAGATGAAACAGATATCCAGCGCGCAGGAACTGTAAACCCAATCGATGGCACTACGCGTCTTTCGCCAACGGGATATGTAGGTCCTGAGGAGAATCGCGAGCAGCTAGAGAAGGAGTTTGAGGAAAGGAGACGCGCGGCGGAAAGGGTGGTGCTGGGGGCTGGTGCCGAGGGGGAGGAGAGTGTGAAGGGCTCAGCTTCCGGGGCTGAGAAGAAGAAGAAGGGACGAGGCGCGGGTGTCGTTAAGACTGCGATTTGGGCCGCGGCTGTGTGTTATGTTGTTGGTGTGTTGGGGGAGGTGGTTGCTTAGAAACTGTGTATATGGCGGTGAAGGGAGGAGATTCATGCTTTTCGCATATCTTTGTAAATCTTCTTTTCTTTTCTATTCTCGTTTCTTTTGAGGGGGGGGCTGACTTCCGGTTGTTTGTATCTACGCGTCGTAGGATCTACACCGCTCTGGCTTCCATATTCCGTTTTTTTTCCCTGGCTCAGGAGTCATTCTTATGTATAAACATCTCGTTATCGTAAATGAAAATACAATTCATAGCATTACTCAAGAAAGAGATCTGGGGCGGATTTGAAATTTTGATGTTGGTCATTACGAGTTCTATTCGTTCTAGTAGTGATACTTTTTTTTTGGGTGACGTGATAACCCGATTGGAATCATATCGCGTGTCGTACATTTCAGACACACTTTTTTCTACGTCACCCTCATTAGGAATCCCGATTTGGGATGGGACCAACAAAAAAGAAGAAGAGTCTATGAGAAAGAAGAAAGAAAGAACATTCAAACACGACTAAAAATGTGGCGTGTTCAGCGCCATAGCCATCATAAGACCCGAAATCATACCCGAAGCAGGCAGAGTGATAATCCATCCGGAGAAGATGAAACCGACTTGCTTCCAGTTAACAGCCTTTAGATCAAAGTTGCAAAGAGCAACACCGATAGTAGCACCAGTCAGACACTGAGTTGTAGAAACGGGAAGAGAAAGACGAGAAGCCAGCAAGACGGTGATGGCGGCACCAAGTTCCATGGAGAAACCACGGGTAGGCGAGACCTGAGTGATCTTGTTGCCGAGAGCGCGGATAATGTGGTAGCCGTAGAACCAGAAGCCGAGGCCGAGGAGGAGACCGGCGACGACGAGAATCCAGATGGGGGTATCGGCTTCCTTGGTGACGGTTCCGGTGGTGTAGGTGTTGTAGGAGCCTACCCAGGGACCGACTGCGTTGGCGACTGTGGGGTGGCGAGTTAGCAGGTGTTGGTGTATATGGGAGATGAGAGAAATGGAAGCTTACCATCGTTGGAACCGTGAGCAATGGACATCATCATGGCGGAGGCAACTTGGGCGTAGGTCCAGAGATGCTCAACGCGGTTGTCGTAGACAATTGCGCGTGCGTGTATGGCACCGAGATCTGAGTGTATGTGTTAGACATGGTCGAGCGGAAAGCGGAGATAATGTGACTTACCTTTCTGGGAAACGACATCGCGAGAAACACCCTGGAGAAGAATGAACTTGGTCCAGTTGGCGATCTTCTTGGGCGAGTAAAAAGGCAGGTGCTTGACAGGCTCCAGCCAGCGCTCCTCTGGCTCGGGTGTGGCGGGGATGAGGTGGACGACAGGACCTTCGCTAGGGGGGAGGGGGTTGGAAAGACCGCGACCAGCACGCTCAACGTCAATGCTGTCACCATTGCTGGCAGGCTGCTGGATATCGGAAGAAGTGGGACGAGCGGTTTCCTTTTCACCCTTGAGTTTGTCTTGGATAGCCAGGCTGTCTGCGGGAGCTGCCTTGGCATAGTAGTCGGTGACAATCTGGTCTCCCTTGCCGGGGAAGTAGATTGGAGGGTTCTCGCGGTAGAGAAGAGGACCAAGGGGAATGTGCCAGACCCTCATTCTAGCGTCGCCCTTAACAAGACGGCGATGGAAGTAGGGAACGAAGAAGATGAATGCAATGGCAAGGATACCGGCAAAGACACCGAGGATGATACCACAGGCCATGCCGGGGCCCATTTCCTCGAGGCTCTTGCCATTTGGAATCTCGTCAATGATGAACAGAGCGAGAATAGCAGCAGTAAAGGCAAGGTAGAATGGAATCAGGCGGAGACCCCACTTGAGTGGGTCCTTTCGGTGGAGCACACCAAACTTGACGGTCAAGAACAGGGCGGCCGAGAAGGCAGCCGAAATGAATGGCGCAATGACCCACGAGGCGGCGATTTGCGAGATAGAACCCTTCTTCCAGCCCCAGCTAAGAGGCGACTGAGCGGCAATACCAGCACCAGCAAGGGCACCGACGACGGTTTGCGTGGTGGAGACGGGCATGCCCATGAAGGTGGCGATGGTGAGGAAGGTGGCAGATCCGACTTCAGCACAACCCATGGCCAGCATGAGCGTAGCAGGCGCAGGCCTGAAAGTCTCAAGGTCAAAGATGCCTCCCTTGATGGTACCAGTGACACGAGCACCGAGTGCGACGGCACCGAAGAACTCTGTGAAGGAGGCGAGGACGCCGGCCTGCCACATCTTCAGGGTGCGGGCAGCCACTGAGGTGGCATAGGAGTTGGCGACATCATTGGCACCGTTGGAAGCCGACGAGAAGACGAAGGCAATGGTGGTGATGGCAAGGATCCAGTTGTACTTTTTCAAGGCGGGAGCCATGATTGGGCAAAGACGGCGAGCTGTCGCGCCTTTGGAACTGGAACAAGAGAGATGATGCGAGGTGATCGGAATGAGGGACTGCTGAGTGGATTGGGTACAACTATCTTATATAGACAACATGGCCGTTGAGTATGTGGGAGCTTGGCTGTATGAATTCCATGTCAGTATACCGCGGCATGTGGGTATCAGACACAGAGGCAAAGTGGATCGATCCAGCCACGGCATCATGCTCTTTCGACCTGGCCGCGGCCTGTTGCCCAACAGGATATATATTTCTGGGTCTATGGTAGGAATTGTGGAGTGTCGACAATGGCGAACTGGCATGCCATTGGCGTACGTAGGCGACCCAAAGGTGGTGAGCGAGAGCACGCGACCCACTGCCGCTTCAGGGTCGCGTAAAGTGGAGCCAGATGTGCGACGCCATGGCAGTGGTGGGGGGCGGGGAATTGAGTGTGGACGAACGAGAGCTGGGGATAACAGCACGTTGTCCTCGACGTCGCGCTCGGGGCAGTTTGCCATGAATTCCGCCAAGTCTGCCCAGGAAATTTCCCAGTCCGCCCTCGAAATTTCTGCTACCGCCAAGTCTCTCCCTCTACTCCCTCTGCTCCCGTCCGCCCACCAATCAGACTACTCCCTCGAGGCATGCGTTCAATCTACAAGCTTACAACTCACGAGAGGAAGACAGTATCGAACGCTGTTATTCGACGCCACAGTAGAAACCCGTTGTTCCGCCTTGCCGTCTATCCGTTAAGCATTCCGGACTCCGCCATGGCACTCTTCAGCGAGCTTACCTTATGTACCATGACATGCTTTGTCCCTAAAACAAGTTGCGTTGCCTCCGACATCACTCAATCTACAGGAGACATTTCCTTTTTTTAGACCCACCCACACCATATGTATATCATGGTGCATGTCCAGACAGGCGCGTCTCTCACCACAGACATCAGCCCATGTGCTTCAGTCCAATGTACGCCAAGTGCTCTGCATCAGACAGCCCAGAATGAAGCATCTTGCAGCTTATTTGTCGTCACTTGGCTCCTTGAAACCCGCCATGTGCCAACATCACGAAGCACTGCAGTATACCTATAGCCTTGGTATTCTAATCCTCGGCTTACTTTACATGTCGAGAAGCGGCCCTACACTTCTACTCTGTTAAACCAAGATTTTCATTTCTGCTCATTCCTACAACATTATGCTCGTCGACCTAGGAACTCTCGAGTTCTCCTTGTGTATCCCCGTTCAACTTGCCACTAGTATGCCGAAAACTTGGTGAAAAAATCCAGTTTTAGCAATGACCATTGGCTACTGACACTGCCTCCTTCCGCCACATTCTCGCCTACAAAAGCTGCATATGCACGAACTCGAGACCCGCGGGATCTCTGCTGCACGTCTTTCAGCCCGGGCTGCCGAGCCTGTATGGTGCCACTTTTGGTATCCTTGGTTCGCTCTCAGTCTACGTGCAATTTTAGATTCCTACCTTTTCTTCTCTGGTGAGTTAGGCGTTCAAACAAGGCTTTTCAAGCATTACGTAGAGTTGTTTCTCCTCACGTAGTCGATACGAAAAACAAACGTCACAATGCCCCAAAGCTCGTTACAACTTTATATTTGCCACACTCTCTAGATGAATCTCTTACAAGCTATCGCATTAAAGAATGGTGTTGCTTAAGGATCAACAAAAGGGTAAAGTCGCTGCACGTGTACCATTCTAGCACTGCCTGGAACAACGATACTTTTCTTCATTCAGCTCTATACCACTTCATTAACACAATGTCGACCAACCTACACTTGCTCATACGATCTATCGCCCTTTTTCTAGTATTAATATGTCTAATCCATCTACATCACACGCGCATCCATACCCCGCACCGTTTCACGTAACAAAAACAAAAGATCAAATCTGAAACCTCCACATTCAAGACCTAAAACAACAGCAGTACATACACCTCGGCCTACACGTCTTACCATGCACTGCCAATATACCGAGACAAACTATATGGACCATTTAATCTCCTTTCAAACAATCGCGTATTAGGTGTTCAATTCACACCTGGAAATACCTCATTAACTTGACTACCTCTTACAAGAAAGATTCTCGCTTGAGCAAGCAATCGAACAGTGATTTGCCAACCAATCTCCGCATCAAAAAGTAACAATCACCACGGTGCGGCGATACCATAGCTTTTTTCTCTCACTAAGAAAGGGGACACACCCCACCAAGCAAAAAAATTGGATGGAACATATACTACAAAGCGCGCCTTCAAAACAAGAGGTATTCACGAGCGCTGAACCCTACCCTCCCTGATAAATTCTTAGCTATACAGAGAAAAAAATTCCAGCGCTAATTCCAACCCTGATACTCTTCATTTCTCAGGCTTTATTATATATAAAAAAAGTGATGACAAAAAAGGATAGAGAAGAGAGAGAGAGCTAAAGCTATACCCGAAAGTTATCAAACCAGTATCACAACACAACCGTAACCTCTCCGCCGTTAGTACTTCCCTTCCCAAAGCATTCTCTATACAAGAAGCCATAGATACAAACCTTGTCATCACACTTTCTTCTCATCAACACTTACGAACCTCCCCCCTTTACTACTTTCCAACTCTCTCTATCCATCTCTCGAACTAATCATTCCGATAAATACCTTACGCACACCATTTCACCATTTCATTCCCCCGAGCCAGTCTTATGCGAGAAAAAAAAATATGTGGATTCGCAGAGACATATTTTTTCTTCTTCTTTACTCTCCCCCCAAACATTCCATGTATATAATAGTTGGGAAACGATCTAAGAAACGGCATAAAAATGACACACTCTTTTTTTGAGTTGAGGAAAGGGGAGATGGGGGATACAACGGGTATTTCCGAGGACGTGTGTGTGTGTATGTGTGTGTGTATATATATGTGGGAGCAAATAGCTATTTAAAGTTGTCTGAATCATGTACTTATGCCGTATTCGTCCTTGGATCAGGACGAAGAAGAAGAAGAAGAAGCGGTAGGTGGCCGAGTTTTATGTTTAATGTGTATATACATATATGCATATGCATGTACATGTATATGTGGATATTATGCTAAGAAAGTAAATGCAAGAAAAATTACGTAAGACTTCAGTTAACATTTGTCTTACTAGTCCTGTCATATGACTGTGTAAGCGAAACTGTGAAATGGGACTTGGGTTAGGACAGTTAAGCAAAAATGAAGACGTCATGACTTTGACAAGCGCTCTAGTAGGTGGTTGGATTTGCCTCGACCTCCATGTTCCCATTGTATATTTCTTCAATTCACCTAGCAAATGGCGACAAGATATAAGCTTTAGAAGAATGGGATATAGGAGGTGTTTAATTTGTTGCTTAGCTACCGAAAGGCCAGAAGAAAAAAAAAGATATACGAGGCATCTAAATTTTCTTGGATCTTTCTTCAAATCGTCTCATGTGTATATGTCTTCCAACGAAATATGCAAGACATACGAAAAAAAAGAGAGAAACACGATACCTCGCATAAAGTCCGAAGACGACCTTTCTCCCCATCTCAAGATCTTAGAATACATCGAAACAATCGAAACAATAATAATAACAACAAAGGAAAAAATAGCTGCATGCAGCAGTGAGGATGACGGCAGTGGTGGTGTTGATGATAAGCCCTTCAAGCTCGATGATGGTTGGGGGGGGGGGCAATCTAACATGACTATGCAATACACACACAAAAAAAACTCTATAATGACTCTCATAGCGTGGCTTTTCCCTTCCGAAAACAAAGAAAAGAAAAGCGCACCATATGAGGGTAGTAGGTGAGGGGTATCAAAGAAAAAGAAAAGAAATAGAACCTAAAGTCAAAAATACCTTCTCTCGCTCTTCTATATGCTCGCTGTTGGACACAAAGGAAAAGGAAAAAAAGCGTATAGGCAAGAAAAGGTTACGTTGGGGCGTGAGTCGTATATGCGGCAAATTCGTTACACGTCCTTTTTTTTGTTTTTTTTTCTAATTCTGCGTCGCATACATGTGCAATTGGTCATGCATTTGGGGTGTCAAATGACGAAATGATTGTTGCTGGTGGTGCATGAGATGCTGTTGATGTTGGATATGTTGTTGGTGTTGCATTTGGTGAAGAGACTGTTGTTGTTGCTGCGGCTCAGGTGTGTGTCGCATGCCCATTACTGCAACAGGATAATCCGCATTCAAGTCTGTCATGGTTTGGCTCATACTCGATGACGGCCTAGAATGAGTGGAACTACTCCTAGACGCGCCGAGTCGATTACCAATCTTATGAAGGGGTTTTGTGATCAGCTGACCAAATGACGGGCGGTCATAGTATTGTGATTCTTCGAATTGAGGTGCACCGCCGAAATAATTCGGGTACAATGCCTCTAATGGGTTAGGCGGAGCCTTGGCCTGATCAATGTACTCGTTAGGGTACATTTGAGCTTGCTGCGTGTGATCCATGATTTGGGTGTGTGTATTTGATGTGTGCATTGCGGCCGTAGTCATAACCGGTGGGAGATCGGGTATAGCCGGTTGCGCTACATCAAGGTAATCTCCTGGATCCACATCCATGTAGCTGATACGGTGGTTTGTGGTGTCGCGAGCAGGCGACTGTGGCTCCATAAATGGCGAAGATGCGCAATCGTAATTGGGCAAATGCGATAAGGAGTTAACGGCGCGGACCAATGCCGCATTTACAGTTGCAAGGCGAGCCCGTGCAACGTGCGGATCAGAGTTCCCAATGAGAACATGCATTCGCTGTTCCCGCGACAACTTTTCGACATTTGGGACAGAGTCCCTGGATGGTGTGACAAAACCTGGGGGTAGTTGTTGGTCGACGGGGTCTAGTTGCATGTCAGAACGTAGGCTCAAGGCGGTGATGAGAACCTCTTCTCTGCTTGGTCGGAGATCGCAGCATTGAAGCTTCTGACGGAGGATCCGCGTGTTGTCAGGACACCAGCTGATCTGTGAGCGGCTTTCTCGGAGCCTTTCGTCCAAACAGGAGATCAATTCCTTCCAAGTATCGTAGAGAGCTTCTTGCCGAATTAAGTTCCGAATGACGTTGGAGTACTTCCACTGGTCGATTGTCGCGCCGTTCTTCATGTGTTTTGCCACATGGTCGCATCGCTCGTCCCAGCCGATGCTAACCTCTTTGCATTTGTCGAAACCGCAGCCAAAGACCCGTCGAGGCAGGAGGGTGATGCCAATGTCGGTCAACGATGGCAAGGGTCGGCCGGTGTGATAGCGCTGATGGTGCTTGATAAAGTCCTTTTGCCGATCAAAAATACGGTTGCAGCCGTTGACAATGCACGGCCAATCTTCGCCCGTTTCATGCATTCTCATTTCATGCTTCTTCCAATCGGACTTTGCCTTGAACGTCTTTTGGTTCTTTTGCTCGGCACAATAGGTGCAGAACATGTAGGATTCGCCCGTTTGGCTTTGCGACTTGTCATCGTCGGCAAACAAGACGGGAGAGGCGACACTGAGATTGTCTGTTGGTGTGCTGCTTGGCTCAATCTTGAGATCGAGCGGACTGTCCGTGTCCGAAGACATGGCAGCAGGCACTGGGCGGGTGGGGTCTAATCCAACTGGATACGAGCGTGGCTCTGGTCGCTTTGGCTGGGAACGCGACGAAGATGACGAGGCCATGGGAGAGTGCCTGTTGCTGTTGCTGCTCGACGAGGAAAAAGTCGACGTCATTGACAGCCGGGAGCGCCATGATGAGCCTGATGAAGAGGTGGCGGATGAGCTGACGGTGCTGGTGGACATGAAGGACGAGGCAGTTGAATTGCGGCCTGAACTCGGTGAGCGCATGGACAGGAGCGAGCGAGCCAAAGAACAAAATTACATACGTGAGTCTAGGGCCTGTGAAAACATTCGTTGAATCAAATGCGGAGGGTGCCTTGCGAGCAGGGCCTCGATATGTCGCATGGATTCTTCTGGTATTTCGACATTGTCGTCCATGATTGCGGTAGAGCCGCGTGCTCGTGGGGGAGAATGGGCCTCGCGAGCTATTGCAACATCCCAGTGGACCCCGCGCAGCCTCGAAACTCCAGGCGACAGTGGGAGCGCAGTCAATGAAAGTGGATGGGAGGTGGGGAAGTTGTCGAGGCGTTTGGGGGGAGAGTGGCAGCCAAGGAATGGAGAGTCGTGTATCCGAGCAGGCATCCGCTACTGTTGGTGCGACAAGTTGATATACGGGCGGGATCACGTCGCCCAAGATTGCAGCGGGGAGGGCGGAAACAGCACTCTTCTAGAAGACGTATGGAAGGATCGTAGAAGCAGCTAAACGGGGGTTGCTCACTGGGGCGCTCGTGCGCAATGCCGACAAGACCACGCACCCTGGTTTTGGCCTCAAAGCTGGGGCAAGGCTGAGGATGCGGCAGGGTATACCAGTGTAGCGTGTTTGAATGTGGCGCGACGCGATGCGGCAGGTCGAGGGGCCAGGACAAGGGCAGAGAGACGAGGGTGAAGGGCAGCGTCGCGACAGACAGACTTGCAGCGAGTACTGGTGCGGCCGAATATGTATCTAGACATGGACTGGAGGGTTGGCGTTGGACGGGTGGGCGATGGTGCGTGTGCGTGTGTGCGTGTGTGTGCAGGGCGTATAGGTTGTGCAGTTGAGGGCCGCACGCGCCCGTGGACCGTCGCAAAACGGCATGGTAAGGGGCTCGCAGTGCGGTACCTGGATGACGCGCCGCTTAATGGGTTGCCCAAACGGGCGTGGTGCTGCCATATGCTGCCCTGCTGCCATGGGGGCCCTATACTGCACTGCACCCACAAGGGCCCTGATGCTGCCGCTGTTGCCCACACTGGCCGGCTCACCAGCGCGCGAGCGAGTGAAAGCTCGTCCTGCCACGTTGTGCACGAACGGGTGGAGGTGCCCTTGCTGAGTTCGTCCAAGTTTACCAGCCAGAGCCAGAGCCAGAGCCAGAGCCAGAGCCAGGAGTAGGTACCTTGTACTTTGTTTCTTCACCCACAACGTCGTCCTCTGCCCACCTGGGCCCACACTACACCAACAGGCTCCAATGCCATACACTTCCCGACTCCCCCACCCCCCACTGACTGACTGACTGACTACCAACCAAGACGACAGCCTTCCGTGGCCGAGGCGTTGCGAGGTGCTGACGGCACGACCATGTTGCTCCGTGCACGTCTTGCGCCTGCGATACGTCCTGGTAGGTGTGGTTGCAGTGACAGTGACAGTCAGGCCGGTGGAATCGTCATCGTGCCCTGCCCTACCGTCGAGTGTGTCTTTACTTGCCTACCCTCTATTTGCGGTCCTTTGTCGCTAGCTGCATGCTCCATCGTGGCATGTCCCAGCCCATTACGCCCATAGGCGCATCCGCGGCAGAGGGTGTGGTGTTTTAGGACGACGCCACAGGATGGGTTGGGGTGCATGGCTGCTCCAACAAGGCGGAACCATTAATCCTAAGTCCATTTGTACAGCTAACATGAAGCGGTTGGCGGTGGTTGGAGTGGGCAGTGGGCAACGGGCGACTGCTAGTGGACGCGGACGCGGACGCGAATAGCGTGGGGATTGGGTTTGTCGGCACGTGACCCGACTTGCCCTCTCCAAGCATGACTCCGACCATGACGGCGCCTTGCAACTAGGTTTGTGGGCGTTCAACCCCCCATTCTTCCCCACCACCCTCGCCCTGTCGCCCTTTCTCTCCAACTCTCCAATCCTTGTAGCCTCGTACCTGTTGGCGTCTGCTCGGCATCCAGACCCTTTTCTCTAAAAACAGATCTTTGCACGACCCGAAAATATCTCTCTCCATCCGTGCACCGCAAGCCGTCGTTGGCCAGCACCCGAACGGCGCAGGTCGCTGAGTGACCATACCAGGGGCCGTCTCTACTCAGCATGTTCAGTGACGATGGGACTGCCACTAGACATGGGACACTGTGAACATGGTCTTGTCAAGCCTCCCACTAAGGCAAAGAGACTCTTTACTCCCCACGCATGCAATCACCAAAAACAGCAGGCAGAGCATGTACGCAAGTAAGCAAGCAAGCATCCGACCCGACAGCAGAGAGACTTGCGGCGACTATGCGCTAGCCGGCAGAACATCACCGTTGTCACGAATGCCGCAAGCCATCCATGGCCAATAGACAAAGTTTCGTTAGAAATGCACTTCTGCTATTTCCAGCGTCCAGTCATGTCTGTCCAGCCACATGCGCGTTGCGCAGCATATGCATGCAACCAGCAGTCGGAAGCGCAGCGGCAGTTGCATGGCAAGAACAGCCGCTCCTCTCACTCTACTGCTGGCAACAGCCGCAAGCCGCACAACACTCACCCCATACCAACCCAAAAAACGGTAGCCGGGGCCTCTCCGCCCACCCGACTTCCCCTTTTCGCCAATCCGCACTCGCTCCATTACGCTAACGTCATTTCCTCGATCAACAGAATAGCCTTTGGAGCTTGGACGCGATCCACACTCGCCTATGTCCGCGCCGCACTCAATCGATTGTGACGGACACGGCAGAGGCATGTACACACGCGCCTGTATTTAGCCGTGAAGCCCTACCCGTGAAACCACTAGGCACATGCCGCCCGGGCTGTTGTAGTCCGGCTGCCCACGGAGCTATCACGGAGCTGCTACCGAAGCCCACTCGAGCAACTCCCACGACGACGACGACGACTGCTTTACACCAACCCAAAACTCGAAAGGGGTGCATGCCATGGCCGGTGCAGAAACAATATCACATGTTGTTGTAGTCATATCTGTTGCTGACACGATTACAAGGATCGTTAGCATCGAGTAGTAAGCCACGAGTGACAGACTCCATCTTCAAGAACCTAACTAGGCCACCTGCAACTATATTGCTCCGTCTTGGCTCAAGAAGCTTCCTTGTTGATATATTGATAAAAGCTTGTTGTTGAGCAAAATGTCTGTGCAAGTTTCACACGGAAAATATCTTCTCGCACACAGCATCACTTACTCTCCATCTGGTCCGCGGAGAGTTGACAGAATGCAAGAATGTATTCATGTCAAAGTCACCTATTGACTTTCTCTTCTACTTGAAATCATTACTACAGTTTAAAAATATATATATATATATGCAAAGAAGAATCGAATATGTACACCAAACAAGAAAAGATTCCACTCATCCAACCCTCACCACACTAACTCACAAACTTGCCATCACAGTCAAAGTTCCCCTTTGTCCTGAAATTGCACAAACTGCTCTTTCCACCCCCAACAACGTGTATGTTGTTAAACGTGAAATCGCTGCAACTTCCCTCTCCGCACAGGATATAATAATTGCGTCCCTCATCCGTCGCGGTACCCCTTATATTCTGCATGGTGATATTTTGGATCTTGACACCATTTGTCGGTTTGCCCGTTGGGCCACCATTAAGATAGTCCTGCTGAATATCAATGCCATAGATGGAGATATTCTCAAGAAAGATATTCTTGAACAGAATATTCGTAATGGAACCCGTAGTGTTTGAGTTTGACTTGATCCTCGCTCCGTTCTCAGCGTTGAGAACAAAGGAGTTTGTAAAGGAGATGTTGTTGACAATGTTGTCTGCGTTTTGTCAGTCACGTGCTTATATGTATTCCCCTGTTCCTTCTCTCCGCACGAAGGAAGGAACGAAAAGAAAAGAAAGACTCACTTGACTTTCCCCCTACCGATCCAATCGACAACCCATGACTCCCGTTACACCACATGTTATCCACCACGACCCCATCCCCACTCGTCACCGCAACACAATCATCCTGATTCACCACTACAGAATCCCGAATCCTCACCCCCTTACTACTCGACACCCCAAACCCATCGCTATTATGCGCCGCCGCCAACCCATTTGACACATTATTCGCCGCATACCCCTCCGCATTATCCAGCCTGATCCTATACACATCCAAGTCCTGGCTATTCGTAATCGAAAAGCAATGCACAGGGTAATTCTTGATGTAGATGTCGTGAATGGTCGAGCAACCCGTCACGTTCTTCACCTCGATGAAGTGGTTGGGCTTGATGCGCCCGCCGTTGCTGCCCAGACCATCCCACCAGGCGGGGCCGTTACCGTTGAGCACGGCGAAGGGGGCGGCTGTGACTTCGATGTCGGTGCCGCTGACTTTTATGAAGGGGTAGTTGGCCGCTGCGTACTCCCAGAACGTGGTGCCTGCGAAGGTGACTTTGCTGCCGCGCTGGAGTTTGGAGAGGTCGATGGTGCGGTTGCCGGGCACGCGGATGTTGTCGAGGGTGAGGTGCGTGCACGAGGCTACTGCCGCGGGGATTTGCGTGTATTGGGTTACATGGCAGATGGGGTTGGGGGGAGGTGGCGGTGGCGGTGGGTGTCTGCGTTGGCAGTTTGAGGGGACCGCAGTGACTTGTGTGGCGCTGAGGAGAGCGAGGAAGGTGGAAAGGTCTGTTGTTGGGTGTGTTAGATACGAATGTTTATTCTACGTAAGACGCGAGTCGTGATGGCGGGTGGAAGAGTTATCTTACTATTGCCCAACATGACTACGTTCAATCCCTTAGACAACAACAACAACCAAAAAAAACTCAACAATACAACAGGCGTTAAAGAGCGGAATAAAAGAAACCAGGGACCTGACCCGTCTATCTAAATACCCTAACTACCCTACACCGGCGGCAATGCTTAAAGCGGGTCTTCCTCACCGTCCTTATTTCCCGTTATGCGCTAAATCTCTCTTTACTTACCTTTATCTCCGCCTTTAGCTAACTATCCCCCTGCCACACACACACACTCTCTCCCTCTCTCGGTGCCAAAGGAAAAAGAAAAGCCGCCACTAAACTAGACCCTTGAATTGTTCTGAATTTACATTTCGTTATTTTTTTGCCGTCTCCCCCCCGTCTAGCCTACAAAACCGCTGCATGTGCTGCATGCAACAAGCATACCCAAGCATCGCAAGCGAGGCTTAAGCAAGCACCAAGATTGCGGAGCGAGAGCCCCACTTTCTGCGCCCGCTTGACGGGCTCGAGAAATTGAATCCCTGGATGGGGTCTATTCAACGGACTTTTGCATGCCTGCCTTTTCCTTACTTGTTCCCGTGAGACAGTAGAATAACCAACTCAAACCCTAAAAAATTATTTCCTTACAAGGAAGCGGGTAGTAAGTAACGGGTATCACGCCATCTCCTCATCCTTCCCACAAAGCCAAGTAAGTGGTGACATGTTTTTCCTCTCTTTGCCTCCTCCTCGGCGCTACTTGCTCCTACGAGATCTCTCGCAACCGTGCCCTCCTCGGCCGTGCAATTTAAACAAAACCCCACAATGCCGCCAAATCTCGCTCGTTTTGCTGCATTACTGTCTAGTCGAATTACCCAAAAAGAAACGTATATGCATATGTATGTGCACTAGGAAGCATGTACCCTTTAAGCACAAAAAAAAGTTATGCTGCAAACTTTAGCTAATAGGTGTCTTTTGTTTCGTTATGCGACCCCGAAAAAAAAAAGGCAACAACAACAACACACCGCTAAGTAAGTAGTAGGAATGGAGAGATGGAAATGTATCGTCTAGTTGTCTACGTAGTAGTATTCTCCACATTCGACATACTTATGGCGGGTGTAAAAAAAAATCCACAAATCAACCACACCCACTCCCCACCCTTGCTCAACCCGTCTTCCCCCCCCCCTCCTCCTCCTCGCTTGACTAATCCACACACATACACCCCTTCAACACGGAAAATCTCCCTTCCGTCCATACATCCTCCCATCCTCCCATACCCACTCCCACTAGCCTGCCTGCTTGCCCGTCTGCCCGCATACCAAGAGCCATGCCACACCCTAGTTTCTCTCCAAAGAAAAATCCACAGCGGGATGCGAGGCTCCATGGAACCATCATATCCGGGGGTCCAGGGGGAAGGCACATTGCAGCAGATAAGTAAAGAGTGACAACAAAGCACCAATACCAGCAATCTCAACTTGTCTTTTTTGTCTGGGATGAGATCAGCGCACGGACCACATACACGGCAGGACGGTGGTGATGATGATGATGATGATGATGATACGAGGAGAAGAACATGCAGAAGGGGATGGAAGGGTAAGCTGCCAAGGGATGGTTGCCCCTTTCATTTTGTAGAATATGCAGTGTGGGAAGTGGCGAAGGGGAAAAGGGAGATATGGGGAGGTTTTGTGGAGAATTGAGGGAAGGGAGATGGAAGTAGTATGTTCATGGGGTTTGCGTTGGGGGACTAAGGGTTGGGCTGGGTTGTTTAGTTCTGAGTGTATGTAGGGTGGTATGCTACATGTATTAAAGGAAAGAATTAGAAAAGTACGGAAAATCTGATTGGATAAAAATCCTAGTTTTTTTTGGGTTCCGAGCGGTTTTTTTCCAACTGCTTTCCATTTGGTGTGGCGCAATACATTTGAGCAAGTTGAATAAATGAATACTTTTTCCACAATAAACTCAGATGAGCACCACATGAACTTTCACATTAACAAATAAACCAGGCAACCCCGTCTAAATTGTCCCAAAAGCAAAACACTTGAACAACACTGTCTAAACGTACTCCCACTTTTAACCGCCCCCCCTCATAACCTTCCATATTTCTAATGCGCCTCCCCACCCTCAACCTTCTTCTCCGACCCATGCCTAAAATCTGGAGTACTAGGCCGTGATCGTTCTCCCCCAAAGAATGCAATATTCTCTCTGAGAGCAATATACTCGCTATCGGCATACCCCAACGCCTCCCTAATCTGCGTAGAATGCAACCCCTTGATCCTCCGAATCTCCGTAGCCGAATAATTCACGACTGCTCGCCCAATCTCAATCGGTGCGGGGTTGTGAAGTTCAAATGCAGGAAGTTGGTGCGGAGACGACAGCTGATGGATATGAGTAGAGGAAGTGGAAGGGGTGAGAGGGTGTCGGATAGGAATGGGAGCGTGGACAGCGTGGGCTGCTGCGCCGGGGGTAGTGGGGACTTGGCTTGGTGAAGCGGGAGTTTGGGACTGAGAGGATTTGGACGAGGAAGAAGAGAGACGCTTTACGACGACGATGCGGACGGCTTCTTGCTGGGCAAAGTGGCCGTCTACGTCCACGATTCCCGCTGGGAGGAGTCCAGCTTTGTCGCTCAGAGCGGCCCAAGCGCCTTGGTCGATATAGATGGTGCCGTGGGGGGCGAGGCCGTGGAGGATCCAGAAGTAGCGGTCGCGTATGGGGTTGGATATGGGGAGGAAGCGGGTGTGCAAGGGGCAAGGGTCTTCGGTTTGTGGGGATGACGCTCGCGTTAGTTGCTGCTGCCCCAGTGATGCTGTCGAGGCCGACAGATCTTGGCTTGATTCTTGAGATGGCGTGTGAGTGCCGTCTTCCTGGAAATTGGTGACCGAGTTCCGACTTGACATTCTCGACTTCCTTTGCTTCTCCGCATGGGCAATAATACTCGAGATGTTACCTGGCTTGCTACTCTTGGTGATGACAGTAGTCACACCCGCGCTGGTTGCCAATCTCGCTGCTACAATCTTGGTGCTCATGCCTCCTGTGCCGAGCGAACTTCCTGCAGAACTGACATCGGCCGCCAGCTCAGCAATATCCTCGACCACAGGAATAGACTTTGCATCTGGATTCGAACGCGGGTTCTTGTCGTATAGGCAATCTACGTCCGTCATGAGGAAGAGGTAGTCCGCTTGCACCATGCCCGCCGTAATGGCACTGAGTGTGTCATTATCACCAAACTTGATTTCCGTAACTGCCAGCGTGTCGTTCTCGTTAACAATAGGAATGACTCCCATGCTGAGGAGCTCAATAAAGGTGTTCTGAGCATTCTGGTACTGCGTGCGGTCTGCAATGTCGTTCCTCGTCAACAACACCTGCGCAATTGGCTGCTCCAAATTGCCAAAAAGCTGATCCCATAGTGACATCAGCCTACTCTGGCCAATGGCAGCGAGTGCTTGTACTTGTGGAAGATGTTTGGGGCGGCGTGCGAGGTTCATGCGCCGTAGACCCACGCCAATGGCGCCCGACGAGACAATGACGACGTGGTGGCCCGCAGCACGCAGACTGCATGCTGTCTCGACTATGAGGGAGAGAATGGAGAGGAGCGGCTGGTGAGTCTTCTCGTCGACTATCGAGGAAGTGCCTGGGTGTGTTGGTTAGGTGCCCTCTTCTTTCCGTTGTGGAATCTGTACAATAATGTATTTACCAAGCTTGATGACGACGGTGAGCTGGCCGGGATGCTTGCGCATGTGGACAGCCATTGTAGCGGTGGAAGCAGAACGGTCGACAGGAACAGCGCAGTTCTTTGAATGCGCCACCTGGAGAAGAATAAGCCCGTTCTTTATACTTTATACTCGCGCGCAACGCATGACTGGAACGAGCCCAAACTTCCCTGTGCCTCGCAGCACTACCGATCTTCGGGCTGCCCCTGCGCGCGGCGACATCTGCCCTCCGATTGGCTCCCCGCGCATCCCACCACCCCATCTCCACCTAAACTTTTCGCGGCCGGGTCAATTCACCAGTGAGCATACTCATCCCACCAGCTACAAACATGTCCAAACCCGAGACAGCGCCCGACGGCGCCTCCCTCTCCGCTATGGCGCAGCCGCCGCCCGCCAAAATCGACCCTGTATACTACACCTGGTCGAGCGCCTTCAACATCCTGCTCGGCCGCATGACAGGCCAGCGCGATATTTCCCTCGAAAAGAACTACTTTGGCGAAATGGATACAATCAAAGCCGACTCCATCTGCCGGCGCTGCGAGTCCAACAAGGAGTATCTGCTGCAATATAGCCCCGTTATCCGCTTCATGCAAGATGAAGTGTACAAGCTAGGCGGTGACCTGAATAAAGACAACATTCTGTGCCGCATGTGTACGAATGAGCAGAGCGGTGGATTCTCGCTTGAGCATGGCATCTTGCTGTGCGCCAACAAGTTTCGCAATCGTGGACACCAGGAAGATACCATGGCCCACGAGATGGTTCATGCGTGGGATCATCTCAAGTTTAAGGTTGAGCCGGATAACCTCAGGCATCAGGCTTGCTTGGAAATCAGGGCTTCGACGCTATCCGGAGAGTGCAGATTTGCCCGCGAATTCTTCACGAGGAACCAATGGAGGATTACTGAGCAGTTGCAGGCTTGTGTGAGGAGGAGGGCTACGCTGAGTATGCTGGCCAGACCGGGCATCAGGGACCAGGAACACGCAGGCAAAGTGGTGAATGAAGTCTGGGAAAGCTGTTTCCGGGATACCAGGCCGTTTGATGAGATCTACCGCTAGGCGGGATGTGGGCACGAGTGTACGATAATCTGTATTGGGAACTGTTGTTATAAATAGGCATAGCGAACGGCGTTTGGCAGGCAAGTCTAGGAAGCACGGTAATCTTCGCTCAAGACGATGTGATGAAATTGAACATGAAATTCTGGTCTTGCATTCAATGATTAATGGAAGCTGATATGCGCAAGGTAAACGCCGATGAGATAAAGGAAGGCTAGCAAAAACTCCGAGCAATGCGATCAGATCATATGGTTCCAATGACTTCCGTGGGTTGCGCCTGTTCGCCGTCATAGCAGTTAAACGTAAAATAAATGGCACCCGGTCTTAGCTTAGAAGCTCTCCTCAGAGTCGTCCGAACTGCTGCGGGACTTGCCTCCAGAAGTACGCTCATATGCTCTGGGGCTACCCTTGCAGTGCTTGACAATCCAGGGATGTCTTTCAACATCCTCCAGGGCAATACGCTTCTCAGGATCCAGCACCAGCAATCGCTTAATCAGATCTCGTGCTTCAGAGCTGACGAAGCTAGGTACTGTGTACTCTCCCCTCGCAATCTTGCGCTGTGTCATGACTTGTGTGTCCTCAAAAGGCGCCTCACCGACCAAGAATTCGTATGTCAAGACACCCAAACTCCACAGGTCGACCTTCTCAGTGTAGTAGTTGTCCTTGCCGCCGCCGCGAAGCATCTCCGGGGGAAGGTAGTCAAGCGTTCCGCACATGGTGTTGCGGCGGTTGTTGGGGGCGTGGACTGACCAACCGAAGTCGGAAATCTTGATTTCGCCGTGGATGCCGACGAGAATGTTCTCGGGCTTAATATCGCGGTGCATGACGTGCTTCTTGTGGAGATACTTGAGGGCGGCAGCCATCTGGGCGACGTACTGTGCAGCCTTCCATTCCGGGAAGCGCTGTTCCTTGCGCAGATGCTTGTACAGCTCTCCCTTCCCTGCAAACTCAAGGATGAGGAAGATGCGCTTGGCGTCGTGGAAATGACCAAACAGCTTGAGAATGTTGGGGTGGGTGAGGTGAGATTGGATCTCAATCTCTCGCCTAACCTGCTTCTCGACCTTGCCTTGTTGGAGCTCGGACTTGTGCAGGACCTTGAGGGCGCAGACAAAGCCCGAGGCACGCTCCTTTGCGAGGTATACGCGACCGAATTTGCCCTTTCCCAGCGGCTTGCCAATCTCGAACATGCCGAGATGCCATTGCTTGGGGGTTGCGGGATTCGAGGGGACGCTGTACACGGCTGACTCGGTGAGGGTGCGGCGGTGAGACGAGGCATGCTCCGAGGGCCGGCCGGCGTTTGCAGCAAGGTTGACTTTCGCGATGTTTGCCGTCTTTGCATTTTGTGTTGCAATCTTCTGGAGAGGGATCTGGTGAGGTAGCTTCATGCGGTTGGCTGCTGATTGCGAGGTTGAAAGGCCAGCTACCGAAGGCTGGGTCTTGTTAGAACCGCTGACATCAAGCTCATCAGACCAATACATACCTTCTTGGCCTTCTGGTAGGCTGCATTAGACGCAGCCTGGTCGTCATTCTCGTCGTGGATCGTGGTGCGCTCAAAGGCAGCCTCGAGGTTTGCAACGTCGGCCATGGCGGTGTGATGCAAGCCGTAGCGACAGGAGACGAGACAAGATCAAAGGGGGCAACCAAGACCTGCTGTTTCACTCGGAGTGCAGAGTGCAGATGTCTCTTGGAGATGAGAGCGTGATGATCACCTGGAGATGGGGGATGGGTTCAAGGTTGTGGAGGATGGCACGGCCAACAAGTCATCAAACAAGTGGGTTTCACGCGTTGCTATGGGTGACGGGAGCTTGCCGGACGAGGGCCTGGCCATCGGGGCATCGGGGCTTTGGTTCGCGCCCCACCCCAGCCGTGTCCCCGCCATCGACAATGCACTTATGGGTATAGTCATTCTTACAAAGGGTGCCGGTTTGTCTTTGTCGCATCCGTGGTGAACAAATCATCGTCGCGTGACCTGCACCATCATGGCATCACTCAACGGCGCCCCCGCCGACACTGTCGCGCCCGGCCATGCCGACACATCCATTACCAAGGAGGGCTTCAAGATCACGACGCGCAAACTGCCAATCCTCAAGGCGGGGCCCATTGAAGAAATGACCAAGAAGCTGGGGATTGCGCCGCCAGAAATGATCTTTGGCGACAACATGGTTCGAATCGAGCATGCACAGAGCGGCTGGTACATCGAGTTCAATGCCTTCGATGCGCTGGACCGAGTCGACAAGACGGGCGAGAACATGTTCAAGGTCGCTTATTCCAAGGAGTGGCAGCAGAACCGGTCAGTGAGGGATGTCTTGAAAGCAGTGCGTACCGCTAAACCAGTCCAGGCAGAAGCAGTTTGAAGACATCAAAGAAGTCGTCAAGCCCTTTGACTGGTCCTACAGCACCGACTACAAGGGCACCACCCCCTTGACACCCGCATTCGAGCCGACCGAGACGCAAATACCCCTCGCCCTGCTCAAGCGTCCCGACCCGATACACTTCTTCGATGAGCTCGTGCTTTACGAGGACGAACTGGCTGACAACGGCATCGCCATGCTCTCCTGCAAGGTGCGCGTGATGCCCCAGCGCCTGCTCTTGCTTGTTCGCTTCTTCATGCGCCTGGACGACGTGGTTTTCAGAATCCGAGACACCAGGATATTCATCGAGTTCGCAGACAAGGTCATCTTGAGGGAGTACACGGCCAGGGAAGAGAAATATGAAGAGGTGCGGAGGAAGTTGGCCGGCAGGAAAGAAGATGTACTGGCCGCCATGCGGGATCCGAATCGGTTGACCGAACATGTACCTATTGTCGAGCACAAGCTAGAGGGACTGCAACTAAAGTGAGAAGCCATGTGCGCCATCAGTACAAGCGTACAAATGACGTGTTGTCTGATCGCAAGCGGCGGGGATGTGCCTACAACGCAAGTCTGACTATTCCTTGAACAGGTGGGCTAGATTCGTCCGTCACATAGACCCTGCCTAGAGTTGACACTTGGCAGTTTATCATGTTTGCCTGAGCGCATTCACATAGTACATAAAACGGGCCCCGGACAGTGCTTAGGGGGCAGTTCTGCAGGGTCTCGGCCGACATGATGCTTGAGCTGATCATTGATACAAGTGCCGGTCCGGTTCTTGTACGCGTAGGCAACTCGGGATGTGTGGCTGTGCCTGATAAGGCGGACATGTCGGACATGTCCACGACAAGATGCCGTGTCTACCTAAAATTACTCTCCGAGTCTGCTTATTACTTACACGTGGCTATGTTACGGCTTGTAGGGCTAACCACCATCGTAGCTACAAGCAATATTCACGTATGTGCACTACTACACAGCCAGCCATGGGCACATGCCTGATTGTGTGCTCGTTCTAGCGTAACTGGGCATGGAGGACTTGCATCTAGACCCATCTCCAGCCTGCTGCGTATACTGTGGAAGCCGCAGCTGTAGACAAGAGAACTGCATATATTACGTCTGCCAAGTTCAATAAGCTGAGCTTATGCATGGCTGAGGATGGCACGATTGAGACTGTACGCAACCTACCATGTCTGTAAACCCGGATTTGCTTCACGGCAAGAGAGATACATGGACTTCTTCAGCTCTTGTCGGGTAAGATACCAGAATGCCAGCCTGTTTGGTACAACGCATCAGCGGCTTCGTGCACGGTCGATTCTGCGCGTCGGCACATGCAGTCCGCTTGCATGTCAGAAAGGTAAACTCCATGCCAGCACTTCGTACACAGTAAAGATTTGCTGTCTAGCCGCATTCATGCAGTCCGTTAAAATGTCCAACCGATCGGCCGAACGGCTCTCGAAATGGTCAACAGTCGCTGGTACACCGCCCCTTTTGCACGAGAGATAAGTAAGATGAGAAGGTAAGTATGTTGCCAACATAAGCCCATACGGGGCGAGCATACGGGTGCGCCTGCCGTATCTGTTATATGACGTCTGAATCCTGGTGGTTTCGAGGGGCTTCTGGGGTAACCTGGGCAAAGCTTGAAGCCAGAACAGGCATGGGTAGCGAAGAGAATAGCGCGCGCCCCGAGACATCCGAGCGATCATTTCGTCCGGGACTAGGGTAGGAGTACGCTAACTGGTCCATTCAACACCACAACGACCGGCCGCCCTTGACACGCACTCGGGACCAAGCAATGCAGTTACTGTCAATTTCTTGGCTTGCAAAGTCTCCCCTTTGTAAATCCAACCCTTTTCTACCACATGGCATTGTTAAAGCAGGGACTTCGATTAATTTCTATGTGTGACGTCCCAGCAAAGCCATGTGTTTATCCTTGTGTGCTTCTTCCGCACACGTCCGGCGGAGCGTATTAGACGCTGGGCGGAGCGTATTACATACTACGTCAGATACAAGATCGACCGGACTAACCTTGGTGCCCAGAATATCTCGGAGGGGTATTTCGGAGCTAGCTCAGGTCTGGACCAACAATTCGGTGATGCGTATGGATGGTGCGATCGGTGATGACTTCGCTCGACCCACATACTTTGGCCTGGGCAGGTAACGTTGGACGAGTACTCCCCATGCTGCTCGTCCGACGCATAGGTACAAAGTTTAGGAATACGGGTATGAGGAGATTCCGCTACCCGGCATGCTATGACCACATAGGTCCACATAGTGGCCACCACACTGATATACCTTCTGGTCCCTGTGTAGACGAAGGGTTCAAAACAAACGACACTTGATCTACCACGCCGGCAACAGCTATTGTGACGCGCACAATGGCTTCCAACTCTTACGGCGAGGGTCTGTTTTCCCCTTCATCACAACAACAACAGCAACATGACAGATCACAACAACATGACGGTTCCTCCCAACTAAACAAGGAGGAGGAGGTAGTCCCCCTTGAACAGGTTGATACCTCCACTTCCTCCGAATCCTCACACACACGACATGGATCCAACGACGAGTCGAAAAGGGTCAAGAGAGTGGGAACATCATCTTCAGCCGACCATAGAGCCTCCATGGGCCTGCAACGTCGGATGACCCGGACGGAAATTGACGAAGACGGAAGGCGAGAACTAGTACGCATCTTCTCAACAGCATCTGCAAACGTCACTAGGCAATTAAGTGTTCCGGCGCCAAATGACCCAGCGGTAGACCCCAGCAACGCAGCTTTCGATCTCTCCAAGTTTTTGAACATGCTCCGCCACCAGTTTGAGGGAGAAGGTGTTGAGATGAAGAAGCTCAGTGTCGCCTTCAAGAACCTTAATGTTTTCGGTTCTGGAAATGCTCTTCAGCTCCAGCAGACTGTTGCAGATGTGTTGATGGCCCCCTTTCGGGCCAAGGAGATCTTTGGAAAGTCTGAACGCAAGCAAATCTTGCACTCATTCAACGGTCTAATCCGAGCTGGTGAGCTCTGCATTGTGCTTGGTCGACCCGGCTCGGGTTGTTCTACGCTGTTGAAGGCTCTTACTGGCGAACTACACGGTCTCGATACGGACGACTCAGTAATTCACTACAACGGCGTCCCCCAGAATCGCATGGTTAAAGAATTCAAGGGTGAAATGGTATACAACCAGGAGGTTGACAAGCATTTTCCTCACTTGACCGTCGGCCAGACTCTGGAATTCGCGGCAGCTGTCCGAACACCATCAAATCGCCCAGCCGGAGCGAGTCGGGACGAATTCGCTCAATTCATGGCCAGGGTTGTCATGGCTGTCCTTGGACTTACGCACACATACAATACCAAAGTTGGAGATGATTTTGTACGCGGAGTCTCTGGTGGCGAGCGCAAGCGTGTCTCCGTTGCTGAGATGCTGTTGGCCGGAGCTCCTTTGGCTGCATGGGACAACTCAACTCGAGGTCTCGACTCGGCTACAGCATTGAAGTTTGTCAACTCTCTAAGGATCGGCTCTGACTTGACTGGAGGTGCAGCTGCGGTTGCCATCTACCAGGCTAGTCAAAGTGTATACGACTGCTTCGACAAAGCCACAGTTCTCTACCAAGGACGTCAGATCTACTTTGGCCCTGCGGACGAAGCCAAGGCCTTTTTTGAGCGACAAGGATGGTAAGAAAATGCTAATACAAAAGTTTCAACATTGTGCTAACACGGCCAAGGTACTGCCCACCTCGACAGACCACGGGAGACTTTCTCACAGCCGTCACCAATCCAGAAGAGCGAAAGCCGATAAAGGGCATGGAAAATAGGGTTCCTCGCACTCCTGAGGAATTCGAGAAGTACTGGCTCGAGTCCCCAGAATACCAGGCCTTGCTAGAAGACATTGCCGATTTCGAGGCGGAGCACCCAATCAACGAGCACGCTACTCTTGAGCAGCTTCGTCAACAAAAGAACTACATCCAGGTTTGTGTCCAAACCTCCCCTCTGCAATATTTCTCTTATATTGACAACCATCTAGGCCAAGCATGCTCGCCCCAAATCCCCTTACCTTATCAGCGTTGCCCTACAGATCAAACTCAACACGCGACGAGCCTACCAGCGCATCCGCGGTGATATCGCTTCGACTGTAGTGCAAGCCACTCTCAACCTCATCATCGCCCTCATTGTCGGTTCCATGTTCTACGGTCAATCTTCGGGTACCTCTTCATTCCAAGGACGTGGTGCCACCATCTTCCTCGCCGTCCTGTTCAGCGCCTTGACATCTATTGGTGAAATCTCCGGTCTCTACTCCCAACGCCCTATTGTCGAGAAACACAATTCGTACGCATTTTACCATCCAGCTTCCGAAGCCATTGCTGGAGTCGTCGCGGATATCCCGGTCAAGTTTGTACAGGCTGTGTTTTTTAATATCATTCTGTACTTCATGGCTGGTCTGCGTAGGACGGCTGGGCAGTTCTTCATCTACTTCATGATCACGTACATGTCGACCTTTGTCATGGCCGCTATCTTCCGGACGACTGCTGCGGTTACCAAGACGGCAGCACAGGCCATGGCTGGAGCTGGTATGTTGGTGTTGGTCCTGGTTATCTACACTGGTTTCGTCATTCGCATCCCGCAGATGCCTGACTGGTTTGGCTGGATCAGATGGATCAACCCCATCTTCTACGCTTTCGAGATTCTGCTCGCCAACGAGATGCATGGAGTTGACTTTCCCTGCGACTCGCTTGCCCCATCAGGACCTGGCTACGCGCTCGATGGCAACAACTTCATCTGCAACGCACCAGGCGCGGTTGTTGGACAAAGGTTTGTTAACGGTGATCGCTTTCTCGAGGTCTCCTACCGGTATTCTTGGAGCCATGTATGGCGCAACTTTGGTATTCTCTGGGCATTCTTGATCTTCTTCATGGCCACCTACTTTATTGCTGTCGAGATCAACTCTTCTACAACCAGCACCGCCGAGCAGCTCGTCTTCCGCCGTGGACACGTTCCAGCCTACATGCAACAAGGGAAAAAATCGGACGAAGAATCTGGACAATCTAAGCAGGAAGTACCGGAAGGAGCTGGCGATGTAAGTGCCATCGAGGAGGCAAAGGGTATTTTCACATGGCGAGACGTTGTCTATGACATTGAGATCAAGGGTGAGCCTAGACGTCTACTGGATCATGTCTCTGGATATGTAAAGCCTGGTACTATGACTGCACTTATGGGTGTTTCTGGAGCTGGAAAGACGACACTTCTCGACGCTCTCGCTCAGCGAACGACCATGGGCGTCATCACCGGCGACATGTTTGTTAACGGCAAGCCCCTTGATCCTGCATTCCAACGCTCCACCGGCTATGTTCAACAACAGTAAGCTTTCACCTTAACAGAATTTTCTCGAAGATATTAACCAGGCCAGGGATCTACATCTCGAAACCTCTACCGTTCGCGAGGCACTGCAGTTTTCCGCTATGCTTCGACAGCCCAAGAATGTCAGCAAGAAAGAGAAATTCGACTATGTCGAAGAGGTCATCAAAATGCTCAACATGTCCGACTTTGCCGAGGCTGTTGTTGGTGTTCCGGGCGAGGGTCTCAATGTTGAACAGCGCAAGCTTCTGACTATCGGTGTTGAACTCGCAGCGAAGCCCAAACTTCTTCTGTTCCTCGACGAGCCCACGTCTGGTCTTGACTCTCAGGTTAGTACCAACAACTTCAAATAATCTGCTTAGCATCACGAGTACTTACTGACTTTGCCACAGAGTTCCTGGTCCATTGTCGCCTTCCTCCGCAAACTCGCCTCAGCCGGCCAAGCCATCCTCTGCACCATCCACCAGCCCAGCGCCATCCTCTTCCAAGAATTCGATCGCCTTCTCTTCCTCGCCCGCGGCGGTAAAACCGTCTACTTTGGCGAGCTCGGCGAAAACTCCCGCACCCTCCTCGACTACTTCGAGTCCAACGGCGCCCGAAAATGCGGCGAAGACGAGAACCCCGCCGAATACATGCTCGAGATCGTCAACGCCGGTAAAAACGACAAAGGAGAAGACTGGTTCAACGTATGGAAAGCCAGCCAAGAAGCCCAAAACGTTCAGCACGAAATCAACCAGCTCCACGAATCCAAACGCCACGACAACGTTAATCTCGCCAGCGAAACCGGCTCCTCGGAATTCGCCATGCCGCTCGCCTTCCAAATCTACCAGTGCACATACCGCAACTTCCAGCAATACTGGCGCATGCCCAGCTACGTTATGGCGAAATTCGGCCTCTGCGCAATTGCCAGTCTCTTCATCGGATTCTCCTTCTACAAAGCAAACACCACGCAGGCAGGCATGCAAACCATCATCTTCAGCGTCTTCATGATCACCACCATTTTCACCTCGCTGGTCCAGCAAATCCACCCTCTGTTCGTGACCCAGCGCTCCTTGTATGAAGTGCGTGAGCGCCCCTCGAAAGCGTACAGCTGGAAGGCCTTCATGATTGCGCATATTGTGGTTGAGATTCCCTACGGTATCATTGCAGGCCTTATTACGTTTGTGTGTTTCTACTACCCGGTCGTCGGTGCGAACCAGTCGAGCGAACGCCAGGGTCTCGCACTACTATTCAGCATCCAGCTTCTGCTCTACACGTCCACCTTTGCCGCCATGACCATCGCCGCGCTGCCAAACGCCGAAACGGCATCCGGCCTCGTCTCGTTGCTTACGCTCATGAGTATCCTGTTCAACGGTGTCATGCAGCCGCCGAGCCAGCTGCCTGGCTTCTGGATCTTCATGTACCGCGTTAGTCCGTTTACGTATTGGATTGCGGGTCTGGTCAGTACCATGTCCGCGGGTCGTCCGGTCGTGTGTAGCGCGAGCGAAGTGTTGAGGTTTGATCCGCCGTCGAATCAGACGTGCGGCGCGTATCTTAGTGCGTTTGCGGCGAAGGCCGGGGGCGCGATTCAGAACCCGGATGCTATGGCTGATTGTCGATACTGTGCGCTCAAGACTACGGACCAGTTCCTTGCTGGATCCAGGATTTTCTACTCCCAGCGCTGGAGGAATTTCGGAATTGTGTTTGCGTTTATTGCTTTCAATGCTTTTATGGCGGTTTTGGCGTATTATTTGTTCAGGGTTGCGAATTTGAGTACGCTAATGGGTAGGCTGAGGGGATCGAAGAAGAAGGAGACGGCGGAGAAGACGGCGGAGAAGGCGGCGGCGCAGACTGGACAGCCTGTCGGTGGCATTTAAGGGTCTTCGTTGAAGATACAGAGGAGGAGGAGGAGGAGGAGGGGAGGTTAATGTCGAGTAATACCAAATCGTATATAGTTCAGATCAATATCCCTTGTAATTAGACAAATAATCCATACTTTCACCAATACTTCTCCCACTGCAATTACTGCCTACATGCAATTTCTTTCTTTTTTTTTCCGTCGCTATGTTTTTGCAACACTTCGCATATGCACTTTGGCACCGCTTTCAACCTCCGATATTGCATTTCCAACGCCTTCCCCTTCTCTTGCTTTTCTTAGAAAGATGGATGAGGCTCCGCATGCTGTCAGCATATAGTTTATCAAGCGTTTTTGGCGCTAGTTCTTCGGTCGTTTATATCGTCTTGTCTAAGCGTAACAGTATGTAGGTTCAAGTTGTGACCTTATCTGTGGAGTCTTTTTTGTGTCAAGGTATTCCCATGGCTAATGTACATGGCAGACCGTGTCAGCTGTGTTTGATGTAGTATAGATAGGGTTATGATATCGGCAAGAGAACGCCTGATTTTTGAAGTGGTGTTGGTGGCGGTGGTTGAGAAGTGCCGGTCGAAGGATCGGGCGTAAGTTGAGTGGCTTGTGGCTGACGGCTGATTGGCGATGGACCGGGAAAAACAGGGTACAGGCACATGTAGTACAGCATCGTGGTGACTACGTCGGGGTCTATTGAACCGAACTTCTTTTTTTTTTCTCGCTGTTTGATGCTGTCTTCTAGTCTTGAAGCGCTTAGGGTATCGGGCTCGGGACTCCGAGGGAACGGAAGGTTCCCAAGCAGGCAACTGTACCAGTCGCGATGCCACGGTTCGGAGATGGCGTAGGTTAGACCCTTGGGTCTTTGGTTGCCGAAGTTCCAGCGGGATTGTGCATGTGTATGAACGCGAACACTTAGGTCGGGCACCATTTCTTGCTTGTCACGAGCTCATTGGTTAACAAGCTCATTGGTTGACAAGCCCATTGGTTAAGTAGCATTGATCAAGAGCAAAGCCTCACAAAAGCCCAATGCTTATTCCCGCCTTTGTCTTTGGATTGAGATTGTGAAGAAGAGGCCCATTTACGAGATAGCGCGCGGCTATTGCGCTTCGAATGTTCGTTTTCCGTTACCGGGTTTTCCCCGCCTAACGAGTCACTAAGTCTTCCATACGGGCCAAGTCTTTACAGCGGGCTTCCAAGCACATGTCAGCAAAGCAGTATATTACAAGTGGATTCCCCTCAGCTTGGAATGTCTTGCCAAGTGCGGGAATCTCGGCAGCAGCTATGCCTTGTGTTGTTGTCTAGAAGACTTCTTTGACTTTTCTTTGATCCAGTGACTAAGTATCACTCGACATGACAATCCTAACCGCATCTGAGGCTCAACTTCGGGCGAAAACATGTATATTGCGGGGAAGCCAGCAAAGGTAGTGCGTCAATGTGGAGCGCTGGAGCCGATCTCCATGTAACAAAAAGTGGATACTGGGGACTTGGGCAGGGCGTATTACCTAGAAGAGCGTAGCGTATACCGAAAACACAAAACGCTTGCCGACGCTTGGATCGATTCTTGCAAGATTCTTCAACTTCCCTGCAGGCCTCGTGACGAATGCACATATTCTGCGGTGCCCGTCGGGACTTCTACTCGGCTATACGAGCATGTTTTCTGCACCCCGCTCTGCCGATGGTGGCTGGAAAGCGGGGGGCCTTAGGTAGAGAAGCTGCGTTGTCGTGGGAGACGAATTATCCCGAGCATAAGCCTTGCTATGGTAACAGACCATGGGAATCATAACTTTCCCATGGCGTAGGCAGCTTTTACTAAGTTTCAGGCGTCTTCCAGCTCCGTGGTAAAAAATTAGGTTCGAGCAGCAGGCCATTGTCGCGGATCCGAGCGGACTACCGGGAACATGGCTATGACACGATTGCAGACTTTGCTGGTCGGACCGAGTCATTCACCCCACTGTCACAATCCCCGCAAATCCACACGAGTCATGCGGCTCTGCACTCCTGCTCCGGCTCTTGCTCGTATGGACTCCACATGTAACTGTCAACACGCAGAACTGTCGAACCACCATCTTGGCAATCGCTCCGCAGCCAATCCATGACGTCGTTATTGGCAACGCTATTATGAACATGGTATCAAGCGAGTTTGCGGACACTTCACAGATCGGACGGGTAAACTTCGGTCTCCAAGACGCTTGCATCGTGGGCCTCTGAACGTGTCAGTTCCGGAGTGTAAAGTGGTACCGGCGGGTGACTTTGGTCCGGGGGCGAGGGAGCAATGGTAGTATATAAGTGCCCCAGTGTAGCTGCAATCATGAGTATTCAGGCTTTCGATTCACCTTCGACTATCTAGAATCATGGCACCCTCTCTCGTCTGCAAGGTGCTCTCGGGCTCCGCCCTATTGGCTGCAGTCAGTGCCCAGAACTTCGGAGGTGGTGGTCGTGATGAGGGTGCTTTTAGTTACGTCCAGCCACTTAACACTACCATCTTGACTGAGTATGGCTCCTCGCCAGCTGTATATCCTTCACGTAAGTTTTCCTAGACCTGATTGTTAGATTGTTGGACATGTCTAATAACTTTTACAGCCAAGATTTCCGGAGTAGGAGGCTGGGAGATGGGTCTTGAGAAGGCAAAGGCCTTCGTGGCTCAACTCACTCTGGAAGAAAAGGCTGACATGGTCACTGGTCAAGCCGGCCCTTGCGTTGGTAACATCGTTGCCATTCCTCGCCTAGGCTTCTCTGGTCTTTGCCTTCACGATGGTCCTCTTGCCATTCGTGTGGCTGATTACGCAAGTGTCTTCTCCGCCGGTGTATCCGCCGGTGCTACATGGGACAAGGACCTCATGTACGAGCGCGGCTACGCCATGGGCGAAGAGTTCAGGGCAAAGGGTGCTCACGTCTTCTTGGGTCCTGTCGCAGGACCACTTGGACGATCCGCCTATGCAGGCCGTAACTGGGAGGGCTTTTCCTCAGACCCTTATCTTAGCGGTGTGGCTATGGAGAAGACCATCCTCGCATCTCAAGACGCAGGTGTACAGGCTTGCCCTAAGCACTGGATTGGCAACGAGCAGGAAATCATGCGTAATCCTACCTACCGCAAGGACGACAACACCGAACAGGAGCAAGCTGCTATTTCATCCAACATTGATGACCGCACCATGCATGAGCTCTACATGTGGCCATTCGCCAACGCTATCAAGGCCCGCGCTGCCAGCGTCATGTGCTCGTACCAGAGAATCAACGGATCCTACGGATGCCAGAACTCTGCTTCACAAAACGGTTTGCTCAAGGGTGAGTTGGGCTTCCAAGGATACATCATGTCCGATTGGGGTGCGACCCACTCGGGTGTTGCCTCCATCGAGGCTGGTCTTGACATGAACATGCCTGGTGGACTTGGTTCTTACGGAATGAACTTTGGTGTCCCATCTTACTTTGGCGGCAATATCACTCTTGCTGTTAACAACGGCACTGTCAACGAGTCCCGCATCGACGACATGGTTCTCCGTATCATGACTCCCTACTTCCAGCTCGGCCAAGACAACGGCTTCCCGTCCGTTGACCCTTCTTCTGCTGATCTCAACACTTTCTCTCCACGAAAGTCCTGGACCCGCGAGTTCAACCTTACTGGCGAGAAGAGCCGTGATGTTCGTGGCAACCACAACGAGCTGATCCGTCGACACGGTGCTGCTGGCACTGTCCTGTTGAAGAACGTAGACTCTGCTCTGCCTCTCAAGGCACCCCGCAATGTTGCAATCTTCGGTAACGGCGCTGGTGAGCTCGCTCGTAGCTCTGTCCTTAACCAGCAAAACTACGAGTACGGCGCCATCTTTGCTGGCGGTGGCTCTGGTACCGGTCAGAACACCTACGTAATCACGCCTCTCGCTGCTATCCAGCAACGTGTCAGGCAAGACCGTGGAATTGTCCAGTACTTCTTGAACAACACCCAAATCCTCACTTACAATGTCAGCACCCTCGTCATCCCACGCGATATACCAGATGTCTGCATTGTCATGCTCAAGACCTGGGCTGAGGAGGGTGATGACCGCTATCACCTTGGATCTGACTGGAACGGCGATAAAGTTGTCGAGTCCGTTGCGTCTTTCTGCAACAACACCGTCGTTATTACCCACTCCTCTGGTGTCAACACCCTGCCATGGTCCGACCACCCTAACGTCACTGCCATCCTGGCCGCCCATTTCCCCGGCGAAGAATCCGGTAACTCCCTCGTCGACATCCTCTATGGCGACTTCAACCCCTCTGGTCACCTCCCCTACACCATCGCTAAGAACGGTGACGACTGGAACGCGCCTCCCACCACTGAGATCCAAACCAGCGGCTTCAATGACTGGCAGAGCTGGTTCGACGAGAAGCTCGAGATCGACTACCGCCACTTCGACATGCACAACATCTCTGTCCGCTATGAATTCGGCTTCGGTCTCTCCTACACCACCTTCTCCATCTCCGACATTGAGTCCGCTCCTCTCAAGGACGCCATCACCTCCAAGCCCGAGGACCTCCCCATCCAGCCCGGCGGCAACCCCGCTCTCTGGGAGTCCATCTACAACGTCACCGTCTCCGTCGCCAACACTGGCAACGTCGCCGGCGCTGCTGTGCCCCAGCTGTACGTCGGTCTGCCTTCTTCCGCCCCTGCTGGCACTCCTGTGCGCCAGCTCCGCGGCTTCGAGAAGGTGTACCTTGAGAAGGGCGAGGCTCAGAGCGTTAGCTTCGAGCTTATGCGCAGGGATCTCAGCTACTGGGATGTTGTTAGCCAGCAGTGGCTTATCCCTGAGGGCGAGTTCAACATCTGGGTTGGACTGAGCAGTCGTGACTTGAAGGTTCATGATAGCTTTACTGTTGTTGGACAATAGAGGGGTTAGCCTGGGAAAACAGTTTTCATGTGATTACGAGTATATGAATAGCTTTTAATTTCTATTGTTTCATCAAACTTGTACTTGATCTTTTGCTGTGATTGTGGTGAGAAATTTGTGATTTGAAGATTCAGTAAATGATGCTCCAAGTATGCGCTTTGGTAAATTGTTTAAGACTTCATGGAACACAGTGAGTATTCTGACATTGGTAAATCAATCCGCTGCTCATGCTAGAACGATAGATGTTTTGCCAAAATTCACCCAGAAGCCCAAAGTCAATATCTCGAACTTGCAGGGTACAAAACTACATGAGCCTTATCGTAGAACAATCCCATAAATTGAACCAGTAGCATTCATACGGCCTAATCAACACTAAAATATCACCCGAAGCTTTCTGCGGCTGAAAGCAGGGCCGTATCAGACATTAGTTGCTCAGAATTTTCTAAAAGTGGGGTAGTCTAAGATAACGGCGTCGGTGGCTTTTTGGCGGCCCAGCCAATGGTCAAAAATTCCCAAGAATTGCACCATCGATGAATCTCATAGCAAAAGCCCTGCTCCATTGGCAATGAATCATTTTTGCCGAGTTTCTTACGTTTCTAATGATATGAGCCAACCAAAAATTAAAACTCCCACCAATATCCGATATGGTCTAGTGGCTAGGATTTGCCGCTCTCATCGCAGAGTCAGTTCACTGTTCAGTGCCGGCAAGGCCCGGGTAAGTTCAATCACAAGAACTCACTCCAATCCCTCATTCTAATTCGGCTTTAGGTTCGATTCCCGGTGTCGGAAATTCTTCATTTTTTTTGCTGTTTTTGGTAATTGCTGGTGTTGTTTCTCAGCAGAATCTGAAACAACTGAGTCAATTTATCGGCATCTTGTGCGGTCCATTTTGCCCGTCAGTGCATTTGCGATGATGCCGTGTGGACTGTAGTTAAGTAGATGGTGGACGATATTCCATGCATTCTCTTCGTTTTTAGTGATATTTATAGGAGAAGGTAAATTTAAAACGACCCAAGTGTCCACCGAATCTTATTACTATTCGCGTTTGGCAAAAAGGTTAGAATACGTCCAGGCAAAGGCTTTACATCAGACAACATAAGTCTCAAAATTTGCCCTAGTAGCAATAGAAGTATATTTTACCATATTCAAACGCACAAGCAATAGCTATGAAGAGACAATAGTTCGAAATAAGGTCAATGTTACTTCACGACGACAAACTGGTTGGATGGACAGATATGCGGTCAGCAATCAAGACGTATACAGCACTACCAAATCCACCTCCTTACTGTGATGTGAATATTTAATTCACCCCTCACGTAAGACTACCGCTGTGTATCCCGCTTTTCCCGTACTAGCATTATCTGCCGAGCCTTTCAGCCAGCAATTCGCCCCGTATCCCGTCTCGTATCTTTCACGAAACTGTGAGTTGATTACAACTGCTTTACAGGTTTCATTCTTGTTGGTCATAACGCTGTATTGGCTACAGGCGTCGACACATTGCTCAAGAGTGTATGCAGTAAAGGCCATGAGGTTGGGTTCGTCTAGGATGTTGGTGTTGTCGAGGCAGCTGTAGGTGTAGCGGCCACTGAGTCCCGAAGTCTTGCCTTCCAGTTGACTGGATAGGAGGAGGGTGGATGGGCATGTTGTGTTGATTGATTGGATGGTGCCGAATGGTCGCGCTGTATATGCTGCACTTGAGGGTAGGGTTTGAGTAGAAGGTTCTGCTGGTGCGAGTGTGGAACTTGATGCTGGGTCTTCATCTGCTGCATTGGTGCTAGTTTCGCTTTCAGAGGCGGATCTATTCAAAGTCAGGCCGCTAAGTATGCGCCAGGTAGAGAGCGGAAACAACATACTGTTCGGCTTTGTCCTGCACATACAGTGCACCTCCTATACTGGAGCCAATGAGCGTACCAACTATGAACAGTGTGAAGACAACAATGAACAAAAACTTGCGCCGGCGGTGTGCAAAGAATTTCTTCACCATATCTGGTGGAACTTCGATGGTGGGTCCATATCCAGATTGATCACTGTACGGCCCGGGGCGGAAGGATATGTGCTCTCGAGATGGTCGGGTACGTATTGATGCTTCATCGGGGCCTGATTGATCTTGCAGCTGTGGTAGTTTAGTATCAGGGTTCGGAGAATATCGATTGACGGCTTCAGGGTATGGCTCAGGTTCTGCGATTTGTAGACCTTCGGATGACCTTGGTGACCTTTTGTGTGACTCTTTAGGTGAAATTTTGATACGACATTTAGATGAAACATTGGATGGAGCTTTCGATGGAGCTTTAGACAAAGCTTCAGATGACGTCTCCAAGGATGCCATACTGCATGAGCTCCGAGACAGTGGTTGAAGTTGGTATTAGGGACGACTAGAGAATCGCGTAACCGAACTGATGGACCAAGCCAAGTTTAAGGACGATGGTCTACCGCCCCCAGCTCCATTAAGAACCTCGCCCGTCATTTGTACGTCTGTGAAAGATCTGCAAATAGTGACTTACTTGCAGCAAAGCGGCGTGGGATTGTTGCCGAGATCTCGTGGTCTGATTCCTGCATTCTCCACGTTGCGGACAGGCGGGACATTTCCGGTGAACACCTGCATCTCAGGAATAGGCGAGATCAATACCCGAAATCCAAGGCTTTTACCCCTAGGATAACTCATGATAGGCTCATTGAGAACACATATTTGTGAGATAAACCCCGATTGAGCAATCCCTTGCTGGCCCCTTAATGCCTGTTGCCCTGGCACATATCTTCGTCAAGCCACCATACTGCCACCTTCACATGTAGTTAGTATTGAACGGAAGCGGGGTTTTACCCCATTTGATGGAGTCTGGAAACTCTGTTCTTAACCTTGTCTTTGACTCTACCAACATGAGCGTTTAGTTCCTTGGCCAGAAGGTCTAATGGTGCAATCTCATACTCTTCCCAAGTAGTGATGATTCTGATAATTTTTCAGTACTCTCATTGATTAAATGAAGGTTAAATCTAAGGTTATCTCCCATTCGTATCGAATACTCGGATGTGAGCCCTGTCTATGCCTATTATATACTTCCTAGTACACATGATGAGCACCCAGCGCGCCGTTCAATAACTCATTCATAAAAAATGCCATGAAAGAAAGTTATTACAGCAATGTTGAAATTACAGGTGTTTACTGGCCGCGAAAGCTATCGAGCTTGATAAACCAGGCGTGCCTGGTGCGGAAGAAGGGTCGGGCACCGCCACCGCCACAGTAATGACGTACGCCCCGGGAAACACATCACAAGAGCATGATGTGCACCGAAGCTTTCTGCAGCACGTCTAGCGCATATAATATCGTCACATGCTGTGGCACAGCTGTAAATCAGCACCGTCACTCTTCTTAACTTGTGTGGCTACTGTACGTGTTTCTTCCTCTATTCTACCCAGGCAGCAACATTACTCACATAGTGTGGCTCGCCAGCACCGCGACCGGAACCCCGTACACACTCGTGCCAGTTTTCTGAATTAAATCTATTACTGTTACAAAGCGCTTCTAAAGCTACAGTGCTCGAAGCTCCAAACTCGTGATTTCGATACCGTCACATCCACTCGGGCTCTCGCCACCAGCTGGACTACCAACCACTACGATGGACTTTCCCCGCGGCCACGCAGCATTACCGCTTACGGAGTCGGATTTTCTGGATTTCATCTACAACTATTTCAAAGCCGAATACTACCCCATCCGATCTTTCTGGTCTACAGCAACCGCCCTCCCGCACCAACCCGACCGATGGATATCTATGGGACATGAACTCGCCCCACTTATGGTCCGACCTGCCAACGCACAGGCACAGAAAGATCTCGAGTCACTGGACTACTTCACGCGAAAATGGAATCTAGATGCTGGGTTCGTGAGAGGTTTAGTTATCAGGTTCGCCAAGTACGAATTGCATGAAAGACTGGAGAAGAAACTCTACGAATGTGCGAGGTTGGATTTGATGGTCTGCAAGGCCTTGAAGGAGAAGCATCTGATCGATGCACTTTGGCCTAGCCCTGCGCCACGAACTATCGCAAAAGAGTTATTGCAACAGGGTGTCCAGGTTCGACAATGGTATGGCGACATGTTCAACAAGTATTTCCGAGTTCTGCACTCGTTGGACGATTTCAAAGTGCGCGAAGAAATCGATCGCCACATCAAGAGCAGTGGAACCCTGATGCTTCTGCCATTTGTAGATCATTTGGTATTCGGAAATGTGGATCCAATTATCCCCATCGTCGCAAAAGGAGCAGGCTACTCGAATGCGAAGAACTGGCAGAGGCAGGACCAAAGTGCTGCGGGTTTCGGAGAGCCCGGAAAGTTCGAAATCAGATTCGACTCGCCCTCTGAGGTTACCGATACATATACCAAGACTGTGAGGCGGCAGTGTCAGTGCATGAAGTGTGGAACAAAGAGAGATGTGCAGGTTGTAGTCTCTATTGATCCCAGCCCAGGCCCTGTAGCAAGTGGAGATGCTTCTTCCAGGAACAAGAGACGAGATACCGCGCCATCCCATTCGAGATCCAGACATAGATATAGTCCAGGATACCAGATGCCTACCGAATCTGAGCCAGCAGCGCCGCCTCAACCACCTCGACCACAGCAAGCAGGCCAGAACCCGGAGCCGACACGCCCATCAACACCAGAGTTTAAGAAGCAATGCCCACGCTGCACATTCCTCAACGATCCCAGCCTCCACGCCTGTGAGATGTGCGAAGCATCCTTACCAGAGACTACCATCACCCAACCTCCCAGCCCTGCCGCCATCCGAAGAGTTCCTTCACACTCGCATTCCGTCTCCGCACCGCCTCCAACAGCACCAAACCCACGACAAGAGGAACTCAAAAAGGAACAAAGACCCAACGCACCAAACCGTCACAGTCTAAGCTCTAGCCTCTTCTCCATCTTCCCCTTCTCCCAGCAGCATCAACAGGAGCACCATGCCAAACTCCCCGCAACCCAAAGCATCGACACACAACCCGCCGTCCAATCCAGCTCACGACAAGAACCCCGCCCATCATCCAAGCACGGCAAAGACCCCCAACCCGAGATGTCCAGCATCCCGAAACCTGAACTCCCGCAACGCCATCAACCCCGCGCTTCAACACCGCCACCCAACCGCGACAGCCCTACAGAACCCCACCTATCCCAACCCCCGGAAATGGCAATGATGCCCCTAACACCCTCCCCACCCACATCTTCTTCCAAACGTCCCGTGCCAGCCGGTCTGCCGAGTAATCTCATGGACGACTTTGTCCCTGTGTCCCCTGGTTTCGGGAAAGACGACGATGAAGATGAAGATGCGGGGTGGGGTTCTATGAGTCGGGAGGAGGCGAGGCAGGGACACGAAAGTAATAGTGATGAGGAAGAAGGAGGGGTAGGAAAGGAAAGTGGGAAGGGAGTTTTTATTGATTTGGATGCTGTGGCTAGGGAGGAAGCGGATGTGTGGGGGGATAGGGATGATTGATTGCATTGCATTTCATTTTATATTGTTCAGAGTGATTTAGCTGGTGCTGTAGGAGTCAAAGGATACATTACACTGCGATACAGCCTGCTTTTCTGCATTGTTACGTTTTCTTTTGTCGATAAGAAAGGGGGATGGTCAGGATTATTCAGATTTCCAATCAAGATTTCCAACGTTACTCTGTGTATACGCCCAAAACACCGCTTGGACCCAAACCCCCCCGCCACCATCTTCAGTGCGGAAAAGATGAATACGTACACAATCGAATCCAAGTAAACCCTGCCAACTCATGGTTTTCACCTCTCCCAGGTCGCATCTTCTTTTACACCATGCGCCGAGACTATGTTGCTGCTGCTATACAACGTGCGTGATCTGTATGGTATCGAATGTCCACCTGACTCCTCGAACACCCACTGAGAACGCCATGACCAAACCTTTTCAACGCCCATTCTACGAGTTGAGGTAGTTCCGGACGGCTCCTTGCAACCTCGTCGCCCCTTCGCCGAGCATGTTGGTCAGGTTTTCGAGGTCATCACCAGCGGTCAGACCAAACTTGCGGACAAAGTCCTTGGCAGCAGTCTCCAGATCACCATAGTCCTCCTCTGCAGCGTCGTCCTCAGGGCGACCAAAGTATGCGTTGGATGAAATTGCGCTCGCGCCTTCGAAGCCTGCAAGATGAGTTAGACAACAGAATCCCAATGTTCAATATCGCAAGGCTGCTCTTACCTTGTAACCTCTCCTTCGCTTGTGCAGTGGCTGAAGGATCGTACGCATTGCGGCCAAAGAACTCGTCACTTGAAATACCCTTCTGTGTACCAAATTTCTCCCGCGCATACTTCTCATCGTCATCTTGAGCAGGCTTGCCTACGCTGCCAAAACCTCCCATCTTCTTCTGGGCAACAGGCTTCTTTGCAGCGCCTACTTGTCCAAATCCTAGACGCTGAACACCCATGCCTAGTCGTTCCATATCCTGACTTGAGCGCTCAGGCTTGGAGGTCGAGCCGAAACCGCCACGCGGTGGTGATACGGGGGTAGGTGCGATGATGGATGCTTCGGAGCCTTTAGACTTGGTGGCTGCAGCGACCTCTGCGGCCTCAGCGTCAGGGTCGTAGCCCAACTTTTCGATGCGCTCTGCCTCTTCACGAGCCTTTCGCTCCGCCTCTTCAAAGTCGAGTCCACCATCGGCAGCGACCACTTTTTTTGCACCAAGACCCTTCTTCTTTGCACCCAGAATGTTCTTCTTTGGTGCAGCGCCCGCGGCAGTCTTTCGTACTGCTGCCGGCTTTGCTACCGGCGTAGTGGTTTCGGAGCTGCCAGCAAGAGGCGATTTCGGGCGATCCGTGCCGTTGGCACCAGGCTTGAGGAAAGGTGATGCAGCCTTGGGTGTACCGGTACGCGAGGGTGGGTTTGATGGACGCTTGATTGTCGGCTTATCCCAAGAGGAAAAGAAGTCATCGTCTTCACCAGCTGGGGTATTGGTTCCGTCGCTACCAGGCTCGACGACATCGGTGATTACAACTTCGTTAGGATACCTGGCACACGACAGTCAGTTTATGCCACTGCACAATTCGACTTAGACTTACAATTTGGCGTCTGCAGCGCAGCGCCGAGCCAGCTCCTCCTTGTACTTGTTGGCGGCATTGCTAGTGTATTTGGCTTTGTGGTCTTTGCTCGCGAGCGCAGCGGAACCTCCGTGCGATTGGAAATACTTGGTCGCGCTCTCGTTGCCGCCGACTTTCATGATTCGCAGTTGATCCCATTGCCAGACTGTCCTTGATCAATATACATATCCTGGCTTCAAGCGCCTGCAGGGCCCAGGGGAAGACGTACTGTCGAGGTTGGTAGAACGAACGAACGAGATATGGACACCCATGTTACGGTGGTTAGACGAGCAGTCGAGGCAGAGGTAAATGCCAAAGGGCACAGAGCTCCATGTTGGGTTCTTTGCGCCGCAGTCGAAGCATATCTAGACATGCGTTAGGAGTTGTTGGAAGCGCTGACTGGTGTGAATACGTACTTTGTTGGCGGGCTTTGACTTCAATTTGGTAAAGATGTTTTGCGACTGTGTTTTAGTCGCGAGGGCAGCCATGGTGAATACTGGGCAGAAACGATTTAGGTTGGCGGTAAAGGAGTCGAGCTGTGGTGGGGATAAATTGGGTTGCGGCGCTCGGGAATGCTAGGGTGGCCGTTCGAAGGATGCCCCAGGCCACGTCCCTGACACGTGATGATTTGGGTACCTTTCAAGCCACGACCTATTACTACACCTTATTTAACACGACGCAAACCCCATCACTACTGCCTTTGCACGACCGCTTGTCTGCTATGTATACCGGATTCACCTCTGCGCTGACAAACACTGGATGCCTTGTCGCATCTCCGATAGTGATTTCATAGTATGCTTCTGCTGGATACGCGCGCTTCCCGCGAAATGGTATCAATACGCAGAATAGTCAATCTTGTTTGAGGTTGTGACAAATCCGCCTATCTTGAACTGATATGTTCAGTGGAGAATTGCAGCCCCGCAACCTATCTTCCTATCTTCCCGTCCCACGGCATATGATATGGCAACACAAGTGGGGTAGACGTGAACATATATGTCAGGCATTGGCATGCTGCGGTCCCCTACTCCTATCTAACTTCCTAAAGTCCTCGTTCAAGATCAATCGAGTTCGGAAACTACAAGTAAAGTATCCGTTATGTCTTCTCCCATCCAAACCGTTCCCGCCCGCCGTGGAGCAGCAACGGTAGTCAAAGCCGGCCAGAAGATCAAGATAACAAATACCCACGGAAACCAAGTAGTCGACACCTGGGCACTCGCGCTCCCCTCTTCAGCCCTCACGACAGCGTCTTCCAAGGTCGAAGCAGCACTCTACCCAAACGCAACCACCGACTCGCCTTCCAAATACTCGTCTGTGGCCAATGCCGCTGCCAGTACGCCAGAATACATGTCCATGTGTCACTGTCGCGCAACATTGCTAAAAGTTACGCCTGAAGTGGGCGATGTGATGGTCAGTCAGAAAAGGGCACCAATGGTAAAACTGGTCGAGGACACAAGCCCTGGTGTGCATGATACTTTGATTGCGGCATGCGACAGGTGGCGGTACAGTGAGCTGGGTGTCAATGGGTACCACGAAAGCTGTACAGACAACTTCTGGGACGCCTTGCACTCTCTTGCTACCTCCTCATCGCTGTTGGCTGAAGAGAAAGAGGCTCTGGAGATGGTGCAAGGGAAGTTGGGAGGCAGAGTGCCCGATCCTTTCAACCTGTTCATGAACATTCCCATCACACAAGAGGGCGAGGGTGCGAAGCGGGGTGTGAGCTTCGAAGAGCCAAAGACAAAGCCAGGCGACTATGTGGTTTTGGAGGCACTGCGGGATGTAGTTGTGGTGATGAGTGCATGTCCTCAAGATGTTCTGACCATCAATGGGAAGAATCCTGTAGATGCTCACTTCCAGGTCTTGGACTGACCAAGGAGAAAATAAAATGAATTGAAATATGCATATGATTACACATAATGGCTGCATGTCCAACATGATAATCAGGGTCCCCAGGGCCGCAATGGTTGATGGGCGTCTGAATGCGGCACTAGCGCACATGAGGCGAACTGCCGCTTGGCGGTGGGGAATATTTTTTGGTATCGATAGGTAGCGCCTCGAACTTTTTGCCAGCCCTTCCCTCTCGAAGCGCAGACCGCGTCCACAACCCCAACAAACCCGCAGTCGACAAAATGAAGACCCAGTGGAAGGACATCCCCGCCGTGCCTACGAGCCAGGAGTTCCTGGACATTGTGCTGTCCAGGACCCAGAGGAGGTAGGCTACCCATCTAATCTGCATCTGTGCAAACCACACCCGTGCACCGAGATTTGCGCCTTCAAGGCGCCAGCTACATACTACCCCAAAGAGCATACAGCTGACGAAAAACTCTTTAGACTGCCTACCCAGATCCGTGCAGGTTTCAAGATTAGCAGAATTCGAGCCTTCTACACGCGAAAGGTTAAATTCACATCCGAGACATTCGTCGAGCGCCTCACCACCACCATCGACGCATTCCCGCGCCTGCAGGACATCCACCCGTTCCACCGCGACCTCTTGAACACCCTCTACGATGCGGATCACTTCCGCATTGCTCTTGGTCAGCTCTCGACCGCAAAGTCGCTGATTGAGACGGTTGCGCGTGATTATGTGCGTCTTCTCAAATATGGCCAGTCTCTTTTCCAGTGCAAGCAGCTCAAGCGGGCTGCGCTTGGTCGTATGGCCACAATCTGCAAGCGATTGAAGGACCCTCTCGTCTATCTCGAGCAGGTTAGGCAGCATTTGGGTCGTCTTCCCTCGATCGACCCCAACACCCGCACACTCGTCATTTCTGGATTCCCCAACGTCGGCAAGTCGTCCTTCTTGAAGTCCATTTCTAGGGCCGATGTCGAGGTCCAGCCATACGCTTTTACCACCAAGAGCTTGTATGTCGGTCATTTCGATTACAAGATGCTTCGCTTCCAGGCGGTTGACACTCCTGGTATTCTGGATCATGCGCTTGAGGAGATGAACACTATCGAACATCAGTCTATTTGCGCCATTGCCCATCTCCGCGCCCACATTCTCTACTTTATGGATCTCAGTGAGCAGTGTGGTTACTCGGTTGCTTCGCAAATCGCCCTCTTCAACAACATCAAGCCTCTGTTCGCGAACAAGCTCATCTCCATTGTCATCAACAAGATCGATCTCATGCGTCCCGATCAACTTGATGCCGAAACACAGGCTCAACTACAGGGCATGCTCAAGTCTGGCGAGGTAGAGATGCTGGAGCTTTCTTGCAGTACTACAGAGGGTGTCATGGCTGTGCGAAACGCAGTCTGCGATCGTTTGATTGCTGCTCGCAACGCAGAGAAGCTCAAGGCTGGAACTAACAGCGCTGGTGAGCCTTCTGGTCGTCTTGGTGAGCTGTTGCGCCGAATCCACGTTGCCCAGCCACTGGGTGGTGTGACCCGTGAGACCTTTATCCCAGAAGCAGCACTGAACAAGAAGAAGTACGACAAGGATGACCCTGATAGGCCAATCCTCGAGCGTGATCTGGAAGAGGAGAACGGCGGAGCTGGTGTTTACAACATTGATCTTCGCAAGAACTATCTTCTCGAAAATGATGAATGGAAACACGACCGTATTCCAGAGGTGTTCAAGGGCCAGAACGTCTACGACTTCATTGACCCTGACATTGAGGCTAAGCTTGCCGCGCTTGAGGCTGAAGAAGAAAAGTTGGAGGAGGAGGGTTTCTACGACTCGGACGATGATCTTGAAGACGCAGAGGAGGCAGACTTCAGGTACAAGGCAGAGCTGATCCGCGAGAAGAGGCAACTCATCAGGAACGAAGCCAAGATGCGCAAGAGTCTGAAGAACAGGGCTATAATTCCCAGGACAAAGAAGGCGAAGCAAATGTCGCAAATGGAATCGCACCTCGAGAGTCTTGGATACGATACTACAAAGGTTGTCGAGCGTGCAACAGCTCAAGCAGAAGCACGAGGACGCAGCTTGGCTCGTTCACGATCAGAGGCTCCCGGCGATGCCATGGACATCGATACACCCAAGTCTGCGTTTGAGCGTGCGAAGAGCCGTGGTCGCAGCCAGAGTACCAACAGGAGGAACGACGGTGTTACGGATGTCGAGGCTGCTTCAAAGGCGGAGAAGCTGGCCAAGTTGTCGCAGAAGAAGATGAACAGGATGGCCAGACAGGGTGAGGCCGACAGGCACCAGACTGGTTCTCTGATCAAGCACTTGGTAAGTTGTGATTTATCTGGGAGTACGAAAGCATCTACTAACAACAGTCTAGACTGCCGGCAAGCGTGGTATTGGAAAGACCAGCCACCGATAAGCAGACTTGCAATTTTCAGCGTTGTTGCATTATTGGTTTGCAGGCTGGGAAAAAATAATGGCGGGCGTTCAGGATGCATTAGATACCAAGTCGTTGTCTGCAAAAGCAGCGTGGTAATCCAACCCTTTGTTGTCAAATTTACAGTAGTATTTGTGTATGTACATCAGCTATGGTGAGAGCGCCTAAAAGGTGTCGTAGTTGCCCGCATGCACGTGATTCAATTGTTTCTGTAGTTGAAGCTTCATCGCATAGCTTTCCAATGTGCTTAGCATGGGAATAAGGCGACGGGGAGAGTGATGGGATCACGGCTATGGTGTAGCTCTATTCTGAGTCGCAGTTGAGGTTGACGACAAGGATAGGACTGCTCCGCCTGCCAGCGTGTCTTGGCAGCACCACACCAATCTCCCTAGAACGGACAGGATATGCACACCGCAAACCCCTGGTCATTTTCGCGTCTGACTGTGCAAAACTTGAGAAAAAGCAGACAGAGCCATGGAAAAACTAGAGAAGGCAAACGAATGACAGCATGTCGGAACAAGCCGTAGCCAACATGTACAAGCTCAGGGACGACGAGAATGCAATAGGGCGATGCAGGTTGCGAACTCAACAGCGCCAGATCGGAAGACCCAACCACCCTGCACGATGTATTGGCTGAGACGGCTGCGCATGAGTAAGGGCGTATATTTGCAATGTAAATTTGGGGGCAGTGTCGGGACGGCGGCGGCTCTGGTTTGGGGGCCATTATGGGCGTTGTACCCACCAATGGACGCCTGACGGGCCTGGCTGTCATCGTGCTGCTTGGACGAGGCAGCACTGCCCTCCTCCTAGTGCAGTGCCTGTGAAACTATCTCCTAAACTGTCTCCAAGTTCGCGATTGCGCCTGGTTTGGGATTTCGCTATCTCAACCTCTCGGTACCTCGTTGTCGTCGTCGAGGACGCTACAAGAAGTCAGATCTTCACGGCATGTTGAATTTGGCGAGACAGAGCTTACTAGCGCTCGCATGTGCAAGCGCCATCATTGCGACTCCTACACGTATGTGGAGTTGTTCTTGGATATTTTGGCAATTATTTCGTATACTGACGCGCTGCCAGCTTCCACAGAGGCGGATGCCGTTCTCACTCGCGACCTCGCAATACGGCAAGACACTGTTGAGAACTGCACAGAAAACTACACAACGAAGAATGGACTCGCATTCAAGCTATACTGCCAGCAGAATGCGCCTTTAAGCGGTGAGCACCAAAATGTACCATGTCTTTCGACAGGGCCTTTTGGCTGACAGAAAGTAGATGCAGTTCGAGAAACAACCGGGGCGGGAGTCTGGTTTTACACTGCGACTTGGGATGAATGTATGGAACACTGCTCGCGCTTCTCAGGCGATGCGTGTTACGGTATGACCTGGACTGTACCCGGCAACCATTGCTGGTTGAAGACGAGCAATGTCTCCACTGAAGCCCTTGTACCCGCACCAGAAGCAATAACCGGCCTCCTCATCGACAGAAATCAGATGAAAGGTTACGACACCAAGTGTCCGAATGCAGACTTATCGGACAAGCCTCTCCCAGGCGTCGAGGGCATAACATACACAACACACTGCGGCAAAGTAATCGACGAGCCACCACGCTGTTTCGAAGAATACGACTGTTTCGACCCAGACTACCGCGCCTTCTACCACACCGAAACCCTCGAAGAATGCCTCAAGATCTGCACGGGACTACACCCCCTCTGCCGCGCCGTATCCTGGAACCCAGATCTGACCGCGGGCTACGCAAACTGCAAGCCCAAATACGGCAATTCGCCCAAATTCATCAGTCCTACCGCAAAACAAGGCGTCATCCACGCTGCCGAAATCGTCGAATTCGACATCCCAGATACCAAATGCCCGGAGCAAAACACATACCAAGCCAGTGGGGGTGACAAACCGCGTTTTGATATCCATTGCGGAAAGACGAACCCAGGACGCAACATCACGAATCTCCACACGCACAACATGACGGCTTGCATAGATGCGTGCGCCGCAAGCGACCAAGGCTGCAAAGCCGTCTTGTTCTCCTCAACACTCGATAGCGGCTACAACAACTGCTACCTGCAAAACACCTCGAGCATAATCTCCGACTTGTCAACTTCCACCTACGCCGTCCTCTCCAACGCCGACATCCCTTCTTCCTCGCCCTCCAACTCCTCCTCCTCCAACGCCCCGTCTTCCTCCTCATCCTCATCCTCCAATGACAGCGAAGGAGGAAGCAAAGCCTGGATCGCCGGCCCCGTCGTCGGCGGCATCGCCGCCCTCGCCGCCATTATCTTCGCAGTCTTCTGGTGGCGCCGCCGCAAAGCCGCCAAGCAAGGCGCGGTGGAGAAAGATGCGCAGACTGCGGGATATGGGAGTGTACCTGTGCATGATGAGCCGGGTTATTATCCGCATGAGGGTCATGCGGGTAGGGCGGAGATGTATACCCCCGGACAGACGAATGAGTTGCCAGGGAGTATCAAGTATGCGCATAATGGGGGGGAGCCGCAGGAGTTGCCGTAGGTAAAATTTGGTAGTTTTCGATTTGCATAATGGTATTTATTTATTTATTTTGGAGGGAGGAAGGGAAGGGGAAAGAAGGTTGTAAAGGAAGTTTTCGGGGTGTGTGGGGAGGGAGAGATGGAGGCATGTGCGTGTGTGCATGTGTGGGATATGATACCTTGATGATTTCGTTGTTGGTATTTATAAAGCGTTTGGCCATTTGTCTTTTTTTTATACATATATATGTATGCATCTTTGTAAGAATGAAAGAGGGGGGATATACTTGTTTGACGAGAGGAGAAAAGAGGAGAAAGGGAGAAAGGGAAAATTAACGTCAATTGCATAATTCATGTCTATATACCCATCTATGTATAACAAACAGTACTTTACTTCACGCCATCTAAACACTCATCTTCATAGCAAGACTGGCATGCGGTTTATACCCCACAACCTCAAACTCACTCTCCACCCACCCATCTATACTCCCGCCCACTTCCTTCTTAATCCTCAACTCCGGAAAGTCTCTCGGCTCGCGCTCAATTTGCACCTTGAGCGCCTCCACATGATCGAGATAGACATGCGCATCGCCCATTGTATGCGTAAACGTACCAGGCGTCAAATCGCACACATGCGCCAGCATATGCGTCAGCAACGCATAGGATGCGATATTGAACGGGACACCGAGCCCCATGTCGCACGAGCGCTGGTACAGCAGCGAATGCAGTACGCCCCGGGGCCGCTCCTCTCCCTGCTTGTGCCCCGGAAAACTAACGTAAAACTGCGCAAACATGTGGCAAGGCGGTAGGGCCATTTTCTTGATATCCGCCGGATTCCAAGCGGACAGGATGATCCGGCGGTCATACGGTTTGTTCTTCAGTTTATCGATAATCTCCGCCAACTGATCGACACCTTCGCCCGTGTAGTCGTGAGCGTGGCCTTTGTAGTCTGCGCCAAAATGCCGCCATTGGAAGCCGTAGACGGGGCCGAGCTCGCCTTCTTCGTAGTGTGAGAGCCCGACGCTGTCGAGGTAGGCGCGGCTGCCGTTGCCGTCCCAGATCTTGATGCCCGCGTCCGATAGGGGCTTGCTGTGTGTGCTGCCGGCTATGAACCATAGGAGTTCGCCGATGACAGCGCGGAGGAAGACGCGCTTGGTGGTGAGGAGGGGCAGGATGAGGGTGGGTGGTTGGGTGGGGTCGGCGGAGGGGCGTGAGAGGGCGAATTTCATTTGGGCGGGGAAGGGGATGGCGTAGGTGCCGGTACCGGTGCGGTCGGGACGATGCTCGCCATTTTGGAGAATGTCGCGGATGAGGGAGAGGTATTGGTGCTCTTCGTGGGCGGGGTTGCTGGGTGGTGGAGGGGGGTTTTGAGTTTCGGTGTCTTTTTGGGTTTGGGGTCTTGTTTCGGGGTCAATGGTTGTGGCAGTCATTATGACTAGAAGTGGAGTAAAGGTGGGTTTGGTATGAGTTGTTTGGAAGTGTTTCTCTTTGTACACTTAGAATGCGGTCATTGAGCGCGTCGAAATCTCGAAAACGCGACTGCGCGGTTGGTCACTTCCGTCGGCCGTATCCAACGTAGCCGGCCTAACTGCTTTCGCATCTTGTCACACAACGACCAGCACTACACAACATAGAGCCATGGAGGAGCAAGCTGCTCACCACCTGCTAAACGTAGTAGAGGAAAGAGGTCTAAAAGTTGATTTGGACAAAATCCTCCTGAGCTTCGAAGATGCGGATACAAATCACAAAGCCGCAGCATGGATCGAGGAATACCTACATCAAGACACTTTACTGACTAGGGAGGAGTTGGAGCTGTACGTGTTACAGTATATGTACGCGGCATTTACTGACTTGATGTTCAGGTACCAAACATTGAAGAAGAAGGGACTGTTGCATCAGTATGAGGGCGAGGGTGGACCCTCGAGACCCATCCTGGACCACGAAATCGCCTCAGCTATTGAATCTCTGCAGAGCTCGACTAGTGCAATTGAGGCACAGTGCAAGGTGCTCGAAGCGCAAAAGGATGCGTTGATGAAGCTGAAGGCGCTTGACAGGCCTAATCTGGATGTTGAACATGCACGAAACGAGAGAAAGAGGAAAGAGGGTCAAGAGAAGGCAAGGCTGGATGTTTCTGTAAGCTGCCAGTTGAGGAGAGATGACCCAGTACTGATCCATGTAGGTTGATGATATTGCTACGTCAGTTACTGAGCAGTTGGCGGATGCACAGCGAGAGAGCGAGGCCGACAAGTCTACGCTAAAGAGCTACCTCTCGGAACGCTTTGCATCCGACGACCAAATTCTGAGCAAGCTGCCTGGATTGGTGGCCCAGATTATGACGGAGCCAGAGGTCAGCGATGATGAAAGGTCGATTGAGCAGTGGTGCAAGGCCATTATTTCCTTTCGCACTGCTGAAATCAAGGCGCGCGTGGACACCATGTACCTGACGCACGCGGCTGGAGGTGGGCAAAAGGGAACTTTTGATGAAGCAGAGGGCGAGCTCAAGGAAAGAAAAGCGGCGTTGCAAGCAGAACTAGAGGAACTGCACTCGGAAATTGCTTCTGTCGCGACAATGGTTGTTGAGCACGAGATTCGCAAGCCAATGGCGGATGTCAAGGAACGCAAGGACAGGGATATGAGGCAGGCGCGAACCGCATGGCTCAACTACGTAAGTGCCATTTTGGGCAGTGGGCGGGAGTCACTAACGTTGGCAGGTCTTGTCGACGCTTGAATACATGGGCAGGCGGCTGGATACGGTTGCTGCAAAGACCAAAGAAGACGACGCATTCCAGCAGGCACTGGCACATATTCAGGCGGCGGCAGCAAAGCGCATGCCCGACATGGATGTGGCAGCTGCACCGACACCTGCACACAAACGAGCAAAGTCGTCCGTGGCAGCCTTCACGCCCGTGGCCAAGCTCAGGCCCAACAACGCACTCGATCTGCCGGTAGCGCTGCAAGATGCGCTTCGACAGGCCGGCATCTCGTTCAACCACGACAAGATTGAGAGCCTGCAGGACTCGCTGATGCAGGCGCAGGTGGAGCGCTGTAAGAAGCTGCAGGAACACTATGAGTCGTCGGCAGCCGGCACGCACGAGAAGCTGGCGGAGCGGTCGAGCAAAGCCGACGGGGACACGGATGTCATCATGGCCGCTCTGTACAAGCACGCGCCGTTCGGGACGATCAGGCTGACTAATGGCAAGATGGATGCCCAGGTGAAGAAGATGGAGGCGGAGCTCGAGGACAAGGACCGGGAGCTGCTCGAGGCAGAGGGCAACGAGCTAAGCCTGAGCGATGCCAAGGTGCGGGCATTTGTTGCAAAGTACGGCAGATAGCAGAAATCAAGGTTTTGGCGTTGGGTAGTGTTGTGTTGTCATTGACAGACAGGGTGGAGCTGACAGGACAGGCACAGCACAACGGGGATGATCCAAGCGTGTGTATCAGCCAGCCAGGACGAGGAGGTGGGTGGAGGATGCGTCAACAATAATAATAACAACAACAACAACAACACGACCCGACGCTCGTATAACAACGGCCGCAACAACCACGCCCTCGGCTACGACCACGACAGCCGCCACAAGACAAATGACCGGCTTGAAGGCGTCAATTACCGAGCGTATGCAGCCCGGAGCGCGAGCTGGCTGGAGTCAATGGCAGTGGCACCGCTGGGGGCGTTAGATGTCTGGCGAGCGGTTCGGTGGGGGGTGGGCAGCAGGTGCAAGCACAAGCACAAGGCTGGTGGTTAGACCTCGGGCTGGTCGCTCTGGGTGATGAGGTGCAGGCGGCTACGGCCCTAAACAGACTAGAACCCCAGCCCCCCAAAGCTCCAGCACGCGGCCCCTGTCAGAGGTCAGAGCTGGTCTGCCCTGCCCTGAGCTGAGCTGAACTGGCACTCCCCCAACTTCCACCATCACAACCACACACACCGCACACACCGCACCAAAGCGCCCATCCCCACTTCTTGCTGCCGCTTGAACCTGCGCGGCATGCTGGCGCTAGGTACCCGCAGAGACGCAGGCACTCCTTCACTCCATTGATCCACCACCACACCTACCCGGTAGCTTCCTCGCCCCGTCCTGCTGTTCACCATGGTCAAAGGAGAGCTCGTCACCCTCGGCGCGGCTGCCACCGCTCTCGGAGGCGCCTACAAGCTCGCCGAGTTCCTCACAAAGGCCAAGCGTGTGCGTGATGTCGGTCCATCCAACGCCGTCTATGTGCGCATCATCGGTCGCGTTCGCTCTGATCTCGAAGAGGTGCGCCGTCTGCTCTCGGTCCGCGAAATCCACGACATCCTCGAGGCCAACCACGAAAAGTCCAAATGGGTCTACGGCTGCATGCGCGATGTGCGCGGCGCCCTCGAGAACATTGCGCCCCATACTGAACGCGTCGCTGGCGACATTGAGGATGGCCGCCGCGTCGGCATGAGGCACCGTGTCTACTGGCTGCTCAGCGAGAAGGAAAAGCTCGAGAACAGAGAAAAGGAACTCGCAATCGCTCACAACAGTCTGCGCGAGGTTCTCGGCTACTTGACCACTCTCGAACCCATTGAGGAGCCCCACAAGCCCAAGAAGGAGAAGAAGGACAAGGAAAAGAAGGAAGAGACGCACATCGACATTGAGATTCATCAAGAGGCTCCTCCTCCTCCACCTCCTGCTCCCGCTCATGCTCCCGCCCCTGCTCATGCCCACCACACTACCCACACGACGCATATTGACCGGGACATCTACATTGAGCAGAATGCTGGTGCTCCCAGGCGCGTTGAGGAACACCGCGATGTTTGGGTTGAGCGCGACCACCAGCCGCCCGCCCACTACCAGGAACACCGCGAGGTCTATGTCGATGAACGCGAGCGTGGTCCCCACCACTACGATGACCGCGGCCGTCCTCCTCCACCTCCTCCACCTCCTCACCACCACCACGATGCCCACTGGGAACACCACGGTCGCGAGCCCCGCTACGAGTCCCACTATGACGAGCGCTTCGAGCAGCAGGACCACTACCGCTCCCAGTATCCAATTGAGACTCGCGAGACGTACCAGCAGAACCGCCTGTACCCAGAGCCCCTCGGCCGTCCCGCCGAGGCCTTTGAGGAGCGTCTTCCCGAGCGCGAAACTTGGCACCAAAGCAGCGCCCGCAACCAACGCCCAGGTCAGTACGGCCCTTATGGAGCACAGTATGCCGAATACGGTGCCCCTCAGCCTATTGGCGCAGCCCACTACGCCCGTAGGTTCAAAGGAGATCCAGGCTTTGGCGACGAAGAAATACTAAATCCGCAACCAGTGCCGTTGGAGAGGAAGTACGCCGAACGCGAGGTGAGTGGTTACAAGGCTGGCTACCCTCCCCGCTACGGTAGCAAGCTGTAAATGTCAGCTCGAGGCTGACATGCGGCAGATGTGGATTGAACAAAAGGAGGATTACCGCTTCGATCAGTATGGGAACCGCTTGCCGGATAGGCTGTTCCAGCCACCTGTTCCTCGACCCTATCGCAGCCGCATGTGAAAATGGCATGCCTTCTTGGTTACGATCAAATCTCGTTTTCAATGTTATGAGCCTCTTTGTTCTCCACCCTTTAGTGTCTAAACATGCAACACCCCCACACACCCACACCCACACCCGACCCCAATGTTTTTATGTAGTTGAAATTCAAGTTGATACCTCCCCCTCACCCCCCCTCCTTGATTATATGTTCCTCTTTTGCTAATTCAATCATGTGTCATGTTGTTGTCATTCAACTTTGTTGGCCCTCTTTTCTCTGGTTGTGTCGACCAACATTGAGGATAGTCGAATCAGATGTTTGACTTTGCCAGACCCTTTGCCCCAACACCCACAAAGTCGACGACACAACGCCCACGGTACCCATCCCATCGCTACCACCATATCAAAAGCGAAGAAACGTAAAGGTAACTTGTCCACTCCCCCCTCCCTAAAATCCCTCTTCCACCACCTTCCATTCCCTCACTTGACCACCTTTACTCTAAGAGAGAGAGAGAGAGAGAGAAAAACACACACACCATCACCTACTATCAAACATGGCCCGCAGATCCCCCATCCAAACCCTCCGCACATGCACCCGCTTCTTCACCACGGCCAACTCGCCCTCCTGGCCCGGTCCCACCCGCCGCACAACCATCAAACTCCTCTCCCTCGGCATCTTCTTCGCCATCATCCAACTCGGTCTCTGCGCCGCCCTCGCCCACAAGTTACTTTCCATGCGTCATGCAGTCGAGTGCTGGGAGGTCGACGACACGGTGCCTGGACCGCAACCTGGGCGGGTGCTGCAAGGGCTTGGTGGTAGTGGTGGTGCACTCGATGGTTTCACAATGGTAGTGCGGACTCGACGGTTACCAGTTACATTTGTGAATTTGGATCGGTTGGAGGGGAGGGAGGGGGTGCGTGGGAAGATGTGGTTGAGTTTGGGGAGGCCGGGAGGGCGAGGAGGCAAGCTGTGAGTTTTTTTTATCTTTCTTTCCCCCTCCCCTCTCTTTTCTTTTCCCCCTTTTAATCTTTTTTTTTTACGAGTGGAGGAGAGGGGGGGGGGGGGGGAAGAAAGAAATGCAGGCTGATGAGAGAATAATAGTATTATTATCTTGACGCTCATAGCTAATCCGGTTTTCCTGATTCTTTTCCTGGCTTTTTATCTTCGGGCTCATGTTCGCTTTGGGCATGTGACGAATCGGTGCGCCATGGTGCTTGCGGTGTTTCTGGGAGGGTTTTTTCTGGCTGATGTGGTTGGCATGTGGTTTCAGGATATATTTCCTGGCGGTGAGGTGAATCCGGGTTACAAGACTTGCTGGAAGGATGATGGCTTTATGCGTGCGTTGGAGGCTTGGGGGTGGTGGGCGAGGAGTATTGTGGTGAGTGGGGCGGTGGTTGGGGTTATGGGGATTTCCACGTAAGTTTTGATCCTTTTTTGCTTTACTAGAAGGATAACGAGTGAGATTGAGGCTGACGAATCTGATAGCATGATTGGGTATTTCTTCATGGCGCTTTTTGCTGCACGCATGAATCAAATTGATCGAGAGCGCCCGATTGGTCTGCAGGATCTTGGTCCTTCGAGGAGACCTGCTGCTAGTGGAAATGCTGTTGCTGCTGGACAGAATTCTGCGTCGATTCCTCCTAGTGTACCGGTTCCTGCTGCTTTCTCGATTAGCTCCCGGCTTCCTCGTCAACAGAGTGCGGCGGATGTAAGGGGTCGTATGCTGGCAGAGCGGAAAGAGGAGACTGTGAATCCGTTTACTGATCCTCAGAATGTGGTAACATAGGAAGAGGGGACGGGGCGATGGATGTGGACTGAAGGAAAAAAGGGCTGGTCACGATGGGTCGAGGCGTGGAGACGGGGTTATATTTTGATTGTGATTGTGATTTATTGGATTGTTGGGTTATAGTCAAGAGCGTCACTTGTCACATCACCTAGTTTGGTGTCAACGAGACTGGACAAGACGCTCAACCCTCAAATCTAGTCGTGCCACTTTTTCTGATCAAGTTACAGTGTCGAAGCCATTAACAAAGAACTCCAACGTAACAAGTCCAACATGAAAGTGCATCTCGGTCTCCAACAAAGGAACAAAAGTTGCTTTATTCGTTTCTTTGGTGTATTGTTCTCGAGTAAGCCGCCACCTTTTTCCTACCTTATACTGATTACTGTCTTCTCTGGCAATTCCCAAATCCCATTTGACTCCAAGTAAACTCCTCTCTAATATCCAGCAAAAATGTCCGAAGTTACTCAAGACACTTCTACCACACTAACAGACATCAACCATATACGCGACTGGCTCAAAGAACCCCTCCTAGAATTCAACTACAACAACTTCGACCGCCAAATCGCAGTCCACGAGTACCTCAACATCACCACTACCAACCCTGACGATCCCGCCCGCTGGCTCGAATCCAGCAGCATCGACACCGTCCTCGCCTTACTAACCCTCAAATACTACCGCAACGATGTTTACGTCTTACCAATGTCCCATGGCGGTTTGCTATACGACATCGGCGGTCAAGACGCCGAGTACGTGTTCGACGAGGACGATGACGAGGACAATGACGAGGACCCACTGAAACCCGTGCGGGACAGAATGCACAGGTGGATCATTATATCCGTCAGCGAACAGACATTGCAGAAAGAAGAGTTTCTGGATCTATCCAGAGCGATGGGCCAGGCGCAGGACAAGAACGGAAGCAGAGGCAATGATGCAGCATCCAAGGATATGATGGCAAGTGGCGGCCACTGCGGTCTCCTCATCATCGACAAGCGCAAGAAGACTGCGCGCTGGGTAGAGGGCAATCTCACTCTTGCGCCCAGCAAGAACAAACCCGGTAGAATGAAAATCAACCACATGCTTGTACCCGGTGCCATGGCTGCAACCATGGTCCGCGGTGTCGAGCGCGTCTTGGGACTCGAGCATGGCGCCTTCCATACCAAGACCATCAAATACGTTCCTAATCAATCAGAGCATAATGCGTTCAAGGGCGATGGAGGCGCAAGTTGCGGACCGTATCTCATTGCGTTTATGGAGTACGTACTGAGTAACGAGGGACGCCTTGCGGATTTCGATACTGTTTTCAAAGTGGAGAGTTGGAAGAGGAATTGCGAGGGTATGGCGTTTGATTCGTTGAAGACAAGGGTGGGTATGCAGGAGATTATTCAGAAGAAGAGTGAGAAGTTAAGGAAGGAGGAGGAGATGCCGTTGAAGATGTCGAAGGAGGTGTATGGGATTTTGAAGCCCAAGGTTCTTGGGACGCTGGTGGCCGCGAGGTGGAGGGAGTGGGAGGGGAAGAGGGATAAGGTTGATTTTGATGATTATAAGTTTGGGGGTGGGAAGAGGAGGAGGGGACGGGGGCGGAGGAGCGGTAGTGGTAGTGGCGGTAATGGTGGAAGTGGAGGAGGGGGCTCTACTGGTAGTGATGGTGGACGAGGAGGAAATGGAGGGGGAAGGAATTCTAGTGAAGGTGATGATAGAAATGACAGCGACAGAGGAGGCAGGAACGAGGGAGGAGGCATCGGTGACAATGAAGCAGAAGAAGAAGCACGCGTCCTCGACCTCATCGAAACAGACGAAGAAGACATTGATGACGATTTCTTCGACCCCGAAAACCCCGACGTGGACCCAGTATCCAAAAAGCATCTCCGTGACGAAATCCGCTCTCAACTCGAGAACTACATTGGCATACCAACAAAAGACGGCGCCTACCTCCGCGCCTTCGAAATCCAGAAAGAAGCCGCAAAACTAATCGAATTCAACAACTCCACTAGAGCCGCCCCTGAACCTTCCCCCGGACCCGCTCCCAGACGCACTTGCAGACCCGCTCCCAGAACCTCTCCTAGAACCGCTCCTAGAACCACCCCGAATCCCGCCCCTGCCCACCCTACACGCATATCAGTACTCCAATACCCAGAGGGCATAACCACCGCACCCCTCGACTTCGCCTCCACATCCGAAGTCCCCTCAGAAACCCTCCTTCTATGGCGCCGCGCAAACATCGAACGCATCAACGCCTGCCAACTCGGTAGCAAAGCCACCGAAGACGGTATATCCGTACGCGCAATTCTGCAAATGCTGTCAGGCGTAGAATTTGAAAACGAGTCGGCTGAGCGGTTGAAGGAGATTTGGATCCATGATCCAGAAGTGTTTAATAGGAAGGATTGGTATGAAAATCTGCTACCGGGGATTATTGCGTGGAGGATGAAGGATAGGTATGAGATTTTTGATATGGAGAAGATGCCGGTTATGCAGGGGGTGAAGAGGGGAATTGAGGAGGCGAGTGGGAATGGGGATGATGGTGGAGATGGGGATGTAGGGGGTGGTGTTGGGAAGAAGGCTAAGAAGTAGATTGTTGAGCGTGTTTGAATACTAGAGTGTAGCATAGCTGATGAGGAGGTAATTTTTAGACCTAGGAATACTATGAAATTTGGAAAGAGGATTGGGGAATAAGGATCTGTAAAATGTATGCATGTCTTTGACTATAACAAACTTAACACTACACTGAGTTGGGAAGCGAAAAATAGCCGTGATGCGTGGCTGTAGCGTGCTATGAGCATATGCGGCCACGTCTGTGGACTGCTTCCAAGCATCTGCTTTAACTCACATACCTTTTCATGTGGCGCAAAACCCGGTCAGCGGGAATCAGCCAATCAAATACAGCATTGTGCCGAAATAGTTGCTCTCTTTGGTTCATTCCGGCCCACCAAGATTTCAGCTGCACAGAGAGACACGCACGTGGTACGTTAGTTAGTACGTAGGTGGCCGTGCGCAGTGTTTGGCTAGTGTCAACTAGTTCTGTATACTATGCACCCTTCTATGTTCTCAGTCTGCGCTGTCCGGGTCAGTATTCGCTCCAGCTTGGCCTTTGGAGCGTTGTCGCGGCTCGAACATGACATTGTCCATAGGCCGCTAGTATAGCTTCACAGAGAAGCGCTATATATTTTTGCTCTTCGACCAGTACGCGTTGCCTGCATTGCCAGCTATCAGTGCGACGTGCTTGCCATACTACTAGTACGCTAAGTAACAAGCGAAGCGCCTCGTTCGTTGGCCTAGACTAATGTTCAGCTCGATGAGCCCACGGGTGCAGCCAGACGGAGGCAATGAAATCGTTAGATTCGCCAGGCTACTACGTAAGTCATAAGTGCGGCTGATATACATACATTGGCTGCGCCGCGAGGACGCCTGATTGTAGCCACAGCCGCCACCACAGTTTTGATTGGTTGTGTTAATGACTTGAGTACATATTTGAAGGTCCCGCCCATTTATCCGGTTCGTCCTGTCTTATGTTTTTCCTACATATATGATCATCAGTCTTCACAAGCTATCTTCGGCCTACTGAGCAATGGGGTACTCGCCAGTCCAAGGAGATCCGACGTCACGAACTACCACTCCTATGGAAGATGATGAGCACCAGCCTCGCCCATCAAGACCATTATGGACTTCATTACGATCCTGAAGTGGGAGCTTGCCACATGGCTGCTAGGGACGACTGCGCTCGCTGCAATCATCACGCTGCTCATCCTTTACAGAAATAAGCCGGTCAAGGATTGGCCCGTTGGTTTCAGCTTGGCTACTACTATCGCCGCTCTTTCACAAGTCGCACAGTCCGCGTTGCTTGTGTCGGTATCATCCTGCATCGGTCAGCTTAAATGGTCGTATTTGCGTAATGAGCGTTCGACTCTCGATATCAATAAGTTCGAAGAGGCTTCTCGCGGGCCTCGAGGCAGTCTCATGTTACTTTTGAACACTCGTCCGTAAGTATTCCTCTGCCTGTGTGCAACAAAATTCCTGGTAAGCTCATAGTGTAAGACATCTAGTGTCCGTTGGGGCAATCGCGACTATTTTATTACTTGGCTTTTCGCCATTTTCTCAGCAATCGGTTACAATCGAAGTAAGGAGTACCAACGGTACCTTCTCACCTACAAGTGCCATCATAGGCCGTTCGGTACAATACGTCAATGACGCCGCGAATGCAAGTTTTGTGGAATACGAAATGGATTCTCAATCTACAAGTTCTGTTATGTGTTAGTGTGCCGTAACTCACTTCTCTCGTTAAGCTCATGGTAGTCAGATCATCCACACATGTCTAAAGGCATACTTACGGGTATACTTGATGATATTTCAAGCCCTTCAGATGTGACAGGATCCTGCCAAGCCGAATTCTGCACCTGGGAGCCGTATCAAACGCTTGCCGTATGCTCTTTCGTTGACGACGTTTCCGCAGAGGGAGCCATGTATGATCCCGTGTATGTGCTCGGGCCTGATTCTCCAAATGGTTCACCAATGTATTCTGTTGGCCCAGAGTCCTGGAGCCGGGATCAAATGGGTGTTAATATATCTGAAACATTCTGGATGAACACACAGGTTGATTGGCAGGAACCGGATTCCCGTGCAGAGGGTCATGAACCTCTACGGAACATCTCAACCACCTATGTTGCCTACTATCCTCCTTGCGATCACGATGGCAACCCAAGAACAGATTGGGTAGGCCAGAGGGACGATGCGGCTAACTGGAAAGGTTTTCGAGGCAGCTTAATTTTATGTCTTCAAACGCTGAACTCTACTTATAACTCGACGATGCAGACCAAGGTCATTGACACGCAGATCGACTTAGACTGGCAAATAAAGCCCGGAGTTACGAATAATAGCCAATACCGGTACTGCGTTACGGGCCGGGGTAATGAAGAATATTGCGTGGGCGATACGGACATCACCGAATGGGAATACCAGATGGCAACATCACTTACCGGTGCAGCTGCTATATATCCCAACGAGGCCAACTATACCTTCTCCGGTCAACTTGCCCCTAATATTGTTATCGATGTCCTCGGCGACAGTCCAGCGTACTGTAACGGATCGAACGTAGAAGGAGGCTTCGAACGAAGGATGAACAACATTGCCATCTCGATGAGCAACGCGTAAGCTACACCCGAATCCTCATTTCCATCTTTCCTGTACTGATGTGACGAACCAGCCTTCGTACTGGAAACAACGCAGTGCCCTTCCGAGGTACCGGGTGGACCAAAGAGCAATTCTTCGACGTCACTTTTTACTGGATGTCTCTCCCACTCGCGATATACCTCACCATAACGCTTTTTCTCTTTTCCACCATCGTTACTTCGAGCAAAGCTGATACGCCGCTGTGGAAGTCGTCGCCACTCGTCTTGCTGGAAGCTATGAACTCGTCGAATCGTATGCAAAGTTTAATCCAAGTAGAGTCGGAGGCGCGCGGTACGGCTATAAAGTTGCAACATACGGGTGGAAATTGGCATCTGCAGACTATGCCGGTATCCAGCGAAAATAAAGTGCAGATTGCGTAACATATACTCTTATTAGTACTATAGAAATGGGACGTTCACACGAGGGGCTTCGCTTCGTGTAGTAAAAGCTCGGTGTTGCACGCGTTAGTGCGGTGGGTTAATCCGTATCGTTCCTGCCATCTACCATCTTCGTTTTATCTGTGGGGTACAAATTATTGCCTTTTCTTCTCCACACGTGAGATACAGGCACTGGTATCTAGGGTGGTAAGCAGTGAGATTAAGTTTCGGCAATGGGACGCCACACTGAATCATGCTTGCAGACGGGGTTATTTTTTTTTAAATTTGGTATCTTCAAGAGTAGTAAACTAAGCGAATCGGAGAAAAAAAAACGGACATGACATGTGTTTCTAACCAGCAAGAGCCATGACCTTGGCCAAGACAGCGTCATCACTGAGATCATCGCCCTTGATGGCTTCATACGCGGGTGCAAGAATCGTGTTCTGGATCTCAGTGTACTTGCCATTGCTTGCGAAAATCAGCTCGCCGTGCCTCGACTTATCAACCATCAAGTAAGCAACTGCGCGAGCGACTACGTCAGGAGTCTGGCAGTCATGGGAGACAGCGGCAAGTAGGTTTTTCAAATCAGGCAGGACTTGGGTTGCCGTCCATGAAGGGGCAAGAGTGTTGACGCGAATAGGTAGGCCAGCTACTTCGACTAGGCGCGCAAAACTCCTGCCGAAACCTAGAACACCGGCTTTGGCCGTAGCTGCGGAGAGTGATCAGTAGGGTTGATCTGGACAGGATCGGCGAAGTTAGGTGTGGCTTACAATAGTCGACTGCGCGAACGGGATGCAGTCCCGTGCTGGACCCCATGATGACGATGGATCCACCTTCCGGTTGAGTCTTGAGGTAGTGCGCAGCAATCGTGACAGTCTTGACAACACTGTCCAAGTTGATGTCTATAGTGTCTTGATTGGGCTCAATCGGGTCGCCATTTGCGTCGACCTCGAGAGCCAGGTAGTTTGCGCGCGGGCCGATTCCGGCATTGGCAAAAACAAAATCGATTTTGCCATGCTTCTCCTTGGCAGCCTTGAAAAGCTTGGTCAAGTCTGCCCAGTTTCTGACGTCGGTTTGGACGAAGTGGCAGTTGGCGTTTGACGCCGGCGGTGGCTGGATGTCGCCGCTCACAACTAGTGCGCCCAGAGACACCAGCAGCTCGACTGTTGCCAGACCAATACCAGAAGACCCACCTAGCAAAGAGGTTAGTTGTGTCTGGCTTCAAGCTGTGTGGTTGGGTGGAGTCGCTAGTTACCCGTTATGATGGCGACTTTGCCCTGAAAGCCGGTAAGGTCGGAGTCATTGATTTCAAAGGAAGCCATATTGTGGACAATCTTGTTTGATGCAGGAGAGCGGATGTGAAGATAGACAACGAGAAATCAAAGGAAAGATATGCAACCAACTCGGGCCATGTCGTTTATGCACGAGCAGACTGATTTGGGTAGCACAAGCGCAGGCAAAAGAACGCTGCTGCCGCCCCGAGGTCAGAAGCGTTTTCTCAAACATAGTCGACAGACCAGTAGGAGAATTTCAAGGAAGAGGTCCAAATTGGGATGGTGGTGCCGACGGAGACCCAGTTTAACACGGCAAAGCAGGAGGCGACCCGCTTACCATGTGCCGGGAATCCTGGGTTAGCCTGTAGGGTTCACAGTTTTTTACATCGCCATGGTGTCGCCTGCCTGCTCCCGCGCCGTTTGTCATGACAGTGCACTCTTATCCTTATATCTCGAGGCGTTATCCTGGCTTACTGCGAAGGGTCCCTCGTGGTACACCCCAGGCGTGGTGGTGAATGTAACCAGGGCGGAACTGTGCTTCCGGAGCCGGAACCCCCGAGCCCGCGTGGCAATCGCGTGCGCGCAAGTACTTAAAATGCCCACGGCCCGATTGGGCGAATTGCATGAGATCTACACGCCCATGTCCCAAACAATGACATTGCAGATGCTGACAGTTCCGAGATATATTCGAGAAGTTATGGTCAAGTTCCTCAGGGGGAAACTCGCATACATGCAAAGAGCCAATCATCGTAGCGTCGAAGGGAGTTGTTGCATACGGCATTTAATTTGCGCGACTCAGCGGTCGACATCACGCCGTTGTGCTACCGTCCAGTCGGTCAGACACCTATGGGCCTTGCCGTAGTTGCCGGAGTTAAGTGTCATATTGAGAGTAGTGAAGCTTACTTTAGGAAAGATTTTCAAAGCTTAGCGTGGTAACGTCTCAGGCCTGGAAGCGACTTTGAAATGCATGTTTGTCTCGCCAAGTGCCGGGCGTGGAGACAGGGGGAGCATGGAATCAAAACGGCCCTTACGTACCATATCATCGGAGCCAAAACCGTTTGTCTTTGTTGATTCATTTTCTGGGGAGCTGCTCCATACTTCCTTGTATCCGCTTTTACTTTGGTTCTATCGGCCCTCTGCCTCTCTCACGCTCATTTACGTCAAGTTGCAGTCATGGCGACCGTTCCGGTGGCCGGTGATGGCGTGGCACTTCTCTATTGCGCTATAGTATTGTTGGCTTTGACCTGGGTCACTTTCTTTCTGCGTGCTACAGTTAGGATATGGAGGAAAGCATGGGGTATGGACGACTATCTAATGTTGCTTGGTATTGTAAGTCTACAGAACCAACCTTCAGTACGAACTCTTACTCACCGACTTTCCAGCTTCTTTTCACAGTCACTGCCGCTCTTTGTATAGTATGCTGCTTTTACGGGTCTGGTCAATTATCTCGTGACCTGCCTCCCGCGACCATGGCAATAGGAATAAAGGTGATATCCGAGGCTTTCACCGGTGACAACAAGATCGTCTTGTGGCTAACCTAAACATAGCTCTTCTACATTGCTGAGTATTTCTATTGCGTCAGTGCCATGTTCATCAAGATCAGTGTTGCTGTGGCGCTGCTACGTATTGCTGCTACCCGAGACTTCTTCAAATGGGGACTATGGATTCTCATTGGCGCCTGTATCGTTGCTGCGCTTGTGTTCTGTATTGGCATTGCAAACATCTGTGAGTAAATGTGGAGATGGGCTAACGAAGAAGTCTGACTGATTCAACCAGGCCATCCTATCAACACGTTATGGGGAGAATCCAATGGTGTATGCAATCTACAAGTCAACACAAACGTCAGTTTGTTCTACTCAGCTATCGAGATTGCGGCAGACTTCAGTCTCTCAATCTTGCCAGCAATTCTACTATGGAACGTACAGATGAAGACCAGGGTAAAGGCTTCGGTTGCAGTAATGCTCGCACTTGCTTCTTTGTAAGGCCCTTGCACAATCTCCAGTTACATGGCTCTGTCTAACTGTGCTTAGTGCCTCGACAGCCACAATTGTCAGACTCAAGTACCTCACCCTTTACAGCGATCCCGGTGAATTCATGTTCAGTACTGGAAAGATTGGCTTCTGGTCCCTTACAGAAGAAGGCATTGGCCTTATTGCCGGATCGCTCCCCGCGCTTCGTCCTCTCCTCTCCCTTCGCATCCGAGTAACCGTAGGCTCGAATACTCCTGGTGCCTCGTCCGGAAGAGCATACAACTCAGGGTCTCATCATCTGCAACCACCATCACGTTCGCGCGGGATTCCCATGGATAATTTTCAGACGCTTGGTGACAACGACGATTGCGACAACAGCGATGGAGACAGCCAGAAGAACATCATCAAGGAAACCAAGTTCTCTGTCACAACAACTGCCACTGGACCTAAATCCAATCCAGTGATGCCATGGAACGCGAACCAATAGAACCACGTATAGCCGATCAGAGGTGGAGAAGAAAAATTAAGGGACCATGGGTACTTACGAGCGAGCAATAGGATACTTTTGAACATCTAGCACTGGCACTGCCAGCAGTCACACGGAGTCATTATACCGCAGCTATGTGGCATGCGTCAGCCAGAGTGGCAAGGACTGTAGTCATCTTTGGTGGCAGGTTACCCGAGGTTGACCGTCCACGGCTATGAGAAGTCTTTGATAAGGCAAAGGCTACCAGCTCCCGTTACTTGTCCTTTTCAGATCTCATACATCTGCTCAAAGGTGGGGGCATATTATAAGACTAAGATAGCCTATCAGGTTGCTATGTGTTGCAGCATACATATGTGCGCCTTAATCGCCGGCGGCGTCTCTATGTTACGTAACACCGAAATATATCGCTGTACATCACGGCCCATGCTTTGGCTTTTGATCAAACGAATGAAGAACACATATTTGCGTTGCTGGCAAGACAGCCTCCTGCAAAATCTTGAACAAGTTAGTGAAGGAGCCGCTGCGAAGTGCTTTGACAAATATGGAGAGTCCAAGCGATCACATGAGCGCGTGTAGGGCGTCTAGCGCCACACGTACGGAGGAAGATCCTGGCTTACCTTACGTCAAACCGTGTCAAGCCGACCCCTCTATCAAGAACATTCATTCCAGACAGATTCAATCAGTTTTTCTCCACAAGACTACATAATGAAGGCCGCCCTCGTTTCCAGAGTTTGCTTGTCAGCTCCTCGCAACCTTCTGCCAGTCGTTGCCAAACCTCTTCGAACACCTCTCCGCTTGTTTTCTACAACACGACCAGCATTCTCCGATATGGATACAGCGGCTTTTGGAGAGCAGCATATTGCGAGAGGTATTGGCCGTCTCACTAAGCACGTCTTTGAAGATGGAAAAGGCACATATATTACGACAGACAAGGGTGTCAAGCTCCTCGATATGACTGCCGGTATTGGCGTTGTAAACCTCGGTCATTGTCATCCCAAAGTCAGTGCGGCCGCAGCTGCACAATGCAACAAAATCACCCACGCACAAGTCAACATTGGGTTCAGTGCCGCACAAATTGCGCTCATCAAAGAGCTCATTCCCATTCTCCCGCACCAGTCTCTCGATACCGTCTTCTTCTGGAACTCTGGAGCTGAGGCAGTTGAAGCAGCTGTCAAGCTAGCACGCGCTGCAACCAAGAAGTCCAACATCATCGTTATGCAAGGATCGTACCATGGCCGAACAAACGCCACTGCCTCAATGACACGCTCCAAA